GAGGTACTTCCTGATAGTTGTTGACGACTACTCGCGCTACACCTCGGTCTTCCCCTTGCGCACCGAGGGTGAGGTCCCTGATGTCTTGATCCCTTGGATCCGCAGAGCCCGTCTCCAGCTCAGCGAGCGTTTTCACTCGGACTTTCCTGTCCTGCGCTTGCACTCTGACAGAGGTGGTGAGTTCTCCTCCGACCTCTTGGCAGCCTACTGTGCTGAGCACGGCATTGAGCAGTCGTTCACGCTTCCGGCTTCTCCACAGCAGAATGGGGTTGCGGAGCGCCGCATTGGCCTGGTCATGGAGGTCGCCCGTACCTCCTTGATCCATGCGGCTGCCCCCCACTTTCTGTGGCCGTTTGCGGTCCGGTACGCTGCGCATCAGCTCAACCTCTGGCCCCGTGTCTCCTTGCCGGAGACCTCGCCCACGCTACTGTGGACGGGGGAGGTTGGCGATGCGTCGCGTTTCCGGGTCTGGGGGTCTCGAGCTTTTGTCCGCGATTCGTCTACGGACAAGCTCTCCTCCCGTGCTGTTCCCTGCGTCTTCCTCGGCTTTGTCCCGGACGCGTCTGGTTGGCAGTTTTACCACGCCACCTCGCGTCGAGTCTTGCCCTCCCAGGACGTCACTTTTGACGAGTCCGTCCCCTACTACCGCCTCTTCCCCTACCGCACTGCCCCGCTCCCCCCCCCGCCTCCCTTCCTCTCGCCAGGTGCTGCTGTTTCAGACCCCCTCCCCCCTCAGGAAGCCGCTCCCTCAGGTGTGTCTCAGGTAGACCCGGTTGAGCCTGTTGAGGTAGCTGTCGACTCTCGTCCTGCTGGGGGTGCTGAGCCTGGGGGTGCTGAGCCTAGGGGTGTGGAGCCTGGGGGTGTGGAGCCTGGGGGTGTGGAGCCTGGGGGTGTGGAGCCTGGGGGTGTGGAGCCTGGGGGTGTGGAGCTTGACGGTGCTGAGCTTGGGGGTGTGGAGCCTCGTGGTACTGAGCTGCGGAGTCCGGAGTCTGGGGGATCTGCGTCTGGAGGTACGAGGTCTGGGAGTCCTGCACCTGGAGGAGCCCTCTCCTCGGAGCGGCTACGTGCGTGGTACTTAGAGTACTGCAGCCTCCGGAGAGGTACCGCTCGAGCCGGACGTACTACTGGGACTGGTGCTAGTACTTCTTCTCCCGTTCGGGAGCTCCCCTCCCGCGAGCGGATCCGTGAGTGGTACGAGCGGCGCTGCACTCTTCGCAGTGGCGTGCCTCGTGTTACGAACCCCGCTGCTGTTGGAGCTGCTGCTGGTGCTGAGGACCCGGGCGTTGGAGCTGCTGCTGGTGCTGAGGACCCGGGCGTTGGGGCTGCTGCTGGTGCTGAGGACCCGGGCGTTGGAGCCGCTGCTGGTGCTGAGGACCCGGGCGTTGGAGCTGCTGCTGGTGCTGAGGACCCGGGCGTTGGAGCCGCTGCTGGTGCTGAGGACCCGGGCGTTGGAGCTGCTGCTGGTGCTGAGGACCCAGGCGTTGGAGCTACTGCTGGTGCTGAGGACCCGGGCGTTGGAGCTACCGCTGGTGCTGAGGACGTGGGCGCTGGAGCTGCTGCTGGTGCTGCGGACCCTGGTGCGGGTGTCCCTGCTGGCTCTGGTGTCGCTGCTCGGTCTCAGCCGTACTTTGTTCCGCTCCTTCAGCAGGTTCTTGGTCAGCTTCCTCCTCCTTTTCCTCCTCCCTCCTTAGAGTGTCCTCAGCCTGTCCAGCTGCAGTCGGCGTTACCGTCTGCCTCCTCTCTCCTTGGTCCTGCTCCTTACACTGGTCCGACTGGAGGTCTTACTGAGCGGCGTGAGCCTGCGTCTCGTCCTGCGTCGCCTGAGTCTCGTCCTGGGTCGCCTGTCCGCACTGCTCTCTCTAGTCGTCGAGTCCAGCGTCAGCGTCTTCCTGCTGTCCCAGGCACTCACCGGATGGCGCTTCGTCCGTCCACTGCTCCACAGCGTGTCCCACTGCCGTCTCCTCCTGCTTCCTCTCTTCCTGCTCTTCCTGACCCTGGGTCAGACTCTCTTCGTGCTACCAGTCCTGCTGTCACGCGTCTCCTGGCCACTGTAGTCACTGACCCTTCCTTTGAGTCTGCTGCTGCGTCTGCCTTAGTTGCTGAGCTTGTCGACTTTGCTGCTCGCTGTCGTCTAGACTACGCTGCTAGCCTAGTTGCTGAGTCTGAGTCTGTCTGTCCTCCGTCCGTCGGGGGTGAGTGTGCTCTTGGCACTGACGTCCTTGAGGACAGGCAGGAGGAGTTCCAGTGCTTTGCTGCCGCTTTGCCCCATCTCGTGTCCATGCTTGTTGCCCCTGAGGGAGACCCGGATGCACCAGACATCCCGACCCCACGCTCTTACGCAGAGGCGATGGCCGGTCCCTACTCCTCTCAGTGGCAGTCAGCCATGGACACAGAGATGGCTTCCTGGAAGTCCACAGGCACCTACGTCGACGAGGTTCCCCCGCCTGGGGCGAACATCGTCAGTGGCATGTGGATTTTCAGGGTGAAGCGGCCGCCGGGTTCTCCGCCTGTCTTCAAGGCGCGTTACGTTGCACGAGGCTTCAGTCAGCGCGAGGGAGTTGACTTCTTCCAGACCTTCTCCCCGACCCCGAAGATGACCACTCTTCGGGTTCTGCTGCACGTCGCCGCTCAGCGTGACTACGAGCTCCACTCGCTTGACTTCAGCACTGCTTTCCTGCAGGGCAGCCTGCACGAGGAGATCTGGCTGCGCCGTCCACCTGGCTTCACTGGGTCGTTCCCTCCTGGTACCCAGTGGAGCCTCCGACGGCCAGTCTACGGTCTCCGCCAGGCGCCTCGTGAGTGGCACGACACACTGAGGACTACGCTTGCGGCTCTTGGGTTCGCGCCTTCTACTGCTGACCCGTCGCTGTTTCTACGCACCGACACCTCACTGCCGCCGTTCTACGTCCTTGTGTACGTCGACGACTTGGTCTTTGCTACTGCTGACACTGTGGCACTCGCCCACGTGAAGTCGGAGCTGCAGAAGAGACACACGTGCACAGACCTGGGTGAACTGACAAGCTATCTTGGCTTGCGGATCACCCGGGACAGAGCACGCCGCACCATCACCTTGACTCAGTCACACATGGTGCAGCAGGTCCTTCAGCGCTTCCGCTTCACGTACTCCTCGCCTCAGCCCACTCCTCTGCCTACCGGTCACTCGCTCTCAGCTCTGCCTTCGGATGAGTCCGTAGAGCCGAGTGGCTTGTATCCAGAGCTTGTGGGTTGCCTCATGTACCTGATGACCTGCACTCGACCAGACCTTGCATACCCTCTCAGCATTCTTGCACGCTATGTCGCTCCCGGCCGTCACCGGAAGGAGCACATGGATGCAGCTAAGAGGGTGTTGCGCTACTTGTGCAGTACGTCGGGCATGGGGCTAGTGCTTGGAGGGCGAGTCCCAGTTGTTCTCACTGGGCACTCAGACGCTTCTTGGGCAGACGACCAGGCTACTCAGCGGTCGTCTCAGGGTTACTCCTTCAGTCTTGGCTCTGGTTCTGTTTCTTGGCGTTCTACTCGCTCTTCTTCTGTTCTCAGCTCCAGTTGTGAGGCTGAGATCTACGCCACAGCCATGGCGGCCCAGGAGCTACGCTGGCTCACCTACTTGCTGACCGACCTTGGAGAGCAGCCTCGTTCTCCTCCAGTGCTGTACGTCGACAACAAGGCAGCCATTGCCTTGTGTGAGGAGCACAGACTGGAGCACAGAACGAAGCACATTGCTCTGCGTTACTTCCTCGCTCGAGAGCTGCAGCAGCGTGGTCAGCTTCGCCTGCGTTACGTGGCCTCTGAGGCCAACACTGCTGATGTGTTCACCAAGGCGCTTCAGCCTTGTGACCATCAGCGCTTTTGCACTCTTCTAGGCCTTGTGCCTACTGGACCTCACTTGCTTACTTCTTGAGTCTGTTGTACTGTGATCTCTATATATAAACCTGCATGTGAACTGGTCTTGTGACCACTTGCTTGTGCTCGGAATTTGTGTGGTATCCTTGAGATCCACCCTGAGCTTGTTTTGCCTTGCTTTGCCTTGACTGGTCTTGTGACCCCTAGTTCTCCCCCACTTTGCCTATGGGGGTGTGTCAAACATTATATATGTTGTGTTAGTTTAGGCTACAGTGGGTTAGCCTATAGGGGGTACACAATTCTAGGGTTAGGTACTTGTACTCTTTTCATTGCTAGTTCATTCATTCCTGTTCAGTGATTCCAACATGGTATCAGAGCGAAGGTCTCGGGTTCGAATCCCAGTGTGTGCACTTCGGGCATCCCAGTGCGGGGGGGTGTCAGAGGTCCACTGGTGATCCCCGATTGATCCTAGGGAAGGGTTACGGGCATGTTGGCCTGGGGGGTTATGGGCGCACTGACCCGCTACTTAACAAGCCCTTTTATCCCAATGGTCTAGTGGTTGGGATTCTGACACCTGCGGCGGCAGCAGCAGCGGTCGGTGGAGTGGTCCCAGGGCAGGTGGTTGTTGATATACCCTCTATATCAACAACGGCAGCAATAGAAGCAACAGCAGCAGCAGTGGCAAATTCAGGGGTGGCTCAAGCAAAAGTCGAGAGGGGAGTAAGTGAATTATCGCCCCAAACACAGCAGTCAGCAGCACCGGCAGCAGTGGGGGCAGCAGAAGATGAAGCAGCCGCTGCTGCAGCTGCTGCAGTGGCAGTGGCTGCAGCACCACCAATGCCAGCAGTGCAGCCGCTGCCGTGTGCTGCAGCGGGTGCTGGGTTAGACGTGTGCCAGCGATTCTCCCTTGAGGAGATGGCTCGGGCCACGGGGGAGTGGGCAGAGAGCAACCGCATAGGCAGCGGCAGCTTTGGCGACGTGTACCGGGGTGTGAATCCGCGGAACCCCAAAGAGGTGTGGGCTGTGAAGCGAGCCTGCGTGCTCACTAACGACTTCAGACGAGAGGTGAGACTCATCAGGTCGTGGTGAGGCGCCCTGATATGTGTTGTATTCGCTTGGTAGTTTCAGAAGTATCCGCTCTGTGTTACTGGGTTCGAGCAATGTGTCCTTCTACTTCCCCCCAACCTGCTAAACCCCAATCTGCTTCCCCGCAACCCGCTTCCTTCCAACCTACTTCCCCCCGACTTGCTTCCTCCCAACCTGCTTCCTCCCAACCTGCTTCCTCCCAACCTGCTTCCTCCGACCCTGCTTCCTCCCAACCTGCTTCCTCCCAATCTACTACCTCCCAACCTGGTTCCTCCCTGCCTATTTCCTCCCAACCTGCTTCCTCCCAACCTGCTTCCTCCCAACCTGGTTCCTCCCATCTTGATTTCTCCCAACCTGCTTACCCCCGCCCCACCGCCTGCAGATCAGCGAGATGTAGACCAATAGCCATCCGAACCGGCCTTCTTCCCCCCAACCTGCTGGTGTAGTTGGTCTTGAGAACTCTCAAAACCTGCCTGCTCCCCACCTCCCCTGCTTCCGCCCAACGGCCCTGCAGATCAACGAGATGGCGACCAAGAGCCATCCGAACCTGGTGAGGCTGCTGGGGTACTGCGTTGACATGAGCTACGAGGCGGAGCGCATGGAGCAGATTGTGGTGTACGAGTTCATGGAGAACGGTGACCTTGACTGCTGGATCAGAGCAGGTGAGTGGATACGGTCTGATATGGGAGAGAGTGAGAATTCACAGGGAAAAGAATGCGGATTAGGAAATCCACCACTGAAGTAGGCAGGTCGTGGTGTATGAGTTCATGGCGAACTGTGACCTCGACCGCTGGATCGGACCAGGTGAGTCAACATTGTTTTGTTGTGTTGCGGTGGATCGGACCAGGTGAGCCGAGCCGAGGTGAATCCTTGTTTTGCACACAGTAGGCAGATTGGACCAGGTGGAGGATACAGTATTTCACGTGCACAGGTGAAAGAGGTGCCAGGTGGGACGGGTGCGGATAATATGTTACTCTCGGAAAATGTGTGGGCACCTGTCCTGTTTTGAATCTCGAGAGAAGCCCTGGGCAACTATCATTTCAGATGCCACTACTCTTCACTCTTTCAATCTTGCCAAATCTCCCCAAACTTTCCATCAACCCAGCTGCCAAACCGACCAACATTACCCAACTCCTCAATGCGTGTGTATTCTCCTCCCAGACGCACCCCACCCTCTCACAATGCAGCAGCGGCTGGTTATTCTTACGGGCATGGCGCGCGGGCTGGAGTATCTGCACAGCTTCAGCATCGTGCATCGCGACATCAAGCCCGCCAACGTGCTGCTGGACGCGCGCATGCATGCCAAGCTCGCTGACTTTGGCCTGGTGCGACTTGGGGAAGGTACATCTGTGGCCGCCACGCGTGTCATGGGCACGCCAGGCTATGTGGACCCCGCTTACTACCACTCTCACAAGGCCACCCCCAACACGGACGTGCATAGGTGGGGATTATATGTTGCTCACGTGCAACAGTGCGAAGGATTTTATATGCACTTTCGCATGTGTTGATTGCTGCTTTTCTTTATTGCTTATAAAAATCCAAGCATACGCACTAGGGGTGTCATGCATGGCACTTGCAGAATAATCCCATACCTACACCAGCCTATCTGGCGCTTGGCACGAGATGATGGAACTCGCTACTCTGATGTTCTTCTTCCCTTCGCTGCTGCCAACCTTGCTCTCTTACATTGCTGCCTGCCTTTGCTTCTTTATTTGCCTGATTTCTCTCCCCTACTTCCCTGCAGCTTTGGTGTGGTGATGCTGGCGGTGGTCACTTCTCCCCTTTCCCTACTCACTGCCTGTTGTTTTTCCTCCCTGCTGCCCGTTCATTGCTGCCTTTCTTCTTCTCCTGCCTGCAGCTTTGGAGTGGTGATGCTGGAGGTGATCACGGCTCGCAAGGCCATCCGCATCATCGAGTCAAACCAAGTCAACTTCAAGCAGTGGGTCAGTCTTACACCAACACCCATTGCCCTCTTATCAAATTACTTATCCTCCTTTCCATACAGTCTGTTTGCACATCCTCTCTTTCTTGCAAGAATTCCTCACTCTCCCTTCATTTCTTTTCCCCCCTCACTCCCCTCCTCCCTTTCTCCCACCCAAACCATCACTGACAGGCAGCATCCCTGGTGGCAGCAGGGGACGTGGCAGCACTCAAGGACCCGCACCTGCAAGCACCGGACGACCTGGTGCTGCGCATGGCACGCCTGGCGCTCTCCTGCATCGCCATGCCCACGGCATCTCGCCCGGGTATGAGCCGCGTGCTGGCAGAGCTGCTGCTGCTCAAGGAGGAGTTAATTGGGGAGGAGGAGGACCGCATGGCTGCCCGCATCGACCACGAGCTTGAGAGCATCGAGCAGGTTGATTTTAGCTTGGAGCTGGCTCGTATTGAGGGCATTCAACTCGGTAGTTAGTGACGTCAGGGGGAAGCAGAAAGTTATTCGCGGATAAAGGGAGGAGCAAGGGGAGCTAGGAAGAGAGTACAGTAAGGGTTCATGTTGTAGTTTTCCTCATAAGGGTCTCTTATGAACGGAGAGTCGACTTTGGGAAGAAAATGTTTCTCTGCGCGTGTAGTGTCCCGCTCGCATTTGATTGCAGTTAAAAAGGATGTCAATGGAAGGAAAGGGATAGCTTGCAGCAACAAGAGGCTACCTAGCAAATATCTAGCATCTCATCAGATCACACTAATGCCTCAGCCCATCCACCTCCATAGGGCTGGGCTATTATTCTCTGCCTTGCACACCACCATGCCACGGTAGCGGCATTATTTGCACGCACTCTCATGCGCCGCACCACCTCGTTTCAGGGCGCCCCGTCACTAGCAGCAACTGTTGCACCTCTACACCCATCTCGCGACGCCTTCACCTAGAAGTTGGTGCCACTCTCGTAGGTCGTCCCGGCGCTCCATCCGCTTGGAATGACGTCTTGCAGCACCACCTGCTGCCCGCCGCCCGTCACGCGCACGCTCACGGGGCTTCCCGCATCGACGACGTCCTTGGCGGGATTGAGCACCCACGTGGCGCCCCGTCCGTACGTCGTCATGCTCGTCCACTGCGACCCGTCGTTCGACAGCTCCACGTTCTCCACGCCTCCGCTCCCCGCCGCGCCGAGAATCTGAAGCGCGAAGTTGTACGAGTTGCTATCGTCGACTAATCTGACCTTCAGTCCGCCGTTGCTAGGGCAGTCCACGCTGTGGTAGTCGATCTCCACGCGCCCCGCGGGCCGGTCGCCGACGATTCTGTCCCACGCGGCGAAGTTGAGGTTGAAGTCGCCGTTCTGGCCGACCGCTCGCACTAGCACGCTTCCCTCCAAGCAGCTCTCGTGGTTCATGCAGGAGACTTCGTAGCACCTCCCGCAGCCCTTGCCGTTGTTGAAATCGCCCGAAGGCACCTGCGCTACCATGCCGAAGTCGAAATCGGAACTCTCGCCGTAGCTGAACTGGCCGCGATAGCACGTGTCAGAGGTCCACTGGAGATCCCCGATTGATCCTAGGGAAGGGTTACAGGCATGTTGGCCTGGGGGGTTATGGGCGCACTGACCCGCTACTTAACAAGCCCTTTTATCCCAATGGTCTAGTGGTTGGGATTCTGACATGGTATCAGAGCGAAGGTCTCGGGTTCGAATCCCAGTGTGTGCACTTCGGGCATCCCAGTGCGGGGGGGTGTCAGAGGTCCACTGGAGATCCCCGATTGATCCTAGGGAAGGGTTACAGGCATGTTGGCCTAGGGGGTTATGGGCGCACTGACCCGCTACTTAACAAGCCCTTTTATCTTAATGGTCTAGTGGTTGGGATTCTGATAGCACGTGCCCTCGTGGTCCAGATCGGCGGACGTGGCGTACATGGCGTCAGCAGGGGTGAGGGCGAGAGCAAGCAGAACGAATCCCATGCACAGTAAGCCGCCGACCTTGAAAACGTGAGCCATCAGAGAAAAGGAGCAGAGGGAAAGAATCGCTGAGAGCTTGCGGGAGCTTCCCGATGTGAAAACGAGCTATGCAATCTAGCTTGGATATGAGACACACTGGATGTTTGGAGGGCAATGATCGATTTAGATGGTGATAGTGAAGGAGGTGGAGGTTTATATAGTTGCGTCAGTCGGGCAGAATCGGGACTAGAGACTCTGGAAGTTCTATGCATGGAGCCCTCGTGAATTCCGTCTCGTTGAGAGGGCATTGGAAATCCGCCCTCCGCTTCAGAACAACAATAATTGTGTTCTCTTCGCAAACTGACTGCTTGGCGGCGACGAAAACGGCTGTAGTTCTTACGTGTCGTAAGTCGAAGGTTGGGAAGGTGATATCAACGATAATTGTTTTGGGGAGCGGTGTCATTCCGTTCCCGTCAATCTCGGGGAGTCAGTTTCGGGCACAATTCCCGCTGGGAATAAAAATCCAGGCGGGGCGAGAGGCTTCACGATTACTGGACCTCGCAACGCCAGAAGTCTTTGTATTTCTTCGTGTTTGGGGGCATGGCTGGCAACTCGGTTCATTTCACGAACCGAATAGAAGACTTTCGTAAGTGGTAACAAAATGTTCGTGCTCCTTGCTGTTATAGCATTTCGCAGTCCCACTCACTTAGCACACAAATTTAACGAAAACATACTACGAGGCGCGTTTCTCGACTCTAGGTAACGTATAACGAAGCTCACTCTAGGGTTTGGTGGCAACCTTGTTGCCTGCGCCATGAACTCAGCGTCTTCCTCCGCCTATTTTTTTACGATGTAAATTTCATGTTCGAGCGGATAATTTCTTCGAGTCAGCCGTTCACTATCAGATAGTAACGACATTCACCCACCGTTCACCACGCTACTCCCACCGAGTCGCTTCTAGCAGCAGGTGCGCGTCGCTCAAAACGACAACGTGGGTGCTAGTAATAGTAGCGAATCAGGGAGACCATGCAAATCTGGGGTAAGGCGGAAGGCTCCGACCCATCCCGTTCGAGACGCGGATCGCGTTGACGTGGGAGCGACACGGCCTTTAAGGCCTCTTCGCGCTCTCGTCAATCAAAGCATACTAATCTGAAGCATGTTGCTATTTTCTTCTCTTTTCTTTTTTCCTCATAAACATGCCTTTTCACAAAATGACGAGAATCAGATGGTCAGGGGGTCGCAAGTAGGGTCGACCCCCCCACGGCGCGTTTGTGAGCATGAGGACACGGTGGTGTGGGGGGATAATGGGGGCAAGGGGGTGTTGGATAATGCGGGTAGGGGGGTGGCGGATAGTGAGGGCGAGGGGGTGGGCGGTATTGAGGGCATGGGGATGGGAGGTATTGAGGGCATGGGGGTGGAGTTATTAAGGGCAGGGGATGGGGGATAATGCGGGCAGGGGGGTGGGGGATATTGAGGGCATGGGGGTGGGGGATATTGAGGGCATGGGGATGGGGGATATTGAGGGCACGGGGGTGGGGGATATTGAGGGCATGGGGGTGGGGGATAATGCGGGGAGGGGGGTGGGTGATATTGAGGGCATGTGGGTGGGGGATATTGAGGGCATGGGGGTGGGTGGTATTGAGGGCATGGGGGTGGGTGATATTGAGGGCATGGGGGTGGGGGATATTGAGGGCATGGGGGTGGGGGATATTGAGGGCATGGGGGTGGGGGATATTGAGGGCATGGGGGTGGGTGATATTGAGGGCATGGGGGTGGGTGATATTGAGGGCATGGGGGTGGGTGATATTGAGGGCATGGGGGTGGGTGATATTGAGGGCATGGGGGTGGGTGATATTGAGGGCATGGGGGTGGGGGATAATGCGGGCATGAGGTCCTTATTAAGTACAGTGGTAGTACAGCTTGGGGATTTTCAAGCTCGAATGGGAATGGGCGTGACCAGCTGTGGTACATGACATGGGTGCAAGTGGGCTACTTGCGTCTCACCCCTACACAGTTTCCCTGCTCTTCTCATTCTCTCCCATCTCTCCCATCTCTCCCATCTCTCCCATCGCTCCCATCTCTCCCATCTCTCCCATCTCTCCCATCTCTCCCATCTCTCCCATCGCTCCCATCTCTCCCATCTCTCCCATCTCTCCCATCTCTCCCATCTCTCCCATCGCTCCCATCTCTCCCATCTCTCCCATCTCTCCCATCTCTCCCATCTCTCCCATCTCTCCCATCTCTCCTAGTCATGTATCTTAGGTTATGGTTCTCCTCCCCCCTCTTTCCCATTCACGTTTCCTGAGTTGTATCTTCCCCTCTTTTACTACACAGTTTCCCTGCTCTTCCTCTCAGCGCTCTTCTCTTGTGAACAGGTTTTGAGTAGGGCTGAGCAACTAGCATTTGCTTGGGATTGAACAGGCTAACTACTAGCATTCAGTCCAGACAACTCGCCAGTTCATTATGTTAGATATTTGATCACCAACTAGGCCCAAAAGTGGAATGAGGTCACCCCTGGAAATCAGGGGTGTAGATTGAAAGGCTGTTAGTGGGGTGTTGCCTGGAGTCGCCTGCCTAGTATTGAAAGAGAGGGGACTGGGGTGTTGCCTGGAGTCGCCTGCCTAGTATTGAAAGAGAGGGGACTGAAACACCGTAATAGAGCAGGCAAAATATGAACCCGAGATTTGAAAGCAACTGATGGACCAACCTCGGGAGTATGAAAACGCCGCCCGTGGGGCTCGAACCCACGACCACAAGGTTAAGAGCCTTGCGCTCTACCAACTGAGCTAGGGCGGCTGTTTGGACTGCTTCCCCAAGATTAAATAACAAATTATAATGCATGGATACTTTCTGACGTGGCTGCCATGTTCCTGGGATCAAGTGAGAAAGCGCAGCGGCTTTGGAGATTTCCAGATTATTTGGTATCCTGGCCTCGTCAGCAGCGTCTCTCGCGAACCAGCACACACTTGCCTAGCCGCACAATCCGCTGTGGCAAGGGCGCACAGAAACTAGAGCAGCAGTGGATTCCACGTCAGAGGAGGGTTACTTCCGTGCTGTCATCTCAATCATTCAGAGTACCCCGTTAAATATTATGAGCGGAGAAGGGACAGCTAAACAAACACAAGGATTATCCAGCATAGGTTGGCTCGGTAACACATGTCCATAACCAATAACTGAATGAAAGAACGGGTGACTACCTCGAATCAGATGAGTCACATTCCTGCGGAAATTCCTCCGGAATCTCGTCGTCGTGGCAATCTTCCCCCCCACCCCCACACAGCATCTCTCGTCATGAATCCTCCCCATCCCTCCCACTCCGGCTCCCCCATGCGCACCGTTGTTGTGAGAGAATCTCAAGACTTGTCTAATCTCTTGCTGCGCATCCTTCGTTGCTGCCCTGCTGATGCGCCATTGTTCTATTTTGGGACCATTCATTTCGAATCTCAACGTTTATTCCAGCTAATCGACCTCGTATTCGCGAGATTGTAGTCTTGCGAAGTCTTAGCTCTCGAGAGTCCCGTCTTGACGCTTGATACCTGCTCCCGTATTCCGTTATTCCATCGGCCAGCATGGGTCTCGAGGTGGAGAACATGAGCGACCTTCAGAAGCTCCGCACCACCTACACGCCAAAGCTCCCTCCGGTTCTCCAGGTTGGGATTTTTACTGCTCAGATTTCAGACCGCTGTCGTTGTTTCCGTTCCGCGGTCAACTTTATGATCACCGAAAGCGGCCCAGAAGCGGCAGGAACAAATATCGAACGAACGTGAAAGTAAATACTTGTTCGATTGGAAAAGAAAACGGTGAACGCACATGTATTGGTCCTAACAGGTCCCGTCGTCCGATCTTGTTTCTTCCACCTGCTTGGACTGTCGCAGTCTAACTCCGTCACAGTGGTAGGAGGGTTCGAAACCGCGACGCTCGAGCCGTCAGACCGCATCGCGGTGCAACGCAAGTTCCCCCGGACATACGGCTCCTCGCTGCTCTCCCTCGTCAATGTCCCCGTTGACAGATGCCCGGGTGCCAAGGCCCATGCCAAGGCCTCGGGACCCCTCAGGTGCGCATTCCTTTCTAGCTTTCAGTTTTTCCGGATTTTTTCTATGATTGATGGAGTCATTCGAGAAATGTCAATGCTGATGTTGCTCTCTGTTTGGTGTTCCGGCCTTTTCCCCCATACGTTTCTGTTTCTGTTGACGGAATCCGTCAGGGTGGGAGTGCTGTTTTCCGGCCGTCAGTCGCCCGGTGGGCACAACATCATCTCGGGTCTCCTCGATGCGCTCAAGGCGCACCACGCCGACAGCACTCTCCTCGGCTTCGTCGGTACGCGTTATCAGGACCGCCTCTATACTCATATCCTCAGTCTGCTCCGGTGTGCCGCTATTGTAGAAGCCCTCGCGTTCTCGTGCTCATCTCTGTCTCTGTCTCTGTCTCTGTCTCTTTCTCCGAGCCATCTGCACGAGCAAACGAGTGACCATTTTCGAGTGTCCGTGTTATCCCCTGCCACGTGTCTTGTTCGTCCCTCTCCAGGCGGCTACAAGGGCGTGTTCGAGAAGAACACTCTCGAGATCACTCCCGAGGTGCTCTCGCTCTACAAGAACCAAGGTACGCGATTTCACCCTTCAATGTCAACCCAGATTCGTTTGGTTTCGTCGTTTCGCTTCCCCGGACGTGCGTCCATCGCCCCTTGCGTGCGTGTGAATCTGCGCGTAAGTCTCACCCGCCTTTGTGAGTCAGGCTGAACGTTTGTCTGGTTCCGGAAAATGCGGTTCAACGGCTGGCCTCGGCAACTGTAGTCAACAAGCTACCTTTTTTCTCGTTGACGTATTTTCGTTGCTCCGACATTTTTCATGATTCTCTCCCGTCTCGCGTGTTTCTGTCCGTGTCGCACTGGCAGGCGGGTACGACCTGCTGGGGCGGTCCGTGGCGCAGATGTCGTCGACGGAGCTGCAGGCGCAGGTGAAGGCCACGTGCACCGACCTCAAGCTCGACGGGCTCGTCCTCATCGGCGGTGAGCACCCCATCCCACCACATGCCACACCCGCGCTGCGTTTGACTTCGACTCTGCGAGCACCTCATCCCACACCTGCGCTGCCTTCCATCATATGTGCGCTCTAGGTGTTCAAAGCTCAGCTGTCTTGAGCTTATTTTCCGGAGCGCATCTGCGTGCTTCTCTTCATTGTCGCCTGCTCCTTCCTCACCCCCCTTTCCCCCCGTCCGTCCTTCCATCGCTGCGCCGACCCTCTCCCCCGCCCCCTCCTCGGGTGCGCGCGCGCAGGCACGGGCACGGCGACGACTGCGGCGTACCTCGCGGAGTACTTCGCCGCCGAGAACGCGCCCACTAAGGTGCGCCCTTCCCCCCCTCCTTCACCTCTTTCTTTTAACTCTTGACTTCAAGCTCGCGGAGCACTGCGCCGCCCAGAACGCAGCCACCAAGATGCGCCCCTCCCTCCCTCCCTTCCTCCCCACCTTCGATCGTCTCTAGAAGCTTTGCCGGCCGACCAAACGGTGGAAGGATGATGAGTAGATTTCCCGGAAATGGCGCGAGGTGGTGTCACATACGAGATCACCTCGAGCATTGGCTCTAAAGCTACCTATTCGTACTTGCGAGCTCATCGCGTACCCTCTGTTCGTTGTATGGGGCTGCCGGGTGGGTGTGTGGGTTACGTGGTTGCGCGGGGTGTGCGTGCGTGCGTGCGTGCGTGCGTGCGTTCGTGCGAGGGCGCGTGGTGCGGTGCGGTGCGTGCGTGCGGGGTTGCTATCAGGTGGTGGCGATCCCGTGCACCATCGACTGCGACCTCAAGAACCAGTTCGTCGAGGTCAGCGTCGGCTTCGACTCCGCCTGCAAGGCAAGTAACCTTCTCTCCCCTCGCCTCTCTCTTTGTATCTCCAGCCGCCTCTCTCGCTGCGCCTCTCTCGCCCCTCCACAACTCTACCTGCCTCAAGGGCCCCTCCATCCTCTCTCCATCCTTCTCCCTTCCTGCACCCTATTCGTCCTGGGCCGATTTCTCCAGTTCAGTGCCTTAAGTTCAAGTTGCCACGTGTGCTGATCCGTGCGTGATGTTCCCACCTCCCCGCCTGTGCTGTGCGCGTGTCATACGGATCGCATCGGATCGCATTGGATCGCATCGGATCGGATCGGATCTCACAGGTGTACTCGCAGCTCATCAGCAACATCTGCACCGACGCTCTCTCCGCGGAGAAGGTGCGTATCGACCGACATCGAATCTCCATTCGTTCCGCCGCGCGCACACTGCTCTACTCCGCGATGCCGCTTCTCTGCTGCTGCGTACCTCATTCCTGTTTCCAAATCTCCGTTCATCCCACTGCATTCTTCAACGTCTCCTTCGTTGAGCTCACATGGCTCGCATGTCTCACATTCCGCAGTGCTCTGATGCTTCACGACCCAGCTCGTGATCGCATGCGTCTTGGCCCTCCTCATTCCTCATTCCCTCCGAGTGCACGTGCGCGCTGCATGTCACCCCCTTCCTCCTCCCCCTCCCCCCGCCCCCTCTGCGTCGCAGTACTACTACTTCGTGCGACTCATGGGTCGCAAGGCGTCGCACATCGCGCTCGAGTCCGCGCTGCAGTCGCAGGCGAACATGGTGATCCTGGGCGAGCAGATCGCGGCGTCAAAGATGACCCTCTTCGACATCACCAACAAGATCTGCGACGCCGTCGTGCAGCGCTCCGTTGAAAAGGGTCCGTCAGTCAGTCAGTCAGTCAGTCAGTCAGTCAGTCAGTCACCTGCTCTGCACCTCGCCTCCCCTTCCCTCCTCAACTCGCTGTCGCCTCTCCTCCGCTTCCCTCCTCACTTTCCTGTCCCTCCTCTCCTCTCTCCACCTCTACGCGTCTCGTCCCCTTGGCATCATGTGCTGATCAGTACATGATTGTGAGCTTGTGCCCGTGTGTGTCCGTCCATCTGCGCGCCCACCCATCTTGACCGAGTTTTGAGACGTTCCGGAGCTCATCATGCCCGTATGTGTCCGTGTGTCCGTGTTGCCGCCGATACAGGCAAGCACCACGGAGTCATTCTCTTCCCCGAGGGCCTCATCGAGCACATCGGTGTCTTTTGGGTCGGCTCAGCCTCATCATGCCACGTGTGTGTGTGTGCGTCTGTGCGCCCATCATTGCCCATCGTTCCAATGTGCGTCCCATGCATGCAGGCAAGCACCACGGAGTCATTCTCTTCCCCGAGGGCCTCATCGAGCACATCCCCGAAGTTGCCGCTCTCATTGAGGTCAGTCACCTGCTCTTATCGAGGTTCTTATATCGAGGTCAGTGAGTCCGTGCAATCTGTCCTTTTCCGCATTGCTCGCGTCACCCCTCTCATGATCCCACCACCTGTCCCTCGCCCCACCCACCGTTGCTGATCACCTCTGCCCCTCCCCTCCCATCGCTCCCCCCCTTCTGCGACTTGTGCGGCGTGTGCGACTTGTGCGGCGTGTGCGACTTGTGCGGCGTGTGCGACTTGTGCGGCGTGTGCGGCGTGTGCGGCGAGCAGGAGATCAACGAGCTGGTCAACAGCGGCGTGTCGTCGGAGGCGGTGGCGTCGCGCCTGTCGCCGTGGTCGGCGGCGCTCTTCGCGTTCATGCCGCCCTTCATCCGCCACGAGTTCGCGGAGCACCGCGAGGTCGACGGCTACATCCGCTTCTCGCAGGTGCGCCTTCCTCCATCCTCCCCCACCCCCCTGCCTTCCTCGCCTCCGTTCCCCCCGCCTTCTGCCATCCTCCTCCCCCGCCGCCTTCCACGCGTCCGCCGTCCGTGCTAGTTGCCCATGTTTCAATCATGGATATTCTCTAGCCTTACTCACCCCACTCTCTGTTTGTGTTCACCTTCCTATTGCATGTCGCATGGAACAATACGGCATGGCATGGTATTTTCCCGGATCGTGGCATGGGATGGCATTGTATGGTGTGTGTGGGCGCATGCATGGATGTGTTGCGTATGATGCGTGCGATGTCACAGATCGAGACGGAGAAGCTGTTTGCGCATCTGGTGGAGAAGGAGATGGAGCGACGCACGGTGGGTCCTGGGTGCAGGAAGCGAGGCCGCGGGGTGAGGGCAGGGAGAGGGCGAGGGGAAGAGGATTGGGGCAGAGTGAGGGGGGCGGGAGCGAGGAGAGAGAAGCGGATGAAATGAGAATGGATGCGTTTGCGGGAGCAGAGACGAAGACGTAGTTTTTAGTAGACATGGAAACGCATGGAGATTGAAGTATAGTCGAAACGTGAGCCAGCCCGTGTCGTTGAGCGAGGTGCAGCCTGCTGTAACGTCGGTGCTCCTCTGTGTGCGTGCGCGTCTCTGTGCTTGCGTGCGTGTGTGGTGTGTGCATGGGGCATGTGGCATGGCATGTGAGCAGAAGGCGGGTTTGTACAAGGGAAAGAAGTTCAACGCCATCTCCTACTTCTTCGGTTACCAGGCGCGCGGCTCCCTGCCCTCCAACTTCGACTGCGACTACGCCAATGTAAGTGCCCGGCGCTGATTTTCCCTCATGCACACGCACAAGTGCGCTTCTGCACGCACCACATACACACCACGCACATCCACACACACACATGCACATGCACATATGAACGCACATGGACACACACACACACACGCACACACACACACACACACACACGCGCACGCACGCACGCACGCACGCACACACACCCAAGCATACACACCAACCAAGCACAAGCCTTCTCTCCCTTCCCGTACCAAATTCTCTCCTTGTGCCGCTCTTATCCCCCGACTCCGCCAGGCACTGGGGCACACGGCGGTGCATCTGGTGGCGGCGGGTGCGGGCGGGTACCTGGCGACGGTCAGCGGGCTCAAGCACGACGTGTCCCGCTGGACGCTCGGTGGCGTGCCCATCACGGTGCGTGCTCCGCCCTCTGTGTGTGTGCCGAGTGTGGTTTATTATGTGCGTCGTTTGTCTGCGTGTGCGTATGTGGGTTGCATGGCATGGTCGATTAGAGTATGTGCCTCCTGCATGCAGCATGGTGGCATGGTGGCATAGTGGCATGGAGAGCGTTGAGGTGTGAGTTTGTGTGAGATGCAGACAGCCTTCCTCTCATCACATGCTTGACTCTCAGCTGCGTGAAAGCGTCTCGCATGGCATCAAATCAACCTTCCTCTCATCACATCTCATGGCTCTTCGCTGCACTCCCGCCCACGCCCCTAGCCTTCCGCTCCTGTCTGCTCTCCGTGCCCCTCAAGCCTCTCTCCCCTCTGGCCCCTCCGCGCCCCTGATCCCCTGTGCGCAGGCAATCATGAGTTCGAAGGGCGGGGCCACGGAGCCCGGTGTGTTTTGAGACGTCTCAAAGCACTACTTTTATCACGTGCCCTCCAACCTCTCTTCCCCTTATCCCCTCCGCGCCCCTTATCCCCTGTGCGCAGGCAATCATGAGTTCAAAGCCAACAATGAAGGGCGGGGCCACGGAGCCCGGTGTGAACGCCAACAAGGTCGACCTCAACAGCGCCCCTGTCCAGTGAGTGCCGGGCGCGTTTTGAGTGCCGGGCGGGTTTTGAGACGCCTCAAAACTCAATCATGAGTTCAAAAGCCAACAATGAAGGGCGGGTGTGAACGACAACAAGGTCGACCTCACCAGCGCCCCTCTACAGTGAGTGCCGCCCAGGCCCCCCCTGCTCTGCTCCCACTCACACTCGCGCGCACCGCACAACACAGCACTGCACCGCACCCACCGCAACTTGGGGCTTGGTACCCGTCCCCTCATGCCCGGCGCCACCCTCATACCTCTCACGTCCACTCCGCTCCCCTCATACCATATGCCTCTCCCTACCCATGCCTCTCCCTAACCATGCCTCTCCCTACCCATGCCTCTCCCTACCCATGCCTCTCCCTACCCATGCCTCTCCCTACCCATGCCTCTCCCTACCCATGCCTCTCCCTAACCATGCCTCTCCCTACCCATGCCTCTCCCTACCCATGCCTCTCCCTAACCATGCCTCTCCCTACCCATGCCTCTCCCTACCCATGCCTCTCCCTACCCATGCCTCTCCCTACCCATGCCTCTCCCTACCCATGCCTCTCCCTACCCATGCCTCTCCCTACCCATGCCTCTCCCTACCCATGCCTCTCCCTACCCATGCCTCTCCCTACCCATGCCTCTCCCTACCCATGCCTCTCCCTAACCATGCCTCTCCCTACCCATGCATCTCCCTACCCATGCCTCTCCCTACCCATGCCTCTCCCTACCCATGCCTCTCCCTACCCATGCCTCTCCCTACCCATGCATCTCCCTACCCATGCCTCTCCCTACCCATGCCTCTCCCTACCCATGCCTCTCCCTACCCATGCCTCTCCCTACCCATGCATCTCCCTAACCATGCCTCTCCCTACCCATGCCTCTCCCTACCCATGCCTCTCCCTACCCATGCCTCTCCCTACCCATGCCTCTCCCTACCCATGCCTCTCCCTACCCATGCCTCTCCCTACCCATGCCTCTCCCTACCCATGCCTCTCCCTACCCATGCCTCTCCCTACCCATGCCTCTCCCTACCCATGCCTCTCCCTAACCATGCCTCTCCCTACCCATGCATCTCCCTACCCATGCCTCTCCCTACCCATGCCTCTCCCTACCCATGCCTCTCCCTACCCATGACGCCAGTGCGGGCCGCTGGCTGCTGGACGATCTGTACCACAGCCCGGCCCCGTACCCCCCTTACCCCCCTTACCCCCCTTACCCCCAGGGCGCTGCACGCCAGTGCAGCCAGCTGCCTGCTGGACGACGTGTACCGCAATCCGGGCTGGAGAGTATAGCAGCTCACTCATCCGCACATCCGCTTGTCCCTGCCTTGCGTGCGCCTCACTCAAACACACTGTCCTCCTGTCCTTGCCTCCACTCCCCGCTCCTCTATTCCCCCAGGGCGCTCTACACCAACGCTGCCAGCTGGCTGCTGGACGACCTGTACCGCAACCCGGGTCCCATCCAGTTCGAGGGGCCCAGCGCTGAGGCGCGCCCCATCACACTCATGATGGAGGACCACAGCTATGTGGAGCAGATGCACACTCTGCACAAGTACCTCGACCAGGTCAGTGCTTGCAAGGCTGCTGCTGGTGAGACGCGCCTCATCATGCTCACTATGGCTGGGTAAGTATGAAGCCCATCACGCCCACCATGGAGGACCACAGCTATGTGGAGCAGATGCACACGCTGCACAAGTGCCTCGACCAGGTGCTTCCAACTGATTATTCTCCCATACCGCTCCTACTAATGTAGCTTGATCAAATCATGCTTTCCTCCTGAGTTTTGAGGGCTTGCGACTAACCCCAAACCCAATGTGCTCCGTACCAATGAATATTCTCTTGGCAGGTGAGGGAGGTGGTGAAGCCTGGGTGTGCCCCCGAGGCACTCAACACGGCGCTCTCCTCCCTGGCATTGCTCACCTTCTATGTCCTCTCCTCTCTCTCGCCCCATGTGCCTGCAGGTGAGGGAGCTGGTGAAGCCTGGGTGTGCCCCCGAGGCCCTCAACACGGCCCTCTCCTCCCTGGCCTCCCTTACCCACGTCCTCACCATCCTCACTGGCCCCGGCTCCTCCTTCGCTGCTCCCGACCCCGCCCCCTCGCCCCGCGTCTCCTATGTGGCCGGCATGTGGAAGTAGGCCGTGGAAAGTAGATGTTTTAGTGGAGAGAAAAGGAGTGAGAAGTGGATGGCATGGGAGATACTTGGGTTGATGTGATAGAATACGTGTGGAATTTATATGTTGGGTTGTGTGGTAGAAATGATAGGGACCCGTTCGGTTGTGGTTTCTCATCTTTCTTTGATGTCTCGAAATGGCTAGTTGAAGGAGGATCGGTGAAAATCCGTTTACATGTGCAGATAAGAACTTACATATACATCTAAAAGAGTTCTTGTGGATTAGGAGATCTTATAGGCTAGTACACCTAGAGGGTACTTCTTAGCGGAGCAGCTAGACCATGCAATTCCACCACAAGACAGCATGACTTCACGAGCTGAGCTCCTTTCGTCAGTCTCCATGAACGCGTGTGGGATGACAAGGCGCCTCAAAAGGCGACAAGCCTAGAGTATGCCGATGAATACTCTTGCCGTGTCAAACCCCCGAGAGCATATGACGTGCCTACTTAGACATGTCGTGGCAGCAGAAGCTCAGCGCACCACGTGTCGAAAGGAAGATGTTGTTTCAGCGCCTCTTGCGCGGAGACGCATGCAAACGAGGTCACATAATGGGAAACGAAAACGTGCGCCTCGACTGCGAGCGCCAAACCAGTGGATTGGCGTGTCCTTTTGTGCGAATCCCAGGAGTTCAGGCACAGCACTGCGCAACGCACACGCCACATCGCATGGCCCACAACACACGCCAGCAGCTGGCTTGGGAACCGCCCGATGGGTCGCATTCGGTCCCCACCGCCAGCCGTGTGAAACTCGATTGGATCCACGTCAAATCTGACGGCTGAAGGCGGCGATTTAGAGGATCGTGACCGTTGAAGTTTGGCAGGTCCTCGCTTCAGCGAGGCGCTCCATTGCAGTTCGTGATCGGGTTGAGTGGGCGCATGCCGTTTAGTAAGGCGCGAAAGAGGCGCCTAAGAGGCATAAAGCTTGGGTGCTAATACTTGGGGTGCTCGCTGTCGATCCAGGCAGGATTCGGTGCACGGACGCTCACGATATCGCAGCGTTTTGTTTTTTTTCCATCGCCTGCGTTTGCTCCTCGTGCCGGTGTGCCGCTTGCTCCTCCGAGTGGTTGGGCAGAAATCGATCGGGATCGCTTGAAGTTTGAAGGGGGGGCGCTTTCTGTCCGGAGCTGGTGGATGGCTCACGAAACCCGCAAGACTTGCGAGACAAACGAGACTCACGAGACTCACGAGACGCACAAGAGTCACGAGATTCAGGGGGCGAATCGGCAGGCGCGTTGGCAGCCGACAGCAGCGGCGGGTATGGGGCGACATGGGAGGGAAGGAGGAGAAACAGGGGAAGGAGGAGAGAGAGGAGAGAGAGGAGAGAGAGGAGAGAGGGGTCATGGCTCCGGCGGGGGGAGGGAGGAACGTCTGGAGCTAATTAGCGGTGGGATACCGGAAGGAAGCTTCGTTGTGGGTTCGCCTCCCAAGCGGTTACGGAACAGTGGGTTGGGTGGGGAGAGGTGCGAAGAGTCTCCAGAAAGGAGCATGCACGATGATCGCGAGTACCAGCTTCTTGAGGCAGGTCTGAAGGAGGGCTTTAACGTGCAGGGAGGCTCTGGGAAGGGGCAAGGGGAGTTGCCAGATGTTGTTCATAATAAGGAGCCTGATAACGGGATGGGGAGCGGGAAAGAGAGCGAAGGGCAGAGGTTAGAGGTGAGGGAGACCGAGGAGGGGGTTTTGGAGGCGCCTCATAAGCTGGATAGGGAAACGAGGAGTGGGAGGTTGGGAGGGGGAGAGAGTGATGGGGAGAGGGAGGCGTTAGTGTGTAAGGTGGGGCAGGTACACGAGAGGTCTTTTGAAGCGCATCAGAAGCCGGATAGCATAAGGGAGATCGGGAGGGGAAGAGAGGGAGACAGCGGTAAGGGGAGGGAGGAGGCGATAGAGTGCGAGGTGAGGCAGATCTACGAGGGGCTGTGCTTGGACCTTGCTGCTGCTGGCGACGAGGAGGCCTGCAGCGCTGACAGGAGCGCTGACGTGGCAGGCCAGCGTGGAAGGCACGCTGACGTGGCAAGGCATGGTCTAGCTGGCGCTGATGAGGCTCTGTGCATAGGAGACGTTGCTGACCTGGACTTCAACAGGGGGGAAGGGGTAAAGGTTGATGAGGGGCAGAGCGAGGTTCAGGGCGTTCTGAGTGCGGTGGAACTGGATTCAGTGCGGTTGCTGGCCTCCCTCCCGTCTCTGAACTCCAGCGACCTCGCCTCTGCCCTGCCTGCTCTCGGCTCTGTTAACCCTCTGCCCAACACAGAGGGTGTTATGGAGTCGACTCGGAAGTCGTCCGCTCTCGCCCTTGTTGGCCCACCACATGACACAGAAGCTATTGCGGAAGGCATTGAAGCCGCCTCTAGGCTGCCGGCTCACACATGGGGCTGTTCTCAAGACGCACTTTTGCAGCACCAGCCGCAGTGCCCGCAGTGTGACCCGGCTGTAGCGGCATCTGACCTGGCTGTAGCGGCATCTGACCTGGCTGTAGCGGCATCTGACCTGGCTGTAGCGGCAATCGAGCCAGATATAGCAGCACCTGATCCGGATGTAGCAGTACCTGATCCGCCTGCACTGGCAACTGAACTGGCTGTAGCAGCAATCGAGCCAGATGTAGCAGCACCTGATCCGGCTGTAGCAGCACCGCTGGATCCGGCTGTAGCGGCACTGTCAGACATACAGCTGCCGCCCGGGTTCACAGAGGGCGAGGCAGCAACGGAGTACTTCCCACCGTCGTCTGACCCGCCAGTTGACACGCTAGACCCCCTTGTGGAAACCCAGAACCCCTTTGCTGTGACCTTTGAGTCGACTCAAAAGTCAACGTCGTTTGACCCGCCTGTTGACACGCTCGACCCCCTTGTGGAAACTCAAAACCCCTTTGCTGACACCCACAGCCCACTCGTTGAGGCGCCTCACAAGTATGACCCGCCTGTCGACACGCTAGACCCGCTCGTGGAAACCCAGAACCCTTTCGCTGACACCCTTAGCCCCCTTGTGGATGCTGAGGAAAACGTGCTGGGCGGACGCGGAGGGGAGGGTGGAGGGGGAGAGGGAGGAGTGGGAGGTGGAGGAAGGGGAGGAGAAGAGGAAGACAGTGAGGAGGGAGCTGGAAAAAGGGGGGAGAACGAGGGAGGAGATGTGGGAACGGTAGGGCAAGGAGGGCACAATGATAATTGGGAGAGGAAGGTTGCAGAAGGGGTTGGGGGCGGTGCGGCTGGGCAGGAAGGGGCATCGGCATTATCATATTTTCAAGCATCTCTTCAACCGACATCAAGTGTTTCTGGATGGCTTGCAGCAGAGGTTGGAACTAAGACTGGTGCCAATGCTGCTGCTGCTCATTCTTGTTCTGATGCTCGTGCTGCTGCCAGTGCTGCTGCTGGTGGTGATGGTGTTGGGGAGCAAGGCCCTTCAGCTGGTGACACAGCCAAAGGAGGAAGAGGAGGAGGAGGAGGGGGAGAAGGGGGACAACCAAGCGATAGCAGCAGTGGAGTAAAGCCCGACCAATCAGAGCCAGGGGATGATCTATCGCACGGGTCTCAGCCCGGGGTGAAGCATGGGTTGAGTGCGGTGGAAGGGAGTGCAGGGGCACATGCCATGCTGCCGCCCGCAGGCATGGTGGCGCCGCCCTACGAGCACATGCGCCAGCCTGGCATGGCTGTGACTCTAGCGGATGTGCTTGATGCGAGGGAGCCGTCAGTGCAGGCGGGTGTGACTGTAGACGAGCAGGGGCTGGGGTCCTTGGGATTCCCCACGTCGCCCCTGGAGGGACTGGGTTTAGAAGAAGGATTGGGCTTTAAGCAGGAGTTGGGTTTTAAGCAGCAGCTGAGCCTTGGTCTGGGGCTGGGCTTTAAGTAGGGGTTAGCTGGTGCATACGGGGAAGCAGCAGGGAGTGCAGCAGGAGGTTTGGGTGACACGTCAGCAGGTGTACCCTATGCCAGGTCAGCAAATCTACCACGTGCAAGCACACTGCCAGGTGTGCAGCACGCCATGTCAGTGGTGCCAGAGCTGCAGCAAGCAATCGCCTCTTCGCCTCTAACACCCGCTCCCCCCCTTGCCCCTCACCCCCCCTCCCTTCCGCCCACGCCACCTCCCAGCCCCGTTCCATTCCTTGCCTCCCTCCCCACCAGCCATGCCAGCCCCGTCCCTCCCCCAGCAGCAACACCTGCCACCCAGATCACTGTGCCTGCCCAAGTCCTTCTCTCCCACACCCCTTCACTCGCACCATCCACAGCTATCCAGGTGACACCTGCACGAGTCACTGCCTCCCCTTGGTCCACTATTACAGTCATGCCGTCTGTTAGTGCCCACTCGGCTGCTGAAGGGCATGTTGAGGTGCACGCAGGGCGTGCAGGATGTGACAATAACGAGATGCTGCTCAAGATTGGAGTGGAGGGGAGTAAGGAGGTGGTGGTAAGGCAGGGCGGGGATGCCACCAGAGAGGTATTCACTGTGGAAGTGAGTGCAGGGCAAGTTAAATTGGGGATCAAGAGTGGAGAGGATGTGACTTTAGTGGTGGGAAAGGGAGTGGGGGAAGGTACCACTGCAAGGGTGGAGGAGGGCGGATAGCTAGGTGGTACATAGTAGAATGTTGATACTATCTGTGATATCAATTTTGCTTGGTAACTACCTGTTTAGGGATTTGATTGTGGGTTAGGAAGGAGTAGAGGATAATTCACTATCTTGAGATGATTGTAGCTAACTTCACAATTGTAACCCCATTCTTCCACAGCTACCAGTTTGTCAGATTGAGGAACTCAATATAAGAGAATACTTATAACACAGCTACAACAAAATGATAGGCCCAAATTCAGGCCAGTATACAATACAGACAGAGACACGCTTAGCGCGCACACAAATCAGCCCACCAATAAATCAAATCCCACATGCTCGCATCGCGCGCGACTATGTTCAATGAAGCGGCTCGCGGGGGAACTCCTCGACGGGGCTGAGCTGCTTGGCGCGGTGGTACTCGGTGTGCGCGCAGTCCACGGAGAGCACCGAGCTCGACTCGTACGACCGCGGCGTGCCGTCCAAAAACCCCACGCCCTCCTCGCTGTCCGACGAGATCGGACGGTGCAGATTTGCGATCAGGCGCTGGAAATCCGCGGCGGGTACTTGTTACGGGCCACACAGATCACGTTAGTGGCGGGAAAACTGCGCGCCCGTCAAGGTCAAGTACTGTGTTTCCACGGTTGAGGGAAAATATCAGCGCGAAATGATTGTTTTCACTGTTCTGAACGTGTTTCCTGGGTGGCGTAATGATTATTCAGGGAAGTCAGATGTATTTCTCTCCTGGGGCAGAAACCGTCACTGATCGAAAAACTCGTAAAAACCAACAAAATGAGTATTGATGGCGAAAACTGACCGCGGGAATTGGGCGCGATCGCGTGGCAGGAGGCCTGTAAAAACCACTGCCCGTTGGAATTGAAGAAAAGAAAGCACGGCGGTTTGTCATTTCCTCATCCCTAACGCATGCCAGGCCCGAATGGGCTTTATTTTTGCCCGCGGGCAGGGTAGTACATGAGATCCACTAAGTCTAACTAGATTTCTCTTGAAATTTGTGGGAACAATAAAACAAATCGCGGTTCTCGCGATCATAGGCATGCCACGTGGCAAACATAAAACGAACTGCGATTTCGCGGAATTGAGCAAAACTCTCTCTAAAAAATCACTTTACTGGCGCAGGTTGGTCCGTCGCGGCTGGTTGTTACCTAAACAGGTCGGGTCAGGTTTCTACTCAGGTGGAGAAGATTCGAAGCGCAGGGAGATGGCTCGTGGTCAACTCCTGGTTGGGCAAATGATTGCTGGTGTTTCTCCTAGGCACCTGTAAATCCCGCTATTACGCCGCTCGACTCTTCCGATGTGGTGAGCTTCTTTCAAGGTTTTCCAAGGTGGTGAGTTTTATTCAAGGTTTGCAAAAGTAACATCATTCTGTAACCGTTGTTTCTGCAAATGGTTGATACGGTATAATGAATGTGTAAAAATGCAGACTCGATTCTCTCCCATATTCAGTGCCTGAGCTGGTTTATCAAACTTTTGCAATTCGATGGTAGCTACCCAAAAAAAATATTGCACTGAGCAGCAAGAAGCAAGCTTGAGCTGACAGCTACAGATAATCTGGTCACAAAAACAATCATATAAGCTTGAAACATTTTTCTTGTGTCTAAGTCAGTGCTGCCAATTTCTTTGTTCTTCTGCACATTTGTATATACATATGCTTTGTTTCCCCTAATTCTGCAAGTGGTTTCCATCACAATGCAGCACTGATTCATAAAAACACAGTGGTTTTTCTTTACAAAGCATTATATCACTACCGGTGTCACTATACAAGTGAAGAGCAATTACAACAGCTTCTCAATATCAGCCTGCACAGTGCAATGGGGGCAGAATAAATGAAGGAAACTATGTCAGCTATGCTTTGTGTCCGTACAAGCTAGGCTATCTTAATACAGTAATTACAGAAAAAGTGGCAAACTCATATCAATCATCTTACCTGGATGGCGGAAGGAGAGGTGGTGGGCGCATATCTCTCCACAACCTTGCCCTCCTTGTCCACAAGGAACTTGCCGAAGTTCCACTTGATCGAGTCACCCAGCAATCCTCCGCCCTTCTGCGACCTCAGGAACTGGTAGACCGGGGCTGCATCCGCCCCATTCACGTCCACCTGCATAGGGAGCAAGAGGGGACGGAGACGTGAGATTGTGAGATATGCTGGTATGTCATGTCGGATTGACAATCATCATGACATAAATTAATGTTAGGGCTAGAACTTCTAATGACAACATTCTTTCTCAAATCCTTCTGGTCTGTCTCACTTAATAGTGTGCCTGCATCTCAAGCATTACTTCTCACGCGCGCTATTACTGAAATGGGCATCATTCCATAACGCCAGCAAGCTTCACACTTTGTCAAAGAGTGGAAAGGTGGCGCGGTATCTGGAGCATGCGAACTCCTTGATCTTGTCATTGCTGCAACGAAAACTATATTATACGCCTTATAGGACAGCATACCTTGTCAAAGAGCGGGAAGGTGGCGCGGTATCTGGAGCACGCGAACTCCTTGATCTTCTCGTTGCTGCCAGGCTCCTGCGACCCGAACTGGTTGCACGGGAACGCGAGGATTTCCAGACCTGGCGAACGAGGTTCGGGGATGGGAGGAGGAAAGAGTTGACCAGGTACGGGAAGCAAGAGGCATGATGCAGGCAAAAATCAAGTTTGGGGAGGTGGAAAAGCAGTACGTGGAGAAGCGGCGAGAGGAACGCGGCAGGAAAAGAGACAACAAAGGAGACGCAACAAAAAGAGATCTGGGAGAGGAGGAGGGGCGAAGGAGAGGCCGAGAGGGAGCTAGGAAGAATGTGAGTCGCGCCGCGCAGAGTGCCAATTGAGTGAACTTCAAAGCACGAGTGTTCTCACAATCACTCACCTCTGTCCTTGAGCTTGTCGTACACCGACTGCAGCTCCTTGTAGTTAGAATCGGTGAGTCCACTGACGAGGATAACGAAAGTTTACGAAATATGGTACAGAGGGAAGAGCGTGCGACATCAGGATTGAGGTACGCGCATAAACGAGCATGCGGAAAATCGAGAGGCAGCGAGTGCAAATTTGCAAGGCGTGAAAGACCAGTTCAGCATAAAATCTGTCAGGAAGAAGGGGACATGGAGAAAAATGGCAGGCGATTCCATGTCTATTCAAAATTTGTGGGCGCTCTGGTCACATGTTTTTTGTTCCGAGATCCAACAAACGTCGCATGCTCACCACTGCGAGGCGACGTTGACGACGAGAACGACCTTGCCCTTGTACTGCGACAGCGACACGGGGTTTCCGCTGATGTCCTGCGTGCGACGGAGAAGGGATCGCACGGGTCGGAGGCAGATTTTATATACACGGGATATGGCTGAGTCCCGCTTAGGATAATGTACAATTTCGACAAATAAATTGAACTACCAGGAGACGGCGGCTTCAGGTCAGGTAAGACTGACCAGTTAACCTCTGAATTGCACCAACGTTCAAGCCGACGCGTAAAGGTACCGCAGATTACGCAGGTACAGCAGGTTCACTGCGAATCCCGTGAATACAACTGGCTTACATTGACAGTGAAGTCGTGGAAGGTCTTCCCCGCGAACGTCGTTGCAGATGCGTTGGCACCCATCGCACCGCCCTTCGTAGAAGCAGACGCGCTCCTGGAAGCAGGCTTAATCGCCAACGTCTGGCGGAAGCTCGAAGCGCTACCCTTCACAAACGATGAGCCGCTCACTAGTAGGGTCGAAGCGTGCTTACGCGCGGGACGAGAGAGGGTAGAGAGGCTGCGAGCGAGAGATGCGGTGGAAGGAGCAGAGACAATAGCGGCCATCGTAGATTCAAGTAGGCGAAGACTGAGAGAATTATGGTCGGTGGAGAAGCATGCAGAGAGGCGAATCTGGATTGGCAATTCCTGGTTCCTGAAGTGAAGTGAGGAGCGAATGTTGAAATTTGAGGTGGATGAATTCGCGGCAGGGAGGAATTTGCGGTGATGACGTGAGCGAGAGCTTCCCGAGGAGGAGACAGCTTCGTGGATTCACACCTGAGGAAGATCGTTTTTCTATAGTTAATAACCCCAGCAGCGGGCAACTGATTTTGATCTGAACAGAGTATTGCTCACGGCTTGTGTGGCTGGGCTACACCATGTTCTTGCAATTTTCGAAATTGATTTATTGTCCGGGCTGTTTCTCAACGAGACATCTGGTCAGTCCCCTATGGGGCTGGGAGATTGCTGACGTCTGCTCCCTCGTTTCGCTTTCACAAGGATCCTTCGAGTACACGTGTACACGTAGTGACTCTCCAGCTAGATCGAACTTCGATCTTCCACGTGCATGAAAATTATGCAGCAAACATGCTGTCGGTCTTGACTACGTGGCTCTCCTACTGAAAAAGACGCGGAGGAGATGTACGAGGACGAACCGCTAGAAGCATCTCCGATGTCGTGCTTTGAGATTGGCCTTTTTACACACGGGAAGGCAATGACTACGGAAACCCGAACTGCGGCCAGCGAGCCTGAAGGCTGCGTGCTGGATGTTGCAGGATAAGTACCAGGGTTTAGGGTTATGGATGACGCCTCAGGGGCATTTCCGTCACCACCGATACTAACACGACACCTCTGCGTGCGAGGCGCCAAGTGGCCAATATGACTAGGTATGACTAACATTACGTCATTGTGCTCCGTGGGCCTCAACGTTTTCGATCCAATCCTAACCTTAAAAATAGGGAATTGTGGGCTAATTTTGCCGATTCTTCTCGGAACAGATCATGATCTTCCGAGCGTTGAAACGACGGTTGGCACTTACGTTTCTCGCTTCCGTCGTCGTCCAAGGACTGCCTGCGACCAGAATGCCCCGCCACGTCCACTTCACATAGCTAGGTCCTTACACGTTCTTCCGGGCTCGCGGTTGCTGGCTGCTGGAACCATTGCGTAACTCATTGGCGAGCGCCTCGTCGTAACACGTGGAGTTACTCTTGAGAATTCTCAAATATTGAAATCACTTTTGAGAATTCTCAAAAGTGATTTCAATATAGCCGGTTGCTGGCTGCTGGAACCATTGCGTAACTCATTGGCGAGCGCCTCGTCGTAACATGTGCAGTTACGGTGGAAAGAGGAGAGTCGGAGTCTAGTACCGAAGGGCGACTCAATCATGAGACGAAACACTACTACATAGCTTATCGTAACCCTTTTGACAGCTGGCGTAATGCTCCTCTGAGAGAGTCTTTGGGAATTCCGCATTGCGTGCCGGAGCGAGAGGGAGGGGGGTTGAGAGGGCGCCATCCTGCCGACCACCGCCGTAAGCGTTACGGATAGGGATATGCTCTATGCGTTTGCTTGTGATCGTCCTTGTGAGCGCGTGCGTGCTTGTAGTGTGCGTCCGCTTGAGATTGAGAGTGACCGAGAACATTAGAACCATACCAGAGGGAACAAGGTTAGAAGGGTACAAGGTATACTTCTTAACGTGTACAGTACGATCTTTAACGGCTTCATAGGCCAAGACCAGGATGTTCAGCGAGACACACGCTGGCGCCTTCCTTCCTAGACAAATGGCTACTTGCAGTAAGATGATGCGACAGAAATGTTTTTGCGATAATCATTATGGGAATGGCTTCGCTAATAAAGAATCAGGTTCGGCACAAGCATTAGCGCTCATACCAGCGCATTCACAAGTACCACAAACACCACGACCAGACTCACCCATCCCTCCCTTCACGTGTGCCGGGCCGGGATTACCATACTCCACAGCCGCTTTTTGTTGTAGATGTTCCCTCCAACACTTTCACGTTGTACTCCAACAGCTCCCTGCTCACATCAATCCAACTGTCAAGGCGCCTCTAACACCCTGCCATGCCAGCATCAATCCTGCATTTGACCCTGCGTGCATCACTCCGCCCAGTAGTCAACTGCAGGTGGCGATGCCTCAGATGGCGCAGATGGGGAGGAGGAGGGGGACGATGTAGCACCACCAGCACGACCATTCGCTGCATCACCAGCAACACCAGCAACACCAGCAGCAGCACCTTCAGCCCCGTCAGCACCACTAGCAGCATCAGCAGCACTATCAAGATCACCATCACCAGTCTCGCCAGGACCACTCTCCCCAACCCCACTTGCCCTTCTCTCCCCACCCACCCACCTCTCCCTCCTCAGCTCCTCCACAGCCACCACGGCCGCCAGCAGCCTTCCCGCCAGCTGTCGCTGGTACTCCTCCATGCGCCGCTGCTCCCGCTCCACCTCCCTCTGCTTCCGCCCCACCCTCTCCTGCTCCCGCTTCACCTCCTCCTGCTCTTTATTTAACCGCTCCTGCTCCTTAGCTAATGTCTCCTGCTCCCGTGCTAGCGCCTGCTGCTGCTCTCTCATCTGCTGCAGTGAAGCGAGATCGATCGGCGCAAACACCCCTCCCGTGGGAGAACCTTCAGTGGAAACACCTCCACTTCCTGCGAGTGATTCTTTAGCACCAGCCCAACTCTCCCGCTGCTGCTGCACTGCAGCTACCAGAGACAGCAGCTTCTTCTGCGCCCCAAGCAATCCCTCCTGGGCGCTCCGTATGCCCTCCTGCTCTGCCCGAATCTGCTCCCTCTCCGCCCCCACCTCCTCCTGCTGCGCTCCTAGCTGCTCCTGCTGATTCCTCACCTGCTCCAGGTGCGCGCTCACCTGTTCCTGCTGTGTCAGTAGCACCTCCTGCTGCGCCTTCAGCTCGTCCTGCTGTGCGCACAACTGCTGCTGCATGCCTTCAACCACCTGCTCCCACCGCACAGAACCGTTCTGCTGTGCCCAGCCAGCCAACCGCTCCCCCTTAAGCCTCTCCTGCTCCTCTCTCAACGCCTCCTGCTGTGATCTTATCGTCTCCTGCTGTGCTTTCAGAGCGTCTTGCTGTGAGCGCAGGAGACGAAGCGAGTTAGAGAAGAGGTCGAACTGACGAACGGACTGGTCCTGCACGCCCAGCAGCAGCAGCTGCACCTCCTCCGACTCCCTTCTAGATGCCACCAGGGCGTCTTGTAAGCCTTGTACTTGCTGCGCTGTCGCCTCTGCAAGCTTTGAGGTCTGGTGGGAGTGGTGGGTGGGTATAGAGAGAGGGAGAGAGGAGAATGAGGGAGAGAGGAGAATGGGAGAAGGCAAGGGTTCCTGCAATGCACGCTCAGGAGAAGCAGCGAGTGGGAGAAGAAGTCGAACTGCCTCACGGACTGGTCCTGCACGCCCAGCAGCAGCAGCTGCACCTCCTCCGACTCCCTCCGAGAGGCCGCCAGGGCGTCTTGAAGGCCTTGTACTTGCTGTGCTGTCGCCTCTGCTAGCTTCGATGTCTGGTGGGAATAGGGAGAGGGAGAAAGTAGGAGCGGAAGAAAGAGGAAGGGTTGTCTCAGCAGCAGCAGCAGCAGCTGCAGCTGCACCTCCTCCAACTCCCTCTAAACACCTAACGCGTCTTGCAGGCAGCCCCTGCACCTGCTGCTGCGTCTCAAAGGGTTCACAAGAAGGGTTGGCCCTGCAGCAGCAGCGTCTTGCAGCCCCTGCACCTGTTGCGACTTTTCCCAATTCCCTTGGAAACGCCGCCAGGACGTCTCAAAGGGCGTCTTGCAGGCCCTGCACCTGCTGCTGCGTCTCAAGAAGGGTTGGCCCTGCTGCTGAGCTGCACGCCCAGCAGCAGCAGCAGCGTCTTGCAGGCCCTGCACCTGCTGCAACTTATGAGACGTCTCAAAGGGCGTCTTGCATCCCCTGCACCTGCTGCGCTGTTGCCTCTTCTAGCTCCGACGTCTGGATGGGAGTGGTGGGTGGGTACAGAGAGTGGGAGAGAGGAGAATGTGGGAAGGCATGGAAGAAAGTAGAAAATATTGATTCTGCAATGCATGCCCAGCAGCAGCAGCTGCACCTCCACCAATTCCCTTGGAAACGCCGCCAGGGCGTCTTGCAGGCAGCCCCTGCACCTTGCAGGCAGCCCCTGCACCTGCTGGGCTGTTGCCTCTGCTAGCTTCGACGGCTGGTGGACATAGTTCAAGGAAGAGAGGAGAATTTGAGTGAGGGAGTGGGACGTAAGAGGAAGGATCGGTCCTGCATGCCCTGCTGCGCTGTTGCTTCTGCAAGCCTTGGGCTATCTGCTGAGACCAAGCGCAAACAAAATGCGTTTTGAGACGACTCAAAACTGTTGCCTCTGCAAGCCTTGAGCTGTCTGCTGAAATGGTCAGCTAATCTAGCGCACATGCAGCATGGGGTCTATGAGCGTGTGCCTCGTGACCTGGGTGTGGTGTGTAGCTGGATCTCCTCCACGTGCCATGACAGTGCATGCATGCACCACTCTCACCACCTGCTGCTTCCAGCCCGTGCTCTTACCTCCACTCTATGGCCATGCGATTCAACGTACCTGCAACATGGGATCTCTGAGAGTCCGCCTGGTGACACGTGTGTGCAGCTGAATCTTCTCCACATGCCGTGACAGTGCATGCACCAACCCCACCACCTGCACCACCTGCTGCAGCTAGCGCATCCTATATATTCCAGGGGCAGGCAGATCACATTACCTGAAGCATGGGATCTCTGAGGGTGCGCCTGGTGACTCGAGTGTGCAGCTGGATCTTCTCCACATGCCGTGACAGTGCATGCACCAACCCCACCACCTGCTGCAGCTCTGCCACGCTCACATGCTCACCCCCAGCCTTTACTCCCCACCCTGCTGCTGCTGCTGTAGACGCCTTCTGTGCCCCCTGCTGCTGCTGCTGCTGCTGCTGCTGCTGCTGCTGCTGCTGCTGCTGCTGCTGCTGTTGCTGCTGCTCGTGTCTCTGCTGCGGCATCTCAGGTTGAACGGGAGCAGGTGGGGGGTGAGACTGAGACGGAGGTGCTTGTAACGGGGGTGATAAGAGCGAGGGGGCGGTGGGCAGGGCGAGGAGGCGCGAGAGGGCGGAGAGGGCGAGCGCGGAGGAGAGGAGAAGCGATTGCCAGAAGAGCGGGGGGAGGGCGGAGAGGGACGAGGCGAAGGCGGAAAGAGAGGCGACCTGGAAGGGGGAAGGGGGGTAGGGGATGGGGGAAATGGAGGAAGGTAGGGGGGGTATATAAGGGGGAAAGAAGAGGGGGAGGGGGGGAAAGCAGGGGACACTCAAAGATCGCCTCGATCCGTCCGTTTTTCTCACCTGGTCCTACAACGTTTTTTTTTTCCTCGTTTTTTTTCCTTTCTCTTCTTTTCCTTTTTTGTTCCAAAAGCAAGCCAGTCAGCCTTACCTTGTGCTGGAGCAACAGGGTCGTCACTTGCCGCACGCACACCAGCAGCAGCGCTCCTACGCACACGTACCACGCCACGCCTATAACCCGTCCGACTCGCCATCTCCACGTCTCCCCTTTCCCCGCTTCTTCCTTGCCTCGCGCATGCGTGAATCTCCTCTCTTTCACCCCTTCCGCTTCCCCTCCTTCCTTCTCTGCGAATCTTTTCCCTTCTTTTCCTTCTCCATCCCTTTCTCCTTTTCGTTCTCCTTCCCCTTCCCACCCTGCCGCTCCCTCCCAACCGACACTTCCCCCAACAGCCGCAACACGAAACGAGACATTTCGCGACGGGTGCGTCGGAGAAAGTCGCCGCTGCTCGCGCCAATTCGCGGACGACAACGCGACGACGGACGGAAATATCTTCTCTCGGCTACCGATCATGGAAAGCTGACCAGCCGTCACGCAACGGCGGGAGCGGTCGTCGGATGGGTGAGGGACGCAGCAGCCTAGGAATGGCCGCAGCATCCTCGCAGGCGCTGCTGGAACGGTCCGATGAGTCATTGCTAGCAAAGCGCTCCTATCGTTGACTAATTTCGGCGGCATATCCGCATTTGCAGCCGTGATCCTCCCCCCACTAGTAGCGGTGCGTGATCCGCCGCTGGAGGCGGCGCGAATCATGGCGAGTGTGCCGTACTAGCTCGGGGATAGCTACTGCTGCTGCTGGTCCGCGGCGAATCGTCGTATGCGGATCCAGACGGCTTCCACGTGGCTTATCCTACCGCGCGATCACGCTGATTGGTCGTCGCAATATCGTAATCACGATCGTATCTCGACCCATCGTTATCGCATCACAATCGTATGTCGATCATATCACGATCCCATGTCAAAGTACTCATCCAGCTATTGCCGAGTGAATCGTCGCCGCGTGTTTTCAACGGCTACAATCCATGCCATTGTGCAGCAGACAGCACCTCCTGCGACCCCTGCAACCGACACGACTGCCCCTCTATGCGTGCCTGCACACTCGGCTTGCAGCTATCGTGGCTCGTCAGGTTCCGTACCTTCAGCTTTCGTCTAATCTGTACTAAATTCCTAGGCTGTAGCCTGTAATAGGCATATGTGCATGCTTCCTCGGGATCATCGCTCCCGGCACAGTCGAATGGCTGGGATTAACTTTGAGAAGTCGAACATGCGATCTTGACGGCTGAACATCCTACGGCTCACAGGCGAACACACGGCGTGATCACCGCGTGATCTCCCATGTTTTTGGAAAAGTTCCGAGAAGAGAGAATGATGCGATTGAAGACGTCTCGGTGTAGTCTCGTACATTCTGCATTAAAATAAACACGAACAACCAGCTGTATATCAATACATCATGTACATGGCAAAGGACTTCATTCTTCCGGTCTAGGCGTAAGAGGAGATATATTAGCCACCGCTTCTGTTCACCATCAGACCGCGTGCGTCACATGTCAGTGTTATGTGAGATTACTCAGGCCAAGAGCATCATTGGTATTGACTACCCGAGTATCCCGATTCACGAGTGCATTGATTGTCCAATCGAACACTCACATCTCTCCGACATCGGTAATTAGACGCCTGGGCTAGTAATGCACCAGCATCAAGCCTGTTATCCCACATGCCATGCCATGCCTGACCATGCCACCATGCCACACGATGCATCAAGCCATGCTAGGCCACAATAAAGCCAAGCCAAGTCGTATCACATGCCATGCCATGAGAGCTGCAAAGGGGAAGAACTCAGACCTCCAGAGCCCATGCCGGAGTCGCATCGTGGCACAGCCTCCCTTTGTGCCACACACGCCTGTAATCAATCACATAATCCGTGTGTGCCGACCAATACCCAAACCCCCCACTCGCATACAGCCAAACCCTGCCGGCCATGGGGTGCTTGCTGCAGCCCACCATACCCTCATGACAATCACCACCAGGCACAGTCACAAGCATCCCCACCACCTCCCTCTCTTCAACCTCCTCCACCTCCTCCTCTTCCACCCCGGCTTCTCCCTCCACCCCACGGCATGCTCCACCCGACCCCTCCCTCACACATACTTCACTTGTTACACGCTGGTTACCAGCAGCTGACGGTCTTGGGGAAGCAAAGGAACCGATGTGGCTTACAGGCGCACCAGCAGGGCTTCCATTCGAATGTGGGCTAGAACGTGCGGTAGAGTGTGAGTCAAGGTGTGAGTTTCGGTGTGTATTAGGGTGTGGATTAGAGTGTGGTGCGGTGACGGTGAATAATCGCCGTGCACCTGGAATCATAGGAGCAGCAGCCTGCCCACTGCTCCTGCTTCCCCCACTGCTGCCACCTTTGCCCCTGTTCTTGTCACCATCACTATCATCACTCTCACTCTCCTCCCCATTGCTCTCCTCACTCCCACTGCTGCTGCTGCTGCTGCTGCCGTCGCTGCTGCCGCTGCTATTCGCAACGCTACTGCCATTCTGATCCCTCATTCTCTCACTGGTTTCCCTCCTCCTCTCAGCCTCCCCAGTTGTTTGTGATGGGCAAAAAAGAGGCCGCTTCAGGTCAAATAGCCTCTGCTCTTTCGGCGGTAACGGAGCACTCACAAACGAGGACAGATCCGCCACCCACCTAAGCGCCCCTGCTTTCCCTGGTCTGCTGTACCCACTGCTACAGGGCGCTGCTTGCACTCTCCCATGCACTCTCCCCCCTCCTCCTCCTCCTGCCCCTTGTCCCCCTCCCTGTCTCCTTTCCCCACCTTCCACCCTCTCCCTCCCCGCCCTTGCTCCCCTCTCTTTCCCCTCCTCATACGAAACGCTTCCTGCTGTCTCATCTACTCTCGCCGCTCCCTCTCCTGCTGCCCTCTCTCCACTTCCTCCCCCTCTCCCTTCAGCTCTCCCCCCTGTGCTTTCCCCGGCACTCCTTTCAGCTCTCCCCTCAGCTCGTGCTCTCGCCTGTCGCCGTCGCTGGCGCCGCTCGCTGCTGCGGGTGGCGGTGGTGGTAACCGCGCGGGCGTGCGGGGGGGGCTGCTTGTACTGCGCCACCCGGCGGCACTGCAGCTGTCCAGATTCACTGCATGTGAGCAGGATGAAATCGAGGCTGCTGTGCTGGCACACGCCCTGTGGGATGGCAGCAGGACGGAGAGGGGCGAGAGGGGGAAGGTGAGGCAGGGAAAGAGGGGGGAAAGGCTGAAGGAGATGAAAGAGACCACGGAAGGAGAAGAGAGAAATGTGGGGGAACAGAGGTACGGAAACCATGTGCGATGCACCATATGATCCACACACCCTACCCAACCCAACCACACCTTCCAGAGCCCCTGCAGGTGCAGGGAGCACAACGGTGATGGCTCCAACTGCCTCGCCACAACCCTCACCAAATGCTCCTCCTCCCCCCTGCCCCATGAACCATGAAACATACACCATGCACCATAAGACCCTCACACCCACAAAGCTCAAGCCCACCTTCCAGAGACCCTGCGCGGGGCACAGAGGTGAAGGATCAGGTGGCTAGTCATCACCCTCACCAGATGCCTTTTAAGGCGCCTGAGAAGCCCACCCACCCACCTTCCAGAGACCCTGCAGAGGGCACAGCGGTGAAGGTTCCAGCAGGATTCCCATCACCCTCACCAGATGCCTTTTGAGGCGCCCCTCAAAAGCCCACCCCCCCGACCTTCCAGAGACCCTGGAAAGGGCACAGCAGTGAAGGTTCCAGCTGGTTAGGCATCACCCTCACCAGATGCCTTTTGAGGCGCCTGAGAAGCCCACCCACCCACCTTCCAGAGTCCCAGCAGAGGGCACAGCAGTGAAAGCTCAGCTGGCTAGGCATCACCCTCACCAGATGCTTTTTGAGGCGCCTCAAAGGCTCACCCACCCACCCACCTTCCAGAGACCCTGCAGAGGGCACAGAGGTGACGGCTCCAGCTGGTTAGGCATCACTCTCACCAGATGCTCCTCTTCCCCCTTCCCCCCTCCACCCCTTCCACCACCAACCCCTCCGCCCGCCCCTCCCCTCCCCTCCGCTCCCCTCCCCACCTCCGCCCTCCACGCCCCTCTCTCCCCAACCACCTCTACAGCAGCACTTCCAACGGAAAGCTGGCTGCGCACCCCTCCTGCCTCGGCTATCTCTGCCGCCCGCTGCCTCTCCTTCCGCTGCTGCCGCCTCATCGCCTTGCTGGCGCCCGCTGCTGCTGACCTGGACGCCAGCGATTGGTAGAGCTCGAAGGGCGCGTGCAGGGAGGTGGAACGAAGGGAGGCGGAGGGGGAAGGGGACCAGGCGGGGGAGGGGTTTGGCAGGGAGGAGGAGAGGCGGTCAGAATCAGCTGCATCAGCAGTTCCACCAGCTATGCGGCTTTTCCCTTTCCCCCTACCTGTCACACCAGCTCTGCTGCTTGCCTTGGCCTCTCTAACGAGATACGGACCGGACGGAGCCAAATCGTCCACCTGAAACTGAACCCTTCTCTGCGCCCCTTGCGTCCCTTGCGTCCCCTGCGTCCCAGGCTTCAACCTTCCCTGCACCACGCTTCCCTGCTCCCCGTCCTGCTCTTCCCCCTGCTCCCCTTCCTCCGCGTCCTGCTCCCCTTCCCTCCCGCCCTGCGCTCTTCCCTGCTCTCCTTGCTCTGACTCGCACCGAGTCATGGAAGGGGTGTCAGGCCGGGCATCACATTGCCCTGCTGCTACAGACGGTGCGGGGGAAATGGGGGACGGGGACGAAGCGAAGGGGGACGAGGGGGACGGGGACGAGGGGGAGGGGGACCCGAACTGGAGGTTGCGCCTTGGGGGAGGGCTCTCTTGCTGGGGGGAGGAAGGGGAGGGGGAAGGGGAGGGGGAGGGTGCGGGGGACGGGGTGTGCGGGGAGGCGGAGGACAGGGCGGAGGACAAGGGGGAGGTGAAGAGAGGACAGGGCTGCGGGGAGAACGGGAACGCCTGAGCGTTTGGAGGGCGCGGATGGGCGGAGGCGGAGGGAGGGTGGGCGGAGGCGCGGCGGGCGCGGGATGACGGGGAGTGCGCATACATCGATGACCATGGTGATGATGCGGGAGGTAACGACGAGGAAAGCCGCCCGTCGTCAATGAGACTAGAGCCTCTCGCGTCGCTCCCGCTGATCTTTCGGTTCCCGCTTTCGTAGAAACCACCTAATCCACGTCGCAACCCGTTTCCGTTTCCGTTTCCGTTTCCGTTTTCCACGGCGCCATGACGCCAACCCAACACGTGCTGATTCCCGCCAGCGGAGACTACCAGGTGATTTCCCGACACGAATTTAACCTCTGCGGGCACCCACGCTCCTCCGCCTTCCCTGCTGTTACTGCGCCTCCGGTGATGGCTGCCACGTGTCCCGCTGCCATTGGTCGCCCCGGCTGACAGCATGATCTTGTCAGCGTGCGTCGGCCAATCAGCGTCGAGCCAGCAAGACACATCTGACGCGTCCATCTGCTGGCTATAACCTGCTTTCCCTTGTCGAGATGTATGATACTCTATATCGGGTATGAAGTGGTCTCTAGGTGCGGGGACGACGCGAAGGAAAGGAACCCTGACGACAGCGTACGGCGAAACGCTTCTCTCTTCGCCTAGCCGATCGACATGCCGATCGTAATGCCGATCGCCATGCGCATCGTCGTACCGACGACGACGCCGATCGTCGACTGCTCTGTGATTGGCTGGCGGGCCAACCGGCGCTGCGGGAAGCACGCGCACGCCCTCGATATAGCCGTCTCGCCATTGGAACGCGACGAGCGACCCCAATCCGCCGTCGCCGACTCCGCGCCAGAAACCAATCAGCGACTCCCACGTGTCCAGAACGTAATAGAGGCTCTTAAAGGACGTCAATTTCCCACGCTGCTGATCGTGCGGCTGCTGATCGAATGGCAGCTGCGAGGATTGGTGGGGAGGGGACAGCCACGTGTGCAGAGAGGTGACGTGGCCCCATCGGCGGTCGCATGCGGGCTGCCAGAGGCGAGGGTCGTCGAGGAAAACGCGGAGGAAAGTGCGGGAGACGCACGCGCAGCGAGCGAGGTCTGGTAGACGGAGGTGGGAGAGGATGAGACCTAGCAGATCGTCGCTGAATTCCGTCATATCTGTAGGGTCCGCCATTGGAGCCCTAGGTTATCACATGAATGGCGAATTCGAATTCGAAAGAAACAGTTTCAGAAACACTAGTTAGTTGTGGCGGAAATGGCGGAGACTAAAAAGGAGGACACTTGACGAAAATAAGTGGAGGAGGAGCTAATCCAACAAGTCAGTCAGCTAGTACTGGCCGGGCAAAGGATAAAAGCATATCATGGAACGAATCGATAGGCCATGCTACTGGCTCAGCAGGCACACTTGAGGAATATTCTCTAGGGACTAGCTTTTGGGTAAGGATATGGTCTGGTGTCGCACAATAGGCTTTACGACCACTGACGACCCCTATTTGGTCGCACAGATTGCGCCAGGCCCTGAAGTGTAGCCTTACGATCACTTGCGATCGACTCTAGCCAGTCACTCCGGTGTCGTTAACTAGGGATCCAGGTGTGACAGATCGGTTGGTTGAAACGCGCGCGGTGGCGGCTAGACGCAGCAGAACCGACGATCAAGCGACAGCGCTCAGGTCGTTTCAAGTCGTGTTTTGAAGCTGTCGTAAAACCCGAGGCATTCGCCGCACTTGCGCTAACTCCAAGGTCGCACGCGACTCATGTCACCTGTAGAGGAATGAACCTCAAAAACCCTGACGCATCCAAAGACGATGTACTTGTAAATAACGCAAATTCGAAATGTATATCGGAAAATCTGCCGCTACAAAATTCACGCTCTATCGAGCAAGGTTTTATCGAGGTACTCCCCGTCCTAATCCATATATATTTGAAATCATCCCAGTGCCAAACTTCTTTTCTAAAAGTCAGGAGCAGCAGCACCTTTTCTCAAAAGCGAATACCTTGCTGGTCGTCTGACAGTCTCTTTTGTCCGAATCCCCCTCTGCTTCTCTACGCTTGTCTTATCGTCGTGACGCTCCCGAATTCCCGTTTGTCTTTACTGCATTTCTTCCATAAGAGGCTGAGCTTAGGAGATGGACTCGACTAAGCCGAAGAGGGAGTCTTGGGCTGATTCGGCGGAGGAGGAGGAAGCGGAGCTCAAGGCGGCGGCAGCGGCGGCGGCGGCGGAGGTGGCGGCGAAGGAAGCGAACGACGCGGACGACGCGGACGACGCGCCGCCGGGCCTGACGCCGCGATCTGCGGCGAAGAACGCGGAATTCGGCGAGAGCGCGGAGAAAGCGGCGGCGGATTTGGATTCGCTAAAAGTCAGCGAAGGCGTGGTGGATCAGCCGGACCTGAGCATCAAAACCGGCGAGCTCAACGACGTGCCTGATGGGTCGGAACACGAGATTAAGAAGGTGAGTGTGGGTCGCACTCAAGACTCCAGTATGTGAGAAGGTGGTTCAGCCAGACCCGAGCATCAAGAGCGGCGAGCTAGTAAGTTGGTAATTTATTCCTCTCACGGAAATCATACAGTTATAAGGAAGGCGAGGCGTGGTGGATCAACCCGACCTGAGCATCAAGACCGGCGAGCTGAACGACGTGCCTGATGGGTCGGAGCATGAAATCAAGAAAGTAAGTTCGTTATTTCTCTCACGGAAATCATCCAGTTTTAAGCAAGGTGAGGCGTGGTGGATCAGCCCAGCCCGACCTGAGCATCAAGACCGGCGAGCTGAACGACGTGCCTCATGGGTCGGAGCACGAGATTAAGAAGGTGCGTCAGCAGGAAATCAAGATGGTTTAGAGCAGGAGATTAAGAAGGTGCGTCAACATGAAAGGTTTAGAGCAGGAGATTAAGAAGGTAAGTTCGTCACCCCTCCCACGGAAAGCATCCGGTTGGTTTTGGAAGTTTCAAGAACCAACCTCCGAGCTGCGAGCAGAGTGTCGAGAAGGTGAGGCGTGGTGGGCGTCAGACCGGACGACCTGAGCCTCCCTCAGACCGGCGAGCCGAACGACGTGCCTGATGGGTCGCGGAAAATGAGATCAAGAAGGTGGCGGAGCAGGAAATGAAGATGGTTGGAGAGCGACTTTTGAGGCGCCTCAAAAACCGCGAGACATGAGACGACTTTTGATCCATCCTACAACCCATCCTACAACCCATCCTACAATTCATACTCTTTATAGTCCTTGCAGGTGGTGGCAGCAGAGACGCCCTACTCGTCCGCTAAGACCTTCGAGGAGCTCAACTTATCGGAGCCGCTACTGAGGGACCTCTACTCCGAAATGAAGTTCCGATTGAACCTCTCTGAACCACTTTGAACCCCTCACTGCTCAAACCACCCATCCTGCATCCATGTTCTTGCACCATCCCATCAGGTGGTGGCAGCAGAGACGTCCTACTCGTCCGCCAAGACCTTTGAGGAGCTCAACCTGTCGGAGCCGCTACTGAGAGGGCTCTACTCCGAGATGAAGTTCCAACCCAACGCGTCAACATCTTTCCGTTGCTGCTTTCACCCCCCACCCACCCCCCACCCACCCCCCATACACCCCGCTCGCGCATGCAGGTGGTGGCAGCAGAGACGCCCTACTCGTCTGCCAAGACCTTTGAGGAGCTCAACCTATCAGAGCCCCTCCTGAGAGGCCTCTACTCCGAGATGAAGTTCGAGCGCCCCTCCAAGATCCAGGCTGTGACCCTCCCCATGATCCTGCTGCCGCCCAACGCCAACCTCATTGCTCAGGTGAGTGGTGGTGTGCGTCTTTCTTTCAATGAAGGCCTATGAGTTTTGAGCCAATCCCAAGATCCCGGCCGTCACCCTCCCCATGATCCTGCTGCCGCCCAACGCCAACCTCATTGCCCAGGTGGGCCCTCTTTCAGCAAGATCATCAGTCAATACCTCGGTTCGGTTCAGTATTCAGCCCCCTCCAAGATCCAGGCCGTGACCCTCCCCATGATCCCGCTGCCGCCCAACGCCAACCTCATTGCTCAGGTGTGCTCCCTTCCAATGAAATCCAATGCATGTGTGCCTGAAAGCTACTCCTGAAAGATCCAGGCCGTCACCCTCCCCATGATCCTGCTGCCGCCCAACGCGAACCTCATCGCCCAGGTGGGTTTCCTTTCAGTGAGCTCCAGTGCTGTGAATATGTCTCCACTTGATTCAGGCAAGACGACGTGCTTTGTGCTGGGCTGGGCCTGCTGTCACGGGTGGACCCGCAGGTCTAATCTCCCCCCCTCTCTCCTCCTATTTCCCCCTTCCCCTTCACCCTATTCAAACCACGACTATCAGGCGCACAACGGGTCAGGCAAGACGACGTGCTTCGTGCTGGGCATGCTGTCACGAGTGGACCCGCAGGTCAAGGCCCCTCAGGCCCTCTGCATCTGCCCCACGCGCGAGCTGGCGCAGCAGGTGAGTGTGGTGATGGGAGGAGGGAGGTGGAACGGGGGGATTGTGGGAAAGGGGATCGAGGTGAGACGGTTGCAGGTGAAGGCCCCTCAGGCCCTCTGCTTCTGCCCCACACGCGAGCTGGCACAGCAGGTGAGAAGGAAGGTGGTGGAAGGGAGAGCATGGCAGGGAAAGGGGGGGAGGAACGAAGTGTGTAGGAGTAGGACAGTCGGTCACAGGTCGAGGCCCCCCAGGCCCTCTGCATCTGCCTCACTCGCGAGCTGGCACAGCAGGTGAGAGGGAAGGTGGTGAAAGTGCTTGCTGATACGTTTCCCCCTTTCCACTTTCTCCCTTTCCCCCTTCCTTCCCCATCAGAACGAGGCAGTGCTGCTGCGTATGGCTAAATACACACACGGGCATCACATGTGCATGCAATGCACAGCCTCGGAAGGCGAGTGTCCTCCGATGGTGCCAAATACACGCACGGGCACCATCGTGTCCTCCTTGGAGCAGGAGAGGCTGGGCGACCAGGTGGTCATCGGCACTCCCGGCACACTCATTGTCACGCACTCCCGGCATGCAGATCAGCACGCTCAAGCCTGGCATGCATTCCCCCCCCCTCTGCCCAATGCGTGTGTGTGTGTGTGCAGAACGAGGCAGTGCTGCTCCGTATGGCCAAGTACACGGGCATCACGTGTGCATGTACGGCGTCAGAGGGCACGGGCACCATCATATCGTCCTCACAGCAGGAGAGGCTGGGCGACCAGGTGGTGATTGGCACGCCCGGCACACTCAAGCGGTGGATGACCAAGGACCGTATACTCCCTGCGAAGAGCATCAAGATACTGGTGTTTGACGAGGCGGACCACATGCTTGACCAGGTGCGTACGCTAGCTTACGCTAATAGTGTGACTGGCAGCTTCAGCAGGCGAGGCTGGGCAATGAGGTGGTCATCGGCACTCCGTTACTGGTAGTTGCATGCCTTACACTCAGATCAGGTGTGCACCCGTACATGCCCGGCACGCTCAAGCGGTGGATGACCAAGGACCGCATCCTGCCAGCCAAGAGCATCAAAATATTGGTGTTCGATGAAGCAGACCACATGCTGGACCAGGTGCGTGTGATGGATGATCAAGGGCTGGTTGTATCTGGACTAGATCAGGTGTGCACGCATACATGCTCTGAGCGCTCAAGCGGTGGATGACCAAGGACCGCATCCTGCCTGCCAAGAGCATAAAAATATTGGTGTTCGATGAAGCAGACCACATGCTGGACCAGGTGCGTGTGATGGATGATCAAGGGCTGGTTGTATCTGGACTAGATCAGGTGTGCACGCGTACATGCTCTGAGCGCTCAAGCGGTGGATGACCAAGGACCGCATCCTGCCTGCCAAGAGCATAAAAATATTGGTGTTCGATGAAGCAGAGCAGACCACATGCTGGATCAGGTGCGTGTGACTGGGACTATAACTGGCAGTTCCGTGAAGAGCATCAAGATTCTTTACATGCTGCGGGACGGGACGACTTCATTCGTTTCGGTCAACATGTGCTCTTCACACTCTGCTTGCTGTGATATTCATTCCGCATCTTCCCCCGTGTGTGTATATGCAGGACGGGTTTCAAGACGACTCGATCAGAATGATCCAGTTCATCACCAAGAGCAACCCCACCTGCCAGGTAAGCAGCCCCACCCCACCTGCCACGTAAGCTACCCCACCTGCCAGCGAACCAACCCCACATGCCAGGTAAGCAACCCCACATGCCAGGTAAGAAACTCCGCCGGCCAGAGTAGCAACCTTTAGAGGTCAACATTAATTGGCTAGGCGTCATAAAGCAGTACCGCATGCATGTGCCTACCCTCCCTCCCTCCCCCCTCTCATCCTATCCTGTCCCCTGCAACCCCCTTGCAATCCTCTCCCATGCAATCCCCTTCTTCTTCCCTCTACACTTCCCACCCGTCCCAGATTCTTCTCTTTTCAGCGACCTTCAACGAGCGGGTGAGCGGGCCCGCCCCTCTCCTCCTCTCATCTCCATCCCATCCCACCCCATCCCCTCCCCGCCCAACCCTTCCCTTCCCACCCATCAAATACCCCAGATTCTCCTATTCTCAGCGACATTCAACGAGAGAGTCAAACGGTTCGCCCAGAGAGTCGTCGCAGGTGCCAACCAGGTGTACGTGCCCAAGGAGCAGCTGTCTCTGGACGTCATCAAGCAGTACCGCGTGCACGTGCGCTCACCCCAACCCCTCCTTTTTGCCCCCCTCCCCTCCCCTCTTCTCCCATTCCTTCGGCCCCCCACCCCCTTCCCTTCTCTCCACACTTTGACTTCCAGATTCTTCTCTTCTCAGCAACATTTAATGAGAGAGTCAAGAGGTTCGCCCAGCGAGTAGTCCCAGGTGCCAACCAGGTGTACGTGCCCAAGGAGCAGCTGTCTCTGGACGTCATCAAGCAGTACCGCGTGCGCATGCCCTCCCTACTCTCTCACTCCCTCCCCTCTTCCCCTCTCCCCTCCCATTCCTCCCATCCCATCCCATCCCATCCCGTCCCATCCCATCCCATCCCATCCCATCCCATCCCATCCCATCCCATCCCATCCCATCCCATCCCATCCCATCCCATCCCATCCCATCCCATCCCATCCCATCCCATCCCATCCCGTCCCATCCCATCCCCTTTCTTCCCCTCTACACCTCATTCACACCCCAGATTCTTCTCTTCTCGGCCACCTTCAACGAGAGGGTAAAGAGGTTCGCCCAGCGTGTAGTACCAGGTGCCAACCAGGTGTACGTGCCCAAGGAGCAGCTGTCTCTGGACGTCATCAAGCAGTACCGCGTGCGAGTGCCCTCTCGCGACGCCAAGGTCGTGGTGCTCAAAGACAAGATCTTCCCCGCAGCTGAGAAGCTCGGGCAGTCCATTATTTTCGTCAAGACGCGCGAAACTGCCCGGGATCTTCACAGGTCAGTGCAGCTCGCAAGCAAAAAGCAGGTTTGATAAGCGCTGGTTTATTATCTTGGGACATTTTCCAGTGAGCAGCACCAAGCAGGTTTGATAAGTGCTGCTCACTGGAAAATGTCCCAAGATCTGCTAGCAGGTTTGATAAGCGCTGGTTTATTACCTTGTTGTAAAGTTACGGGTGGATGCGGCCCGGTGACTTTCCAGTCGAATAGAACCCCCCCCCTCCTACCCCCCACCTTCTTCCCCCCTCTCCCTCCTTTCTCTTCCTTCCCCCTCCTATTCTCCCCGTCCCCCTCCTTCCTCCTTCCTCCTTCCTCCTTCCTCCTTCCTCCTTCCTCCTGCCCACTCCCGCCCCTTCCCCTTGTTCCCTTCCACAGGAAACTGGAGGCGGACAGGCATCGGTGCACGTCCATCCAGGGCGGAATGTCGCACGAGGAGAGGGACGATGTGATCAGCAAGAAGGGAACTGCAGCAGCGCTATTCCATCCTCTCACCCCTCCCTGCTCAGTCTTTGTAACCCGACCCTTTCCCAACCCCACCCCCCACTCCATGCCTGGTACAACACAGGAAGCTGGAGGCGGACGGGCATCGGTGCACGTCCATCCAGGGCGGCATGTCGCACGAGGAGAGAGACGATGTGATCATCAAGAAGGGAACTGCAGCAGCGCTATTCCATCCTCTCACCCCTCCCTGCTCAGTCTTTGTAACCCGTCCCTTTCCCAACCCCACCCCCCACTTCATGCCTGGCACAACACAGGAAGCTGGAAGCAGACGGGCATCGGTGCACGTCCATTCAGGGGGGCATGTCGCACGAGGAGAGGGACGATGTGATCCGCAAGAAGGGAACTGCAGCAGCCCCGATTCCATCCTTTCACCCCTCCCCGCTCAGTCTTTGTAACCCGTCCCTTTCCCAACCCCACCCCCCACTCCATGCCTGGTACAACACAGGAAGCTGGAGGCGGACGGGCATCGGTGCACGTCCATCCAGGGCGGCATGTCGCACGAGGAGAGGGACGATGTGATTCGCGAGTTCCGCAGCGGCACCACCAAGATCCTCATCGCCACTGACGTGCTGGCTAGAGGGTTCGACCAGGCGCAGGTGAGAGCAGGTGCTGCAGGTGATGATGGGGTAATGGTGGAGGGCTGTACCTCGTGGGCTTGCTCGGGGCTTTCCGCAGCGGCACCACCAAGATCCTCATTGCTACTGATGTGCTGGCCAGAGGGTTCGACCAGGCACAGGTGAGAGCAGGGGGGATTGGAGACTGGGGGAGGGCGAGTGGGGGAGATGAGGAGAGCTGTACCTGATGGGTGTGGGGCTTACAGCAGCGGCACCACCAAGATCCTCATCGCCACTGACGTTCTGGCCAGAGGGTTCGACCAGGCGCAGGTGAGAGAGGGGGAAGGGGGGTGAAATGGCAGGGGAGGGAGTGGAGACGGTGGGCAGATGATGGGCATGCCTGCAGCACCACCGAGATCCTCATCGCCACTGACGTGCTGGCTAGAGTCTTCGACCAGGCAAAGGTGCAGGGAGAGGGGAGGGCTGGAGCAGAGAGTATGTGGTTGAGATCTCTTTTTTTTTTTGTTAAAAATGATGTTTAACCGCCTCAAGGTACCTCTTAACTCTCGTACAGGAGTTTCGGGCAGGTGAATTCTCTGCAGCTGCGACTCCTGCCCCTCTTCCCTTTCCCCACGTGTCCCCTCCCCACTCCCTGCCATGTCTCCCGATTCGACATGACCTTATCTCCCTGCCTTGCTTTTTTTTACCCCGGGCAGGTGACACTGGTGGTGAATTTTGATCTGCCCGTGAAGAACGCGCCCCCCAACGAGCCAGAGTATGAGACTTATCTCCATCGAATCGGTCGCAGCGGTCGATTCGGCAGAAAGGGTAAGGACTGCAATAGACCTTCTCCTTACTATGTCTCTAATAAAGAAGCGCACCGCCCGACAAGTCAAGTCTATGTATTTTCCTCTACGAGCAAGACATCTTAGTCCGGATATGTTTCGCTCTACAGAAGTCCCCTTCAAACCTTTCACTTCTCCAATTCGCACGGTTTGCTTCCCTCTTTCCTATTGTCACCCTCGTCTCATTTGGTTCAGGTGCTTCGTTCAACCTGGTGTGCGGGGAGAGGGATGAGCGCACACTCAACAAGATTGAGAAACACTTCGACCGCGTCATCCCTGATGTGAGTGATCAAGGAGCGGCTCAATGCAGGTGTGAGGCTGAATGAGGGTGTGAGTGAATGAGGGTGTGAGTGAATGAGGATGTGAGTGAACAAGGATGTTAATGAATGAGGGTGTGAGTGAATGAGGATGTGAGTGAATGAGGGTGAGTGAACAAGGATGTTAATGAATGAGGGTGTGAGTGAATGAGGATGTGAGTGAATGAGGGTGTGAGTGAACAAGGATGTTAATGAATGAGGTTGTCAATGCACGAGGATGTGAGTGAATGAGGGTGTGAGTGAACAAGGATGTTAATGAATGAGGGTGTGAGTGAATGAGGATGTGAGTGAATGAGGGTGTGAGTGAACAAGGATGTTAATGAATGAGGGTGTGAGTGAATGAGGATGTGAGTGAATGAGGGTGAGTGAACAAGGATGTTAATGAATGAGGGTGTGAGTGAATGAGGATGTGAGTGAATGAGGGTGTGAGTGAACAAGGATGTTAATGAATGAGGTTGTCAATGCACGAGGATGTGAGTGAATGAGGGTGTGAGTGAACAAGGATGTTAATGAATGAGGGTGTGAGTGAATGAGGATGTGAGTGAATGAGGGTGTGAGTGAACAAGGATGTTAATGAATGAGGGTGTGAGTGAATGAGGATGTGAGTGAATGAGGGTGTGAGTGAACAAGGAATGAAGTTGTCAATGCATGAGGATGTGAGTGAATGAGGGTGTGAGTGAACAAGGATGTTAATGAATGAGGGTGTGAGTGAATGAGGATGTGAGTGAATGAGGGTGTGAGTGAACAAGGATGTTAATGAATGAGGTTGTCAATGCATGAGGATGTGAGTGAATGAGGGTGTGAGGGTGACTAGGGATGTCACTCACCCACTGTACCTGTCCCTTTCTCTTCCCACAATGCAGGTGCAATGGGACGACGACGATGCCTTTGAAAAGGTGCTCAAGGAGGCAGGCCTCGCGTGAAACACCCTCCGTATCGTTGGGATCATACAAGAATCATCATGTTCCATGGGCCACATACACGGTACACCATGTGTCATCATGCACTATGCTCCATGCTCAATGCGAGTTCGTGTGTGGTGTGGGCCATCCACTCCAGGTGGTCTTCCTTTATCGATTGCTGGGCGTTTCACACAGCCTTGTGTTTGGTATCTTATTATCTCTAGGTCTATCAATCGTTAGATGATTTGAGTGTTCTCGCCTTCAGTCTCGCCCAGAGACTCCACATATTGGGAGTTTTTTCAGCCAGTGTAGGATTGACATAATGCTTTTGCAAGCATTTCAGTTACACTTTGTCTGCAAATACACTGTGCTCTCATTATGATGTCCAAACCGCACTGGCCCTGTTTTGGTAGTCAAAGCTCCTGGCGAATGCTAGTCGATATCCGAAGTGCTTCGCTCGATTTGCTGGCATGGCCTGGTGACACCTTCTTTGCTAGCTCGTTGGGAAGATCGCCTGCGTATGTGGCGCTAGTTTGTCAGGGGTTGCCCTAGCATTTCCTTACTCTCTTGTTGCTTGACCTGTCATGCGTTCGAAGGTTAGTTTGTTCATTTTTACCAACTCTTTAGTTCGCTCAGACGATCCTGAGTTCCGATGACCGGAGGAGCACGAGATGGTGATCGAGGTGGAGGAGGTGGTCTTTCCAGGTTTTCGGATGAGGAGCTTCATCTCGTGTTGGATACGATTTCAAGTGCCAAAGACATCCTTAGTGCGGCGGCTACGTGCAAACGTTGGGAACGACTCGCTTTCCAGGTTAGTTCCGATGCGACTGGTCTATGGTGCCACTTGTCGTCGCATTCCCATACGGATAACTGTATCTTCTCTCCCTCTGTCGTGCTCTACTGAGTATTCCGTCCTCGTTTCTCCAGGGTCCGTCTTTGGAGTTTGTGGGATTTAGAGGAAACTCACCAGAACGAGCTCTCACGCGTTTGGTGCTGAAAACCTCAAATCTGATTTCACTTTCCGCGGTATTTGAAGCTGCAAACGGATCAGAAGTTTTGACTTTTCATGACCAAAAACAGTCCGAGCACTATCTCTTGATGTGGCTTCGCCATTGCCCCAATCTGACGAGGATCTGCTTCAGAGGATTAGAGGGCTTTCCCAGGCACCAATGGTTAAGCCATATTGGCTCCCATGCTCCGAATCTTCGGGTCCTGTCCCTTACTGGCTTGGATTTTCGGCTAGATTCTTTGGATGCACTTACTTCTCTGAAGAGTTTGGAGGATTTGGAGGTGGATTGTCCAAGGCTCAAAGGGGATTGTGTCGCTTGCCTCACAAGCCTCAGCAACCTCCGGAAGTTGACAATGACAGTGGATTTCATGTTCAGCGATACGTTCTCTAACCACAGCTTAAGGTTCCTCTGTCTGAAATCAGACGCCAGGTTCAGTCAGGTTTATCCGTCAGGTTTCGAATTGAAGCTGGATCTCCCTGCACTGGAAACGCTCAAGCTGCATTGTGTGGGAGTGCTTCTTGTGAGCAACTCGCCCTTGCTTACGCATATGGAGGTTGACTGCGTACAGACGGACCTTTTTTTTGGGAATCCGTCGAGAAATCTTCGCTTCTTAGCTTTGCGACTGCGAAGTGTCTATGAGGATCGCCGCCTTCAACCTGAACCCTTGCTGCTGGCAAGTGCAAACAGTATTGAGGAGCTTTATCTCCAAGGGAGAAATAGTATTTCTGCAAGTTCGGTGCTTCCATCTCTGAAGTCGCTTCACATCCCACTTGAGTCTTATCCGTTTCAAGTTATGAGGGACTTCGTGATGCGAGCTCCACGAATCACCTCTATTGAGTGGTTCATTGATAGTCGCATATACCCTGACTGGTATCGCAAGGATGGCCCTTCTCCAGTCGAAATTGCAAGTGGCATTGGCGAGATTATCAAGTCGTGCAAAACACTCAAGAACGTGAAGGTTGCCTTCATGGATAGCTCAGATTCCCTTTTCACTGTTGCAAACTGCATCTTGAAGCTGCAGAAGGCCTTTCCGTGCTTGGATTTCTCCGTCTACCGGAATCATGAGGCAGACGACTCCGAGTCTGACAGTGATTCAGGGTCGGACAGTGAAGTGGGGTCGGATGGTATTTCTGGTTAGTCAGTTGTTTTGCTGCTGTTAAGTAGGCATGTTGGCCTTGAAATACCGTACGTGTGTGCGTACCTTGTGTGTATAATAGTGTATGACTCTGGATGGCTGGCTGCAATACCAACTTTGATATCCGGACTTGTTTCATGTCTTGGCTCTATCAACATTATAATAAGGAATTTTTTCTCTCCAGTCAGACATGCTTGTGTAGGTTTGAATCAGGGCGTGGCATGCTTTCTTGCAATGATAGCAATGAGCTTATTCTGTAGCGTACTATGGTGTACGGAAGGATGGAACAAGCAAAATGTAGTTATTTTCCTGAAACTGCACTGCAGACTACCGTATATCCACATGACATGACATGACATGCAAGATGCAGTATCTCTGCGTCAAGCACCACCCCACATACTTGCACCACGAACAGAAAAAGGTTGATGAGTTTACCCATCCTTTCAACTAAACCACGGAACACTAGTCCATCAATGCTTGTTGACAAACCAGAGAGCAGGCACCATACACCAAGGACCAGGCACCCAGCTTCCTGATCAGTCCCCAATGCAGCCTGCGATCTGTGACCAGGCACCTCCCTGCCACGGTAATGGGAAGGTCCTCGGTGACTTGATGAGACCACTCGAACATGACCACTGCAGCCCCTTCAACCGCAGCACTCACCATCACAGCTCTCCCCAAACACCCTGCTGAATAGCTTTTGAAGCAACTCAAACAACACAAACACCATGGCGCCCCTCCTCACTTGATCTCCTGAATGATTTCCAAGACAGCTCAAACGAGAACCACCACAGCCCTCCACGACCGAGTACAGTCCCCTGGACGACTCTCGAGTCCACTCAAACATGGCCACCAGCTCACTGCTGAAGCTCTCCCTGCACACCCCTTTCAATGACTTGTAAGGCGACTTCACTCAGACAGCTCCACCATTGCAACCCTCCCCACATGCCTCCTGAATGGCTTCTGAGAAAGCTCAGACATCACCACCACCACACCGCAGCTCTCCTCATCCTCCCCATCCTCCCCCTTCAGTGACTTTTGAGACTTGGCTCAACTCAAGCAGCTCACCATTGCAACCCCACCCACACAGCCTCCTGGATAACCTCTGAGACAGCTCCTCAACCATAACAACCACCACCACCGCACTGCAGCTCTCCCCATCCGCCCTCCTCGGTGACTACAAGGCGACTCAAACATCTCCACCACTGCCGCCCTCCCCATAAGCCTCCCTGTCATGCAACCCCTCCCCATCACCGAGAAACGGACGGAATTCCCCAGGTGATTGCATGATGCCAGCGGGCACGGCGTCAGCAGGCATGACGTCAGCAGGCATGACGTCATCAGGGATGACGTCAGCAGGCATGACGTCAGCAGGCACTACGTCAGCAGGCATGGCGTCAGCAGGCATGACGATAGCAGGCATGTCAGCAGCAGCAGCAGCGAGAGGGCCGTAGGCAGAGGAGATGGCAGCAGACGTGGCAGCAGCAGGAGAGACGGGCAGTGCAGACGTGGCACCAGCAACATGCAAAGGAGAAAGAGAAGCGGTGGAAGCAAAAGAAAGTGGTCCTGCAGCAGTAACAGCAGCAGGGAACGTGGGAGTCGCAGGAGTAGGAGCAGCAGCAGGAGCAGCAGTAGGAGCAGCAGCAGGGGCAGCAGCAGGCACAGCAGCAGGGGTTGCGGCAGCAGCAGCAGGAACAGAAACGGAGGGAAGAAATATTCGACCCCCCAACCCCCCCACGCGCCAGTCGTCCGTCCTTTCTCTCTCCGCCTTGAACTGTTTCATATCCTCGATCATCTGCTTCTTCAGCCGTAACACCAGGTTGTACTGTGCGGTAACCGCGTCGCGCCTCACGATGAGCGTCTCGTAGCGCACGGACGCCATGTCGCAGCGCGCCAGCACCACCTTGTGCTGCGCGATGGCCTTCTGAATCAGCGCCACCACCACCTGCTCCCGCTGCACCAGCCGGCCTAGCTGCGACGCCAGCGCCTGTGGCGCCTGTGGGGGTCGCGACTGCAGCTGCTGCTCCTGCTGCCGCTGTTCCTGCTGCTGCCTATGCTGCTCCTTCTGCTGATGATCCAGCTGTTGCTGGGGAAGCGTCTGCTGCTGCTCCTGCTGGGAATGCCCCGCCTGTTCCTGCTCCTGATGCTCCTGCTGCTGAGAGTGCACCTGCTGCATCTCCTCTTCCTGCCGCTCGCCTGCATCTGCACCGGTCCCACTAGCTACCTCGCCCTCTGCCCCACTTGGCACCTCTGCACGCCCACACGCCCCCACAGCCTCTGCACCGCTGCCCCTGGGTTCATCTTCATCTTCTCCCACCGCACCACTCGTCTCTGGCGGGGGCAATGACTCACCCTGCGACTCGTGCGACCGGAGCGCCACCATCGCCACTGCTGCTGATGATTCTGCTGCTGTAAATGATTCTGCTGCTGTAAACGATTCTGCTGCTGTAAATGATTCTGCTGCTGTAAATGATTCTGCTGCTGTAAATGATTCTGCTGCTGTAAATGGTTCTGCTGCTGTAAATGGTTCTGCTGCTGGTGCTGGTGAATCAGTCGTTGGTACGGCAGTAGAAGCCAAGGGGTTACTTATCCATCCTTCCTCCGCCGACCGGCTTGACTCAGCGGCTGGCGGCCGTGCAGACCTGTCAAACAGCAGGCTTCCACCTTGGCCAGCCACGTCAGCAGCCGGCCGTGCTGACCTGTCGAACAGCAGGCTTTCAGCCAGGCCAGCCGTGTCAGCAGCCCTGGCTGCGGCCGCTTCGAATTTCAGCCGCCATTTCCCGCCAACAGATTCGTCTCCTTTTGTTGCTGCGAGTGGGTTGCTGCGCGCGGGCGCACCTGCTGCTTCATCTAGAGGCGCATCAGAAGCGGAGGGCGCGCAGGAAGCAGCAGGCGCGCAGCTCTTTTGCACGGAAGCAGTGCCGCTCTCGTGCGCAGCAAGGGCGCGCGGGCAAGCCCCCGTGGCGCGGAGGTGCTCTCCGCGCAAGCCTCCCCACGCAGCGGCGGAGCCCTTCCACCGCGTCCCCGCAACACACGCGGAAGCCTCCAGCTGCCCCTCCGCCTCCACGACCTCTACCGCGCACAGGCACTCCCCGCACCCCGCGCAACCCCCCCGCTTCCCGCTCCCCTCCCCCGACCCTGAGCCGCCGCTTCCTTCCCCGCTCGAAGAGCACCCCCGCGCAACCTCGACTTCCGCTTCCGCCGAGACCTCCCCCGCCGGGCTCGCTTCCGCTCTCCTTCTTGCCCCCCCCATCGCTTCCGCCGCGGCGGCGGCAGCCGCAGCGGCGAGGTACTGCCCTTGCGCCATGAGGCGGTCACGGTCCGCCTCGAGCGCAAGCTTCTCCGCGCGGAGTTCCGCCTCGACGCGCTCGAGCGCCTCCTCGTCAGCGCGCAGCAGCAGGTGCTCGCGGCGCAGCAGGTCGCGCTCCGCCTCGAGCAGCGCCTTCTCGTCGTCGAGGCGCAGCACCTGGCGCTCCACGCTCGCCTGCTGCGCGTCGATCTGCACGTTCTCGAGCAGGTGCAGGTGCAGGTTGCGAAGCGTGCGAAATACGAGATCGCCCATCGCGAAGGGTAACCGCTAGAGTTACAATTTCGAGTTTTGTTAGTTACCGTGCGAAGGCCTGATTGTGGAAAGCAGATAAGATTCGCCGATGGATGGCTTCAACTCAATGATACGTGTAAAACCAACAGCTAAACAGACTTGAAAGCTAAAACGATAAGAAAAAAGAGACACTAACACAATTGCTTCGGAATGTAAACCTAACCGCTACCCTATGGAAAGAAACAAGAGAATGGATCAAGTATGGCGAGACGAGAGGCAAGTTCGAGAAGTCTGAGTGAGGCCATCGACGGTTGATGCAACGGGCATGATCCCGCCATGGCTGACAGCTTATGTGTTCGTGCAGCTTGGTGATAAGGAAATGCTGTTAGTGCGGATAGGCTGTACTGAATCTGTCTAGTCTAATTCGAAACAGCATTGCAGCTCATATTTAGCTCTAGTTTTCCCAAGCTTCTTACTGACTATGCTTAACATGTATCCGCATCTCATTTGATAGCGGTAATTCATGCAGTCATCCTTTTTTTTAAATATAAATGGTAAGGTTTTCAGTTCTTGGCCCTTGCTGCACACTTGATTTTCAAGTTTTACTGTAAGAACACAAACAAGCCAATGTCCTAGTAGTCAGTGAAAGGTGGTGTAATCCTACCCAAAACTTCTATTCGCAGCCTTCCAGAGCGTACAGACCTTCGGACCGCCTGCTGCTGGAAACCTTGCTGAGATTAGTTGAGTGTAACGTGTGTTGACTGTTAGGGGCGCTGCTAGTCGCGGATGCTTCTAACGAGGGAGCTACGCAGCTGCCAGAACCCAGAAATCCGAATCCCGTGAAAACGTCACGGTCGCTGCAGCTTGACGGCAGCGATGAGCTGAAAATGGAATCCATACCCGTTGACCGTCCGCTGAAGCTGACGGTGCCGTCAGAAGAGCTGGGCATGTCTTCCTCACCCAGAGCTACAAACTCTTCCCCCTCGATACTGTCGCATCGTAAGAAATCCTCATTGCCTTCATCCCAAAATGAAGAGCCGAATTTCTGCTCGGGAACAATGTCGGGTAAAATTGCAGCCTCCGCCATTTCTGTGACTGCAAAATCTCCTGCCAGAAAGAAATCCTCTTGTGCAGCTGTTGTTGCTGTCATTGCTGGTATGTCGGCTGCTACCACGAAAGGCGGCTCTGCTACCGCTAGAGGCGCTTCCACGGACGCATCTAGGCCGAGGCTGACCTGCTCCGTAGTGAAGAAGCATGCTGGGGTGAGCCCTTCCAAATCAGCTGCTGGCCAATCCACGTCAGCTTCAGCTGACGTCGCGATGCCTGCAGAAGTTGGCTCTGCTACCTCAGTTGAAAATTCAACAAACCCTTCTTTAGTCGCCACCGGAGAAGCAGCTTCCTTTCCCCCGCTGTAGTCACGCATGATACAGTCAACGCTGCGTCCCGAGCCCAACTGCGCGTCGCTATCTTTCGTAATCACACTCACGGCTGCGTCTGTGCTGCCTGCAGTAGGTGTAGCTCGTACCGCCAAACCCTCCTGCCTGCTACCGCCAGAAGCTGGCTTGACATCGCTCCTACCAGCGCTTTGCTCTCGAAGCATCAGGGCCGTAGCGTCCGCCGCTTTTTCCGGAATGTCGTCCATCATCAGAGCCTCCTCCCACCAGCTCTTCGTCGGACCATTATCACCTCTCTCCACCCCTGCTCTTGCCCGCTGTACCCCTGTGCGCCCATCTCCACCGCATCCAGCCTCTTCACCGTCGACCTCGCACACGGCAGGGCACGTCACCACACTGCATTCCCTTTCTGCGCCTATCTCTGCACCCATCCCCCACGGCCTATGCCCTTCCGACTTGGCCTTCTTCCCCACGGGTCCAAACACGCCGAATCCAAACGGATCTCCTCCCGCCTGCGCCATCCAATCATCCTCGTCCACGTCAGCAGCCATGGAATTCGCATCTCGCCAGTCACCAGCGACGGAGCCGAAGGCGCCATTGCCGTCGGACGCGGCTCGCATCATCGTCCTGTTCCGCGCGAGAATAGGCTCGGACGACCACGACGCGTTCGAGACGGACGGATGAACGCCGCTACCCGCCGTCTGGATTGGCTGGTTCCAGCACTGATTCGTAGCACCCGCAGCCGCAGCGGAACCGGGAGTGCTTGGAGGGGCCGTCGCGCCGACGCGAGTAGTTGCGGCAGCCACGGAGCTGTCGCGCACATCGCGCAGCTCGCTCAGGCCAGGCGTCGCCTCGACAGCTTCGCGGACCGTCTCCATCGCGGAACGCTTCCGCGTCACGGGGACGGGGGAAGGAGTACAGGGGGAGGGCGCGCAGGCGGAAGGCGCGGAGGGGAGTTGAGGGGGCGGCAGCGTGGAGTTCGGGGCTGTGACGGCACTACGAGGTCTCGAGGTATCATGAAGCGGTTGAGGCAATTGCTGGTTGAGGAAGGGAAGGTGCAGCAGGGGTTTAGGCTTCTGCGCGGATTTGGATACTGGCGTGGTCGCAAGAGGGGCGGCGGGCGCTGCGCCGAGCGGAAAAGGTGAAGCAGCAGGGATCGCGGTCGCAGCAGGCGCAGTGGACGGGACGGGGGCGGAGGAGACGGGGAGGGCGGGGGCGGAGGGCGCGGGGCTTGTCTGGATGATGGCAGCACGGGGAAGCATGAGGGGGGAGAAGACAGATGTCTGCTGAGGGGCAGGTTGGGGCGTACGTGGCGGTACCGCGGATTGCGGCTGCGCTTGAAACTGCTGGATATGCGGCTGCACTTGCTGCACCTGCTGCTGCTGCTGTTGCTGCGGCTGAGCTTGCGCCGTAGCATGGGCGACCGAGAGGGTCTGTTGATTCGACGCGGAAAGCGGGGCGGAGAGCCGAGGCTCCTTGGGAAAATTCAGCTGCGCCTTGGGTCCGCGGATCTCCCGCGCAGCCTCGTCGTACGCGCGAGCTGCCTCCTCGGGAGTGTCGAACGTCCCCAGCCACACTCGCCCGCGCCCGCCGGCGTCGCGGATCTCCGCCGCCCACCGACCCCACGGCCGGTACCGAACGCCGCGATACGGCGCAGGCTGAGCGTTCCTCCCCTCACTCGCGTTGTGCCCGCCACTCGTGTTGCTTCCACCGCCACTCGCGTTCGGTCCACTGCTGTTACCCCGAGCGCTAGCAGCGGAGAGTCCTCCGCCGCTGCTGGCGCTGCGACCGAGTGCCATCTGGTGCTGCTGCGGCTTGGGTCGCTCCGAAAACGCCGCGCGGCTTCGCACTGGGCTGATTGGGTGCGACCTGCTGCCTCTCCCAGCGACTCCTGCGACGCCCAAGACGGTCGACGGGGTGGGATTGGACGGAATGGGGACGGTCTGACCCTGATGAACGGAAAGCATTTGACGAATCGCCTCCTGAACCTTGCCGGCGATGAGAAACTGCTGGCTGGGAGTTGGCGGCGACGTTAGTGTAACCGCCTGAACGGCTGTTTTAGCGATTGGGGAAGTTTGGGGTGCGGAGGTTAGCGGAGGGGCAGAAACCGTCGCCATTCTTCCCGGGGATGTAGCCCTAGGAGACTCACTAGACGGGCCGCTAGTGTCCATCTGCTTGGCTGGTTCAATCACGCAGCTGCAGTTGACGCAACGAGTGCATGCTGGCGTTTCTACGGCTATGGGCTGAGGGGGCGTGTCGTGATCGGATAAGGCGTTGCTCGACTCGAACCAAGTATCAAAATCGTCGGCCATTTCTTCAAGAAGCGTCTCATGATCGCATGAGGTCATTCCCAGTTCCTAGACAGCCGTACCCTAGCTAGCCTTGGCTGGTTTTTGGTTGAAATGGGAGATTTTGGTTTGTGTTGCGAATGATGTTTGAGACGAAATGGGCGGCTTTTCTTGCGGGAAATCGAGTGGGGAATTCTGTCGGTGGCGTGCTGAAAAAGGCCACAACCCACCTTCCTAGCAACCAGCGCCTCAATGAGAGGGACTGATGCGCGGAAGCTGTGGGGGGGGGGAACGAAAACGGTGCATTTTCGGCGGACATTTGGAGGCGTTTGGAGGGGGGGAAGGAGGGGGAGGGACAGGCGGGAAGGGGGAAGCTGGCTTGCTGTGTTGGCGAGGTGGTTCAGCAGGGGCGTGTGGGCGGAATTAACGAGAGGTGGACGGACAGAACGGGCTGACACGGCGGAAGGCAGTTTTGCGAAAACTCGGTTGGCAGAATCAGCGTGTTGTCTACGGTAGATACTGCGTTGCCGGAGGAAGGCCGACTCATCCAGCGGTAAAGCGGTAAAGTAGCGCGTTATCGTGTTACAAGTGCACTGTATGCGAAACTCAATCAGAGCGCCGCGGCAAAGCGGCTTTGCGATGCGACGCCGGCAAAATTGACCACGGTCAGCGCATCGAAGACTTTCTCGATCTGGATTCGAAGCTGTCCAATCACCTGGGACCGGGACCTTGCTTGCCGGGATGGGCACTTGTCAGATGGTGTGATTGTGAATTTTGGCCACGGCCGGCCGAGAAAGATGGAGAGGTGACTGAACGTCCAGTTTACTGCCAGACATCACACAATCGTAGGTGAATAGCTGCCCGGCCGTTACTTCAATGTACATTCTCCGCCGGTTTAGCCGGCCGAAATTTCAGAGAACCATGATGGTTTGCCCGAACGGGGCCTGCCTGTGTGGCTGACCCAGGTCTCGACCGGACAGGTCAAGCTGTCTGAGCCAAGGTCCAAGGTTCGTCCACGTTGACATGTGGAGGACCTGATCAACGTGTCTTGTTTGTGCGGCGGCACAACGGAACTTCAACAGGTCCGCCGTCGCCTGACAGCATCTACACCTGCACTGTATATAGAGCTTTGAATTAGTGCTTAAAAACAAAACATGATTTTTATGATTGCTAACTTGCTATGTTTCCTAAATTCACAGGCTGCATCATGTCACCTTCTAACATTCCTTCCCTATGTTCCCGCCCAGCTAGGGTTCTTCCTACATGATCCAAACCTTTTACTTGTACGGTGTCGGCAGTTTAATACAGAACGTTTGCTCCATACAGGTGCTTGAATCAAGCACTTGCACTGGTAATCAGAAATGGATACAGCAAAGGCCGTGTAAGAAATTGATTCCTTCAAACCCCCCTCCCCCCGACCTCTAAAGAGGTTGGAGGGCTTAAGGGAGCATCACCAGGCAGACAGCTACTGCAAAAAAGGTAATACCGGCGTGCGAGCCAATGAACTAGTGCAATGCGATTGCACGGCAAATCATAGTGGCGTGTAAAATTGTTCGGGTAGTTATCAGTGCTCGGGAAAGGGAAGAGGGATTCACAGAAGGAAGTTAGCACAGGGTTAGTCATGCCAACGGTGCCGCTGCCACTGCAAGATCACCACCAGCACCAGTGAGTGCTGCTGCTGCTGCCACCGCCGCCGCCGCCGCCGATGCTGCTGCTGCTGCTGCTGCTGCTGCTGCTGCTGCTGACACTTGGTATAGAGTGCGCCCCCTAGATGCCTGCTGGTTCACATGTGCTCCTTCCTTGCTCCTTCCTTGCTCCTTCCTTGCTCCTTCCTTGCTCCTTCCTTCAGACAAGTGTGACTTGCCACATGCCTGGTAGGTAGCCAAAGCTCCGCATCTTGCCGCAATCCTGCTTTAGACCTCCAACCCTCCTCTGATCTCCAGACCCCAGTCCCCGGCTAGCGTCCCAACACCGCAGATTGACGACCAGAATTTGCTAAGGATTGGGTTCAGTTTTTCTTTCAAGATCTCTAGGATCCTGCTTCAGGCTTCCAGCCTTGGTATAGAAGCGCATCCTGCTTCAAAGCTATAACCCAGCTTCAGATTCCCAACCCTGCTTCAGATTCCCAACCCTGCTTCAGATTCCCAACCCTGCTTCAGATTCCCAACCCAGCTTCAGATTCCCAACCCTGCTTCAGATTCCCAACCCAGCTTCAGATTCCCAACCCAGCTTCAGATTCCCAAACCTGCTTCAGATTCCCAACCCTGCTTCAGATTCCCAACCCTGCTTCAGATTCCCAACCCTGCTTCAGATTCCCAACCCTGCTTCAGATTCCCAACCCTGCTTCAGATTCCCAACCCTGCTCCAGATTTCCCAAACCCTGCTTCAGATTCCCAACCCTGCTTCAGCTTCCCAACCCTGCTCCAGATTCCCAACCAAGCTTCAGATTCCCAACCCTGCTTCAGATTCCCAACCCTGCTCCAGATTTCCCAAACCCTGCTTCAGATTCCCAACCCTGCTTCAGCTTCCCAACCCTGCTCCAGATTCCCAACCAAGCTTCAGATTCCCAACCCTGCTTCAGATTCCCAACCCTGCTCCAGATTTCCCAAACCCTGCTTCAGATTCCCAACCCTGCTTCAGCTTCCCAACCCTGCTCCAGATTCACAACCCTTCTTCAGCTTCCCAACCCTGCTCCAGATTCCCAACCCTGCTTCAGCTTCCCAACCCTGCTCCAGATTCCCAACCAAGCTTCAGATTCCCAACCCTGCTTCAGATTCCCAACCCTGCTCCAGATTTCCCAAACCCTGCTTCAGATTCCCAACCCTGCTTCAGCTTCCCAACCCTGCTCCAGATTCACAACCCTTCTTCAGCTTCCCAACCCTGCTCCAGATTCCCAACCCTGCTTCAGCTTCCCAACCCTGCTCCAGATTCCCAACCCTGCTTCAGATCAGATTGCCATCAATATGACCTTACTAAGGACTGCAGCGGCGACGAAGCAGGCGTTCGGACACGCGCACATACGAGTACGGTGCTGCTGCTGCGGCTGCTGCTACTGCTGCGGCTGCTGCCGTTCGTGTGGGTACAGCAGCACAAAGCCCACTCTACGGACTGCAGCGGCGGCGCAGCAGGCGCTCGGACATGCGCACATACGAGTACGGTGCTGCTGCAGCCGCTGCTGCTGCTGCCCTTCCTCGCTCGGATGTCCGTGTGGGCGCAGCAGCGCGTTGTGCACTCGCTCTCCGACTGCCAGCAGAGCGAGAGGAGCGCGCTGCAGGAGGGGCGGACGGGAGGGGAAAAGGGTTTGAAGGGGGGAAGCTGATGAGACAAGGAGCAGCAGCAGCCGCTGCTAATTTTTGTCCACAATCAGACGTCCGTGTGGGTGCAGCAGCGCGTTGAGCACTCGCTCTCCGACTGCCTGCAGAGCGAGAGGAGCGCGCTGCAGCAGGAGGGGCGAATCCGATGGGGGGGGAAGGAAGGGGGAAGGTGGAAGAAGATGAGACAAGGAGCAGCACCACCAGCGGCTGCTGCTGATGCTCTTCCGCGGACGGACGTCCTCGTGGGCCCAGCAGGACGATGTGCACTTGCTCTCCCACTGCCCGCAGAGCGAGAGGAGCGTGCTGCAGCAGGGGAGGACGATGAGAGGGAAACAATGAGGACAGAAACCGACGGGGAGGGAAAGATAGGGAAGGGAAAATGGGGAAGGAAATTTGAGGAGGAGAAAATGAGGGGGGGGGGAAATGAGGAGGGAACGGTGTCGGTGTGGAGGGAAAGATGAGGAGGGAGATGAGGAGGGAAAGATGAGGAGGGAGATGAGGAGGGAAAGATGAGGAGGGAGATGAGGAGGGAAAGATGAGGAGGGAGATAAGAGGGGAAAGGTGGGGAGGAAAAGATGAGGAGGGAGATGAGGAGGGAAAGATGAGGAGGGAGATAAGAGGGGAAAGGTGGGGAGGAAAAGATGAGGAGGGAGATGAGGAGGGAAAGATGAGGAGGGAAAGATGAGGAGGGAGATGAGGAGGGAAAGATGAGGAGGGAGATAAGAGGGGAAAGGTGGGGAGGGAAAGATGAGGAGGGAGATGCGGAGGGAAAGGTGAGGAGGGAAAGATGAGGAGGGAGAGGTGAGGAGAGATGAGGATAAGGAACGACGTTCTGGCTCACTCACTAGACAGACGGGTTAAATCCGACTTCTTGATAACAATCGAAACACGAGGAATGAGCACCGACCTCAGCGTGCAAGAAAAGCAGCTCAGGTTAAAATCCCTGGACACAAGTACTCCTAATCTCTAGAAACGATATGCCATAATCGCCTGCATTGGGTACGTCTCAGAAGTCCTTACGACCCCGCATTGCACAGACGTAGTAAGAAACTAAAAATGGAATAATTCGCAGGAGTGGTACATAGGAATCACCTGACGCCGTGCAGATGACCCTCGTTCTCCCGCCCCCTCTTTCCCCCTTTTTCCCTCACCCACCCAACCCATCCCCCCCTCCCCCTTCCTTCAGGTCCGGACGCCAAGTTCACACCCCACCCTCACCTCGCGACCACGAGTCAATCTCTGCTCGGTGCTCCGCGTCCGTCCACTTGGCCTCGTGCCCAAAGGGCGGCCGTGCCCTGCACTCAGTCGGGGAGCAGGTGAGGAGAGATTGGGCGCGGAGAGATCAGGCGCGGAATGCGAGTGGGAAAGAGATGCCCAACACTTTTGAGTCGACTCAAAAGTCAATTGGGCACGGAGAGATCAGGCACGGATTGAGAGTGGGAAAGGGATGACGAACACCAACAGCAATGCTCACGCACAGAACGCAATTAAAGAGTGGGCAAGGAAAGAGGGAATGAAAGGGATAATGAGCATCCGCAGGTATGCTCACGTCACGGGCCTAAGATTGACCTAAACGGGAAGGAAAGGGGCATTTAGCATCCAACGCGGTGCTCTCAGAAGCACTGCAGTGTTAGAGCCAGTTTGTGCGGTTGGAAAACGAGAAACAACAGTGGTAGGAAGCCACAGGAGTAAACGCCAGGAAAATCTTCAAACATCCAGATCTGGAATTCCATTTCAGGTCTGGAAATTGAAAACAAGGAGGAACCCGCAAGATAATAATCCTGGAAAATCCAGAATCAGACCCTGCCAATACTGGCTCACGACTGACCTAAACCCATGGCCGTAAACCAGCCGGTTTAACTCGACATCCCAACTCACCCGTCATCGTCGTCGTATCGTCGATTGCACTCCCGCGCCTCCTCATCCCCGCTAGCGCCAGCCCCGTTAAAAACACAAGGCGGGCCCGTCCACTCCGGTACACTCGCCTGGAACATGGGCCCTACGCGCGTGTAGCCAACCGGAGACAGCCACGTGCGCTGCAGCAGCCAATGGCCTTTATGGTCTGCCACGCTGTCATCACCGTCGTCCCCATCCCTCCCCCCGCCTCCCCCGCTGCCCCGCTTCTCGAAATTCTGCAGCCATGGCTCCTCGTTGTTACCCTTCCCTCTACCGTTCGTTTTTGCACCGTTCGCACCGCTATCGCCGCTGCCACCGATGCCGCCGCTGCCACGCTTCTCTCCTCCCCTTCTCGCGCCGACCAGCGACTCCTTCTCCCCACGTGGCACTAAAACCACGTCATCAGCTTCATCGCGTACAGATACACCAGATTGCACGGGTGCCACGTCCGCTTCCAACAAAATCACGTCATCATCCCCATCCGCCATCAACTGCTGCTCATCATTCAACAGCGTCCTCGAGTCCACGTCAGCTATCCTCTCGTCGGCTACCCGCCCGCCGTCCAGCCGGTTATCTGCCGGTTGCTGGACCGCTGTCCGTCGATTCTCCGCGCACTCCTCGGCCCACACGACGACGACCGTCGCTTTCCGCTTCTCCTCCACTTCACACAGATCGCACACCCACTCGCCGTCCTTGTCCACGTGGACCTCCTCACCGCGCGACGCAAGACAGCGAATGTGGTAACCCGCAAAACACAAATCACACAGTACCGTGTTTTCGTTCTCGTCCTCGCCGCAGACCAAGCATGGCGACGCCGCTGCAGATCCATCGCCAACCCTACCCGGATGTGCGGCTGGGGGTGGCCCTTGAACAGCCCCGTCCTCCTCTGTGAACCGTTGGATTTGACACGTGGCGAGTTCCTGTGGACTATCAAAGGTAGGCTCACGTGGAGGTAGGATTTCAAAGGCGTCGGCGACAGGGACTAGCGCCACTGGCAGCGTCGCACACATCGCCGGAACGTCGCAAGGCGGCTCCTTGTAGTCGCGATGCGCGTCGAGAAAAGGCCTGGAAAAGCGCTGCTCGCAAAGCATCGTTCCCAGCTTCCAATGTACGCCGACCGTTTGCTTCAAATACAAGAGCCCCAGCTTCCAAATCTCAGCTTGGACTAAGCACTACGGGTCCAATTAATCTCCAGAAGCCTTCAACTTAGCCAAGCAGCCACAAAAGGTGCGGATCACGCCAAATCTGACGGATTGCGCAGGGACGCAGTGTGCGAAAGGAGTAAGAGTCGGTCTGCACAACGCGGAAAAGCAACGGTCGCTCCGTAAGAGGTAAGGGAGGGAGAGGAGGAACCTAGAAGAGAGGCAAAGCTGAAAGTTACAAGACTCTAGAAGGTTGCCTGAAAATCGACACTTGCTCAACCTTGTTGATGAGTTCCCACCGACCGACCGAGAGATTACTGTATGGTCCGTTCGAGTCCCTCCTATGGTGCTAGAATCGATGCGAGGGAGAGGGAGAGTCCAAGAGAGGGGCATCGGGCAGGGGTTTCGTCCACAGCGCCCACGTGATTCACGAAGCCGCATTTCGTGAACAGGCGTCTGCGAGGCCTCGCCGATGTCTGACGTTACGCGCCACTGACACGATCGGTGCAGTGGCGCAACGACACGTGTCAGACGTTACACATTCCTGGGTCACGCAGCTTCGAGTATAGTTTCGCGATCGCGATGTCCCCCACCGCGCCAGCGGCCCAAAGGAGAAACTCGTTAAAAGAGTCCCCGCTTTTCGTAAAACAAATTAGGTCGGAATAGACGCCTTGAAACAAGCCCTAATTTTTGAAAGTAGGGGAGGGGGCTTTGGATGTTGCCAGAAACGCCTGCTCCTCTTCACCCCAGAAACGCGAACCCTAAATCTACACTTGAGCTTCAGAAAAGCACAAGCCTAGCATTAATACCAATACTAGTGAATGAAGGGGAAAGACGGACGGGAAGCAAAGGCTTGGGACATCTGATTACCTGGAGACCCAAGCGCTTGTTCCGCGCCAATGGCCGAACAAGCAGGTGACGCGAATCCCGGCAGTATTCCCGCAGACGTAGACGGCTGCCAGCTGGCCACTTCAGGCGGCGATCCGTCAACGGCAACCGGCCAGTCTGACGGTTCTCCGATGGAAGAGTTAGCGGACGGGCAAGGAGACGCGGACGTGAAACCCGCGAGTCGGGAGCCACGTGTCGTTCGGGAAATTGACGTCTTCCTGATGCCACGTGTCGACGATCAAACCAAGGCATGACTCAAAAGGCTGTTTTTGACAGATTAACTTCCCCATCAGTTTCTCAACCTTCGGATGTTGTCGGTATAGGCTGTCTGGGCAGAGCTTGTAGCTCTGGTTGGCTCGTCCAACGAGATAGGGCAAAAGCAGATGGCGAGACACTGTTGGGCCTTCCACTTGTGACTCGCCCTGGTTGTCTCCTCGACGAGTGAGCAGAGGACACGGTCGTGGTTCAGGTTCAGTGCCTCATGATGCCCCATGCCCACGCCATGGCCCATGCCCCATGCCCCCTGCCCCCACGTGCCAGCGCAGCTGTACCTGTTCCAGTACCCCCTGCGCCCAGCCTGACGCCCCTTCCTCCCCTGCCACTGTCTGCCCCATGCTCTGCGCCTCACCGTGCGCCATGCCCTGTGTGCCCTGCCCCATGCCCCTCGGCAGCGCAGTTGTACCTGTTCCAGTACCCCCTGCGCCCAGCCTGGCGCCCGTACGGGCTGGAGGAGCGGTGTCAGGAGGTGAGCTGAGGGATGGGGGAGTGATTGACGAGGCGTGCCAAAAGCTTGTGAAATGCATCATCAGTGCATTTTGAATGCATGCCTAGAAAATGTGGAATGAATGACAAATGCACTGTGAGAATAATATCTTCTTTTTTTTCCTCCTTTTTTTTGTGTGTGTGTGTGTTTAAGCATTCACAAATTCGTCCCACTGGAATAACAACACGCATCTTCTTACGTTTGTAAGCTACTTCTGCATTCCTTGATGTGACTGATGTGGGTGTGACTGTGCGTGCGGGTGTCTGTTGGGAATGGCAGATTCGGGTGCGCCCATTACAATCACGGGTGGAGGTGGATCTAGCCATCGATACCACCGACTCCTCGTATGATCATGACTCCGCAGACAACCTTAAGCAGACCACGCAGGTACGTGTTGTTCATGCCTTGCCTGACACAAGCAGACCACGCAGGTACGTGTTGTTCATGCCTTGCCTGACACAAGCAGACCACGCAGGTACGTGTTGTTCATGCCTTGCCTGACACAAGCAGACCACGCAGGTGGTGTCCATGTCATGTCATGGGTACAATCACGGGGGGGGGTGGATCTAGCCATCGATACTACCGACTCCTCTTATGACCACGACTCAGCAGACAACCTCAAGCAGACCACGCAGGCACGTTCTGTTCATTCAGTGATTAACGTAGCAATGGGAATGACTGTATCCAGCCAGACAGCCGGAGGTGGATCTAGCCATCGATACCACCGACTCCTCATATGATCACGACTCCGTAGACAACATCAAGCAGACCACACAGGTGCTACTTATGTTGTGATGATTGTCGAGATTTATGCAACTAGACACGACCGACCGCATCAGTTGAAATCCGATAAGACTGTTTCATGGGAACCATGTGTAGCTGGTTTTACCAAAACCATATGATCACCATATGAGAGTGTGGCCGGCCGTTAGATCTAGTCTTATCGTTCAGGTCTAACGCAACCAATTGCATGGCACGTCACTCTATCTCTCCTCCCTCTCTCGTTTCCTCCATCGCTCCTTCCTGCATGCTTCCAAAGCATCTCAGAGCCGATTCATTGTTGTCGCTCCTCCCCCATGTCGCTCCGTTGCTCTGCAATCACTCTACCCTCCTCCCTGCCAGACGCTCACCTCGTTGCAGCTGCATCTGGCCACCAACTATGCGGTGGGCATGCTGCAAGGCGATCAGGTGCGTGCCTTTCGCTTCCTAACTTGTTGCCTGGCTGGCTGCCTGGCTGGCTGCCTGGCTGGCTGGCTTTCTTGCTTGCTTGCTAGCCTAGTTGCATACTTGCATGCTCGAATCCTTGTTTATTTTCTTTCCTTGTTCTATGTCCGGCTTGTTCAACTCACTCGCTCCTCTCCTCTGCTCTCTCTCTCTCTCCATTCCAATCCAATCTGGCTGCTTATGGACCAATAACCATGCACGCAACGAAACGGCCGCGAGGTGTGTAGTGAGTCGAGTTTTGAGTCGACTCAAAACTCGACTCCATTCCAATCTGGCTGCTTATGGACCCTGCAGGCAACGAAATGGCCGCAAGGTGTGTCCCTTGCTGCACTGCCCATACACGCCTGCTCCGCCCCTCCCTCTCTCGTCCCCCCCAGCTCCATCCGATCAGAACCCGTTACATGCAGTGGTGCGGCTGCGGCCGTACCTAGAATGCCTGGACAGTGCAGGGGAGAAGGCGGAGGGAGGAATACCGATCTGTATCTTCTCCCCCCTGCCGCTTGTACCCCCGCTCTACCCCCCTCCCTCCCCACCACAGCCCCATCTGAACCCGTTACATGCAGTGGTGCAGCTGCGGCCGTCACTAGATTACCTGGACAGTGCAGCAGAGAAGGCGGAGGGGGGGAAGGGGCGGAAGGGCGAGTGAGAATACTGATTTGTGTTTGCCCCCCCCCTACCATGTCATGTCCTCCTCCTGTTTCTCCTCCTCTCCCCCTTTCCCTGCAGCTCCATCTGAATCCGCTGCATGCAGTGGTGCAGCTGCGGCCGTCACTAGCTTACCTGGATAGTGCAGCAGACAAGGCGGAGGGGGGGAATCACTGACTTGTGTGTCCGTTTTCCCCTTCCTCTTTCCCTTCTCCCGCACCCACCCACGTATCTGCACCCCCCAGCTTCATCTGAATCCGCTACATGCAGTGGTGCAGCTGCGGCCGTCACTAGATTACCTGGACAGTGCAGCAGACAAGGCGGAGGGGGGGAAGGGCAAGAAGAAGGGGGCAGGGGAGGTTGCGGAGGAGGAAGAGATGGGGGATGGGGAGGATGGGGAGGCGGGGCCTGTGGCTCTGGAGGTAAGAGAATGGGTTGAAGGTGGTTGAAAGGTGGTAAAGGATGGTTAAAAGGGATGTGAGTAGTGAAGAGTGGAGGCGAGTTGGGGAGATGGATATGGGAATAAGGGAGATGAAAAATGTGTGGTGTCAATACGGGACACAGGTGGGCTGCGGATGCCAGGCGGGCTGCGGATGCCTTATTTCCATCAACTCGTGCTGTTCTAGGGCAACGAGACAAGTTGGGGAGATGGATATGGGAGTAAGGGAGATGAAAGATACATGTGAAAGGGTGAATAGGGGAGGCAGTGACTGGGTGAGTGTGTGTGTGTGGGGTAGGGGAAGAGAAGTGGGGGGGGGGGAAGGAGGGGATGATCGATGTGTGTCGTCGATTCAAAGTCACCACCCTTGTTGTGTGCTTGCATGTTGCCTCAAGTCAAGGCACCCAATAGCATAAACCCGCGCCATTGGGTGGGCACTGCCTGAATGAACGTATGTATGCTGTTTTGAACTGCACTGTGCAGTGAGCTTGACGAAGAGGGAGACGGGGGAGCAGGAGGAGATGCGCCTGCAGTCATGTTTTAAAGCGCCTCTCAGCTTCAGATGCACACTGTGGTATGTGTTCATGCTGTTTTGACCCCCCACTACCCCCACCCACCCACAGGTGAGCCTGAAGAAGAGGGAGACGGAGGAGCAGGAGGAGATGCGCCTGCAGTCATACGCACACATCCATGCCCTGAGAGAGAAGGAGGTGAGTGGAGTTTCTGCCATAGTGAAATCGTGATAGTAACCAATGTACTCGTATTCGTATTTGCACTTGTATTCATAATTATATATGTATTTGTATTCATATTTGTATTTACATTCATATTTGTATTTGTACTCGTATTCGTCTTTGTATTTGTATTTGGGTTTGGGCTTGTATTTGTAATCGAATTCGCACTTGTATTTTCACTCGCATTCGTATTGTATTTGTACTCGTATTCGTATTCGTATTTGTGTTCTGCTGAACGTAGACACTAACTAAAACAATAATACCACTCATTCATCCCATGCTTTATTCTTCCTCTCTCCAGCCGTGGCAGCAGCTGCAGGCCTTCTCAGCATCAAGTGAGGAGGCAGCAGCAGTACGGGCGCGCATGGTGGTGGGGGGAGGCGCGGCAGGGGGAGGCGCACAGAAGCAGGGAGCGGTGAAAAAGGAGGAGGGTGCTATGGCGGTGGATGGAGCACTGGAGGGCGAGGGGGGGAAGCCAGAGGGGGAGAGGGAGGGGGTGGAAGGTGGAGGAGTGGGAGTGGAGGAGCAAGGGGTGGATGTGGATGGTGCTGTTGCTGATGTGCCTTTCACCCTCCCTCAGTATGTTCCTCAGTGTGCCTTTCCTCACTCCCTCAGTGTGTGCTGTTTTCACTCCCTCAGTGTGTGCTGTTTTCACTCCCTCAGTGTGTTTTTGTGAACTCACCTCCTCTCATTCCCTGTCCAGTAAGATTTCTCCCAGAGCCTTCACCCGCACCCGCACACACTCTCTCCTCTCTCCCACTCCTCCCGCCCCTTTTGCTGTTGCCAGTGCTTCTTTCATTCCTCCTCTCACACCTCCCACTTCCTACCTGCTCCCGCCTTCCCTGCCTCCACTCCCCCCCTGCGCTCCCACTCCCCCCCCACACATTCCCCCGGTTTGGGGGGGGAGGCTACATCTACACCTACACCTTCTCTCCCCCCCCACCCCCCATCACCCCCCAGTTCGGCCTACATCCAAGCGCTGGTGGGGTCGTGTCTCTCGCACTCCTCCTCAAGTCCCCCCCCTGCCCTTCCCCCCTGCCCCTCACCCCACCTCCCCTCCCCACACTTCCCCTTCCCACCCCCCATCACCCCCCAGTTTGGCCTACATTCAAGCGCTGGTGGGGTCGTGCATCTCCCACTCCTCCCCAAGTCCCTCCAACTTCCCCCCTCCCCCTTTTCCGCCCACACTTTCTCCCCTCGCTTCCTCCCAATCCTCTCCTCCCCACCATATCCCAGTGTTGCCTACATTCAAGCGCTGGTGGGGTCGTGCCTCTCACACTCCTCCGCTGCTGCGGCAGAGATCAGAGGCATTTCAGGGCTGTCCAAGAGGTGAGCGAGTGGCCTGCGAGAGGTATTGAGGTGAATTTGACCATTAGAGGTGTGGTAGTGGCTGCAAGTGTGACTGAAGCAAGTGACTATGAGATATGTGACTGTGACGTGTGTGGCTATGACGTGTGTGGTTATGAGGCATGTGGAAAAGAGGTGTGTGACTATAATGTGTACAATTTCGAAGCTCCCTCACTCCCCCGCCCTTACACCCCCCCCCCCCCCCCCTCCTCCCCCCCTCCTCCCTCACGCCGGATACAAGCCTTCTTCTCACGCGCTAAGACACACATCTTCCGTTTTTTTTAGAAAAAAAAAAAAAAAAAAAAAAAAAAAAAAAAACAGATTTTCACATGCCAAGACATACATTTTCCAGTTCCGCCGCCTCTGGAATCTTCTGCTGCCCCACACATACGTTCCCTCCCCCGCGTCCCCCACCCACGTTGTCTTCCCCACCCCATCTTTCTCTCCCCCGCAACCCCTACCCACCTGGAATCTCTTCCTCTGTAACGCTAATTGCCATCCCACATGTCGCAACCGCCTCATGAAGCTGATGCTGCTGCATCCCATCCCATCTACCTTTGGAAGATTTTCTGCCTTTGGAGCACCGGTTACTAGCCCTCTTGTCACGCGCCAAGACGCACATCTTCCAGTTCCACTGCCTGATGAATCTGCCTCTCAACCCTGTCTTCCCCCCATTACTCTTCTCCCCTCCCTCCCTCCCGCTTCCTCCCTTGTACTCCCAGCTACCTGGATTCTCTGCCTCTGGAGCGCCGGCTCCTAGCCCTCCTGTCGCGGGCCAAGACCCACATCTTCCAGTTCGACTGCCTGATGAATCTGCTGCTGCTGCCCCACCCTCTCTCCCTTGCCCTCCCTTATATCCCAGCTACCTCGATTCCTTGCCTCTGGAGCGCCGATTGCTAGCCCTCCTGTCGCGGGCCAAGACACACAATTTCCAGTTCCACCGCCTGATGAAGCTGCTACTGCTGCCCCACCCCCACCTCCCCTTCCCCACTACCCCAGCTACCTGGACTCTCTGCCTCTGGAGCGCCGATTGCTTGCACTCCTGTCGCGCGCCAAGACACACATATTCCAGTTCGACCGGCTGATGAATCTGCTGCTGCACCACCCTCTCTGCCCACCCCTCTTCCCCAGCTACTTGGATTCTCTGCCTCTGGAGCGTCGGTTACTAGCGCTCCTGTCGCGCGCCAAGACACACATATTCCAGTTCGACCGGCTGATGAATCTGCTGCCAGCAGGCACGCAGCAGCAGCAGGTGCTGGCACTGCTGCAACACAAGGCGCTGCTGGTGCAGGTGAGGTGACTGGAAGGGCAAAGTGTGTGTGCAGAGGAGCAGCTCCTGTAGGCACCAGCAGTACCTATGAATGCTACCAGCAGGCACTCAGCAGCAGCAGCAGCAGCAGCAGCAGCAGCAGCAGCAACAGGTGTTAGCACTGCTGCAACACAAGGCGCTGCTGGTGCAGTTGAGGTGATTGGGAAAGAATGACAGTTAGGACAAGAGCAGGGGTTCCTTTGAGGGAAGATACAGGGGTAGTGCTCGTGCAGAGAAAGGCATTCCTTGTGCATAGGAGTCTTCACCTCATTTTCTTCCCCCCTCCCGGTCCTCTCTTCCTCAACCCTTTCCCCCACCTTCACCAGGGCTGCTGGGTGGCCCCCAGCTCCATGCGCTGCCCCGTGGGGCCCACCTGTGTGCTGCGAGACCTGCTGCTGCTGCTCCTTTCCCCGCATCCTGACTGTTGTCTTGATCCCCTCCTCTCCTCTTCCCCCCTCACCCCCCCACCAGGGCTGCTGGGTAGCTCCCAACTTCCTCACCCTCCAACTTCCTCAACTTTCCCCAACTTCCTCACCCCCCCTCTCCACTGCGCTCCAGGGCTGCTGGGTGGCGCCCAGCTCAATGCGCTGCCCCGTGGGGCCCACCTGTGTGCTGCGAGACCTGCTGCTGCTGCTATTCACCAAGCACCGCGTCATTCGCCCCGAGCATGTTGCACACCTTAAGGTGGGTTTGATGGGGGTGGTGGGTGTGGCTGGACGGGTGGGTGCAGCAGAGGTTTTAGGCATCTCTCATCCCACCTGTGTGCTGCGAGACCTGCTGCTGCTGCTATGCACCAAGCACCGCGTCATTCGCCCCGAGCATGTTGCTCACCTTAAGGTGGGTTTGGTACTCGCATGTGATTCACGTGGTTGTTGCTGCTGCTCCACCTGTGTGCTGCGAGACCTGCTGCTGCTGCTATTCACCAAGCGCCGGGTCATTCGCCCCGAGCATGTGGCGCACCTCAAGGTGGGTTCGGTACACGCGCATGTGATCCAGGTGGTTACTGCTGCTGCCTGATCCACCTGTGTGCTGCGGGATCTGCTGCTGCTGCTGCTGCTGCTGCTGCGCGTCGTGACTGTTTTGAGGCATTAAGTCTTGCCTCAAAACCCACACTGTGGGGTATTGCGTGGGGAAAGGGATGTGGTTAAAGGGGAGAAACAGCTAGCAATCAGTACATGTCTTGCCTCGTCAGTCTATCTCACTCACCTGCCTCAACCCACTTGCACCTTTGTCTTCCCACCAGGTACCAAAGGAGCTATTGAGGGAGCTATTACGGTCCATAGGCATCCCCAGGGGGATACTGCCATTTGCTCCATACCTTTCCTTGTCATTCTACACACCTCCACACACCACTACACACCTCTACTCGTCCTTTAATGACCCTTACACATCCCTCACCAGGTACCAAAGGAGCTACTGAGAGAGTTACTCCTGTCCATAGGCATTCCCAGGGGGCCATAGCCATTCAGTCTATGCATTGCCCTGTCACTCTACCAACCTCTACCCACCTCTAACCTTTTCTCACCAGGTACCAAAGGAGCTACTGAGAGAGTTACTCCTGTCCATAGGAATTGCCAGAGGGCCCAACACAGGCTGGGAGTTTGCCGAACCAACAGACCAGGCCTTCCTCGACTCCCACCCTGCCATAGCTAAGGAGCAGCTTCGGCGCTGGATGGCTGCCGAGCCTGCGATCCTCCGAGCCTCTCGCGCCCTCTCCCTGACCTCTATGGCTGACGTGGCAGCAGCTTCGGCAGCCGCTGCTGCGGCCAAGGCTGCTGCTGCTGGGGGAGGGGGGGGTAGGGGCGGGGGAGGCAGGGCCGGGCCTGGGGGAGGCTTGGGAGCGCCCAAGGCTGGTTTGGCAGGGCGTGGGGCAGGGTTGGCAGGACGAGGGGCCGGATTGGCGGGGCGTGGAGCAGGTTTGGGAAGAGGTTCGGGCGGTCCAAGCCTGCAGGCTGGTGCTGTGGCAAGGACAGCAGGGGCAGCAGCGTCTGCAGTAGTAGCTGCAGCAGCAGAGGGAGGGGGAGGAGGGGCAGCAGGAGGCACAGTAGGGGCGGTGGGGCAGAGCTTGAGTGCTGAAACACGGGAAGCACTTCCTGCTGCTCTGAGGAAGATATTCGCCCAACACCACGTGTGCAGGTAGGAACAGCCACGTGTGCAGGTAGGAACAGCCACGTGTGCAGGTAGGAACAGCCACGTGTGCAGGTAGGTGTGATGTGACCCCCTTGGTATGGCTTGCATGGCTGGGATGGCTCTTGACTCGCTCCTTTTGGTAAAGACATCCTCACACACATCCTCACACACATCCTCACACACATCCTCACACACATCCTCACACACATCCTCACACACATCCTCACACACATCCTCACACACATCCTCACACACATCCTCACACACATCCTCACACATCCTCACACACATCCTCTCCTCACTAATATGGTCTCTCACAAGTCGCCTCCATCCTTTCCCACCCATCCCCACCATTTCCAGTCTGCCCTTTTTGTGCCAGCAGCTGCAGCGAGCAGCGGAGGAGCAGCAGAGGGCGGCAGGGGCGTCACCTCAGGCTGTAGCGGCGGCTGTAGCGGCAGCCAAGGCTGCAAAAGCTCCCGCCAATGAGCTCGCGGCAGCTGTCTCAGAGGTGCTTTCTGGGTTCTTTGTTGCATTCACGCTGTGGCTTGCTTGTTTATGTTTGTGCACTTGTGAACATTCCATTGCATACTCATTCGTGACTCCACGTTGTCTCACATCTGTCACACACATGTCACTCACTGTCACCCAATTGTCACACATCGTGATGCATTCTTCACACATTCTCACACATTCTCACACATTGACACACATTGACACACCTTTGTCACTGAATGACACATGTTGGCACACACTTGTCCCTCGCTGACACACATTTTTTCACATTGTCATTGTTGTTACATGGGCGTCCTCTCGTCTATACTCTTTCACCTGATCTCCTGCCTTCCACCCCGCCTGCTCTCCTGCCTGCCTGCTATCATAACTGCCCAACTCAACCCAATAACATGCCTGCCTGCCTGCCTGCCTGTCTTGTCCCGTGCAGGTAGCCACGAGCATCAACGGCATCTACTTCCTCCCAACACTCAACGATCCAGCAGTCGATCCTTTCAGGTGCTCACTTTGATATGCCTTGTCAACCTCCCTTCAGTCTTTCGTTCATACAAGGAAGCCTTCTAAAACAGGGCTTATCCTCAGAACCTTCCCATCTGTCAAGGGTGCATCAAGAACCATAACCCCTCATCAAATTCCTTCAAGGGTGCCACGCACATATGCTCTATCATACACTCATACCACAAGGTGTGCAAAGCATGCCTACTCTCATACTCCCTCCCTCTCGCCATCCCAATGCTTGCCACAGGGAGGTGGTGATTGCGCTGCTGAGAGCCAAGGGCGCAGGGGGGGTGGGGCTGAAGCGAACAGAGATAGTTGAGGCCACACGCATTGCACTTAAAGTTCAAGTGCCCGCCGCAACGTACCAACGGGTGAGCCTGCCTTGCCTTCCTCCCTGATGCAAAGCAACGCGCCTGCTTGCATCTCTCCTTATTCTTCTCCGCTGTTTCCTTTTAAGCTCAATGCCCCTATTCTTGTTCGTTTCGACCTTTTTACGAGCAGGTTCTGAAGGAGTTGTGTGTCACTAATGGTGCTGCATGGGTGTTGAAGCCAGGGGATGGCAGCACAGTGTAGGCTCCACCTCTTGCTGCACTGGTGCCTTTGGTGAAGCACATGCAGTGCTGAAGGTGCATGCAGTGCTGAAGTTTTTTTTGCAACAATGTGCAAGCTGTGCAAGTGCAGGCATGTGTGTGTAAAACACAAATGAAGAGCTCTCAGTTTCAGCCATTTGTACTCATCAGAAACGCAGTGCATTCCGAGATAAAGAATCTGCTTACACAAATGAAGCAGTGAAAAAAATGTAACTGGTTGTTTGTCTTTGATAACCTGTATTGCATTGCATGACTTGTTCCAGACACAGCCATACGGTACTTGTAAGCAATAAATAAGTACATATACACATTGCTAGACATGGTTAGCACTACAGGGATCAAACAAGACCTACACGAATAAGCAAATATTTTACAAGACTACACATAGTCAATGCTGCCAGCCACACCAGAAGCATTCAGTTGCACCAGATACTTTGACCACTCCTATTGTCACATCTCGGTCTTCAAGGCCGCCAGGGAGGCCTCACTGCAGCCACCCTTGTCACCCTCACATTGCCTTTCTTCCCCTCAGATTTCACACTGTCAACTCTCACCTCCCGCCTCCTAGTTTGTACTTTGCCTTCCTTACCATTTTCAGAACACACGGATGTATCCAGAAGCTTCCTCTCCTCCACAGCAACGGTCACAGCAGGAGCTCGTGCGCTCCCAGGCTTGGGAATGCGCGAACACACAGATCCAAGCAGAACCTTCCTCTCATCCGCAGGAACGGTCTTCAAAGCAGGAGCACGTGTGCTGCCAGGCTTGGGAATGCGCGTAGGCAGCAGCTTCAAGCTAGCCAATGTCATTCTCGAGACTGGGCGCTTGCTTGAAGCCAGCTCTGTAGGCGCTGCTGACTTCAAGACTTGGTTGGATTCCCGCTTCAAGTCACCCTTGTTCCCCTTCTTGAGCTTGCTGTGACCAGCAGTGACAGCCTCTCTGGTCACTGCTGCCCAAGGCACAGCAAAACAGAAGCTTTTGCTGTAGTCCACGTAATCTCCACTGCTGTAAAGACGTGTCACGTTACCGAAGCTGCGGCTAGATCTGGTGAGAAGCGTCTTGCAGCTGCTGTCCACCATGCTAATCATGCTGGCGACGATGCTGCAAACACTCACCCCATCACACTCCATCCGCAAGTCCTTGTCAGACAGTTCAACTGGAGACTCAATGGACGCCTCTGCCGGCACAGGGAAGCCATCCGCAGCTCCAGAAAACTCCTCTGAAGTTTCAGAGGAGTACCCTGCAGCCTCGTACGATATTTCTTCAGCCTCAAAGGAACCCACTGTAGCCTCGGAAGACTCCTCTGCAGCCTCAGAGGAGTCCCATGACGCCTCAATCCGCGGGTCCTCCTCCTCTGCAGCCGAACAGGAAGGTGATAAAGCTGGGACTTGAACCTGCAACTGCACGGGAGCAGTCCGGTTCTTCCAGAGACGAAGGGCTTCAGAGAAACAAGGATAATCAGCTTGGGCCATGAGAATCTAGTGGTACTAGAGTCAGATAAGTGGAGAATGCCTCGAGAACAAAGCTTCGACGGTAGAAAACTTGGAACTCAGTAGCAAGTGTGAAGCTTGGTAGGAAGATTGCTATCAAGACTCTTAGAGAAAACTTGGAAGTAAGACTCTGAGAATGATCAAGCTGAGGGAATGATGATACTTTGTAACTGAGGTGAGGAGGCACGAGGCAGAGGAGAGGAGGGAGGAGGGTTGCGGGGAGCAGCAGCAGAGGGGTGGAACAGGCTTGGAGAACTCCTGCTGCCCTTTCAGTGTCCGGGATCTTCTGAGCTCTCTGCTTCGGCAAGCTGCCCGGCTTGAAATTTCTTTAAGGGCAAACATATTACATGATTCTGCTGGCTGCTCGATTCTCACGGGCAAGGCTGCGGCGCGAGACATTTTGGTTCCGCTGCCCTTCAAGAGATGATTGTTTCAGGCTCGGACGAGTTCGCGAGCTTCGCTGCGACGAAAGTAGAGGCTCGTTTGCGAAATGATCGACACTGCGCGCTTCCGGAGTTCACTTCGAGGGGTAAAATATTATATTGGGCAGAATGTAGATCCCCAGTTTCAGGTCGATAACAACTACAGAAGCGCCACTGCCTGGCAGGCTAGCGACAGCGGAATTCACGCGCGGCGAATGGTTAACTCTCGCCTGCCCGTTCGAAAACAAAACAATAGAAGTTCTCTAGGTTCCGACGATTTCGTGGAATGGGAGCAGCCAAAGGCTCGGTGAAAATCCAACGGTGGTCCCTGACTGGAGATTATCGAGGAGGCATAGCGACGTTCATCTCAGAAAAAAGCTCTTGGAAGTGAGATCTGCGCTGACTCGAAGGTTTGAATTTGAACTCGGTACAGAGGTTCTCGTGAGTTCTGACTATTATTTTATAGAGGGAAGTACATTAGTACAATGTAAACATCCACAGTGTAAGTGTCACTTCTATTCACGCAGTTCCAGTTTGTGGCGCAAAGGCTCTGAGACCTTTCCTTTTTTTTTTTTTTGGGTTGCGAAGCAACCTATTGCAATCGACATGAAGCAAATTTTTTTTTTCACTATTTTTTAAATATCCGCCAAAAAATGTAAAATAACTAGAGATATGTTTGCTTAGGGTACTGATAAACTTAATAATCTTACCTTGTAAATGTCATACATGTTTTGCTTCATAATAATTTGTTCGTCATTGCTAGTTTTTTTGTAACGCGCATAATTATGAAATTTGAGAATCTGTGGAGAAATGCAATGACCGACCAAACGATAATTGCATTTCTCATATTCATCAAACAAATTGATGAATATTTCAAGTCCTAAATTTATACTACCGCTTCCCCCGCCTAGCATGTCGGGGAAGTCAGCAGTATAAACGTTGAATTAAACAGCTACCATAACAAAGCAATACAATCTGCATATCCCAAAAAAAATATCTAAACCGATCAAGTCCAGCTGAAAATGGCTTCACTGTCATAGTGGTGGACCACTCAACCTTTTGTGACGATGATCAGCAAGATATATTTTTGAGACATGCAGACATGCATTACGGTTGCAACAAGAAGAAGCATAATACAAACAGAAATGAAACAAATCAAACATTTACTCATAATTTAAGGAACTAAAAAAAATGCACTGTAAGTGGTACGACACTTCCTTCCTTCAAATCCATCCTGCCTAAAAGCAAGTATCTGCGATAACAAAACAGAAGAAGCATCGAATGCAAGAAAGATGGGATATTAAGAATTGAAGTTAAAAAGAGAATGAAGAGAACGGGTGTAACGAGAGAGAACGAGAGAGAGAGAACGAGAGAGAGAGAGAGAGAACGAGAGAGAGAACGAGAGAGAGAGAGAGAGAGAGAGAGAGAGAGAGAGAGAGAGAGAGAGAACGAGAGGGAGAGAACGAGAGAGAGATAACTAACGAGAGAGAGAGAGAGAACGAACGAGAGAGAGAGAACGTGAGAGAGAAAGCGAGAGAGAGAACGAAAACGAGAGAGAGAGAGAGAGAGAGAGAGAGAGAGAGAGAGAACGAGAGAGAGAGAGAGAGAGAGAGAGAGAGAGAGAGAGAGAACGAGAGAGAGAGAGAGAGAGAGAGAGAACGAGAGAGAGAGAGAGAGAGAGAGAGAGAACAAGAGAGAGAACGAGAGAGAGAGAACGTGAGAGAGAACGAGAGAGAGAGAGAACGAGAGGGAGAGAGAACGAGAGAGAGAGAGAGAACGAGAGAGAGAGAACGAGAGAGAGAGAACGAGAGAGAGAGAACGAGAGAGAGAGAACGAGAGAGAGAACGAGAGAGAGAGAGAGAGAGAGAGAGAGAGAGAGAACGAGAGAAAGAGAACGAGAGAGAGAGAACGAGAGAGAGAGAACGCGAGAGAGAGAACGAGAGAGAGAGAACGAGAGAGAGAGAACGAGAGAGAGAGAGAACGAGAGAACGAGGGAGAACGAGAGAACGAGAGAGAGAGAGAGAGAGAGAGAGAGAGAGAGAGAGAGAGAGAGAGAGAGAGAGAGAGAGAGAGAGAGAGAGAGAGAGAGAACAAGAGAGAGAGATCGAACAAGAGAGAGAGATCGAGAAAGAAAACGAGAGAGAACGAGAGAGAGAACGAGAGAGAGAGAACGATAGAGAGAGAACGGGAGAGAAAGAACGGGAGAGAGAGAACGAGCGAGAGAGAACGGGAGAGAGAGAACGGGAGAGAGAGAACGGGAGAGAGAGAACGGGAGAGAGAGAACGAGCGAGAGAGAACGGGAGAGAGAGAACGGGAGAGAGAGAACGAGCGAGAGAGAACGGGAGAGAGAGAACGGGAGAGAGAGAACGGGAGAGAGAGAACGAGCGAGAGAGAACGAAATGGACTGAACGTGCAACCTATTACAATCTTTATGTACAACCTAAGACGAGGTTGAGAGAAAAATGAACTAAAACATGCAAATATGAAGAAAAGGCAACCGATGAAAGGAAAAGTGAAGGATGAAGAATAGAAGAAACAGATGCAAGCTTATGCAGGAAGAAACGAAATCTAAAAAAAAAAAAAACAAGGAGAACCTGAAATCTTTACAAAGGGCCTAGAACCTACGTTTAAACAACTAAGTCTAGCTAATACTCATCCATTTACACAGTAAGGATACGGATTGACTAAATGTTACTCTATCTAATAGGCATCTAACTTAGTTGGAGCTAGAGCTGAGGGATCTTCTTACCTAAGTTGCAGTTAGAGTAGGTGGAGAACCTGGTAGAGCGTGACCAGCGAGAAGGAGAAGCGGGAGAAAAAAGGGACGAACAAACCCTAAGGTAGTCTCAGATTCGTCGCAAAGATAAGAGTCCTTTAATTTTAGTCGTTTAACATTGTCATCAGCGCTGTCGTAGTCGTATAAGGTAGAACGTGAAATCGAAAATTCTCCAGTTCGAATCCTGCTGGTGTGATTCTTTTAATCTTTGCGTAGCGAGAGGAAGAGTACCACTTAGTGTCATACTACAGCATAATGTACAGAATTAGAAGTTGTACAAATTTATGTAATTACGCAAAACGCTTCGCAACCCTAAGACGATTTCGTCGCCTCTTGTTTTTTTTTTTTTTTTTGGGATGCGATACACTATACAATGCATACATCCACAGTCGTAACTGTAAAAATGGGAAGGTCTGAGACCTTTCCACTCAGTGCGTTTTTCCCGGGCTCTTACATAAGGGTGTGGGAAACCACTGCCAAGTCACCAGACAGAACCCAGTAGTAGATCTCAACTTTCACCTAAGTTTTCACGACTATCACGTCGATACCATAGGACATTCCAAACGTAACTTCAAGTTCAGCTCATAACTCTCCGCAAAACTCAAGAGGTCCGACTTAGCGGGTAGACTGACATATTATCCCCTCCTCCTAGAGTGGTTGTGGGACTTGAATTTCGTCTTGCGTTACTCACGGCCAGTTTCGTTAGCTCACTAAGCGAAGATTAACTTAGCTCATTCGACGGCGCATTTTGCGCCATACTACTGACTCGAGCAGCGCAGGCATTCGTGTTAGGAATCTCTTTTCCTTGTACTCCGCAGCACTCTTTCCGTCGCTATGGCGCATAATCCGAGCCATCTCATGCCCACAGGTGCGTCACTAGCAACGATTACGAACAGCCGTGCTTATACGTATTACAATTGCGTTCGCTTCTCGCTCCTCGTATAATTATCTCGCGAATGCTTCCGCTCATCAATCCATCCAAGTTTACTCAGTTATCAAGTGTTTCCACGTGGTAGAGGTAATTAACACGTGCGGTTGGTCTGGGAGATGGGTGACAATGAATATATTATTCATACACGTTGCCTTACTCCCTGTGATGCGTGCACGCGGCAGAGCTGATCGACCGGTGCATAGGGTCGAAGATCTGGGTGATCATGAAGGGCGATAAGGAGCTCGTGGGCACGCTGAGGGGCTTCGACGTGTTTGTCAACATGGTGCTGGAAGACGTCACTGAGTAGTGAGTGCTTTGTTTCTCCCTTCTTCCTTTCCAAATTACAAATGAAAACAGGTGGTCCTGGGAAACGTGACTGAGTAGTGAGTTGTGTTTGCCGAATTGTCAATGAGTGTCAGTGAGTTCAGTGTGCGAGATGTGATAACCTGAGTGCGTGATGCTTGAGAATGTGACTGAGTTGTGAGTTTGAACTGCCAGCCATGCACGTTTGCAAGAATATATGCCTCCAACAGCCAACATGGCTCTCAATGAAGGTTGTGACTAATCAGCAAGTTCAATCTGCAGACCATATTTGCAACAGTTGACACTCCACGAGTCCATATCGTGCAACGTTTACCAAGCCCTCAAAACACTGTGCCACACATCTTATCCCTACTGATGTCATGCTTTCAGGCTTATCCCTACTGATGTCATGCTTTCAGGCTTATCCCTTCTAATCGCATGCTGCCATGCTTATCCCTACTGATGTCATGCTTTCAGGCTTATCCCTTCTGATCGCATGCTGTCATGCTTATCCCTACTGATGTCATGCTTTCAGGCTTATCCCTTCTGATCGCATGCTATCATGCTTATCCCTACTGATGTCATGCTTTCAGGCTTATCCCTACTGATCGCATGCTGTCATGCTTATCCCTACTGATGTCATGCTGTCATGCTTATCCCTACTGATGTCATGCTTACATGCTTATCCCTTCTGATCGCATGCTGTCATGCTTATCCCTACTGATGTCATGCTTTCAGGCTTATCCCTACTGATCGCATGCTGCCATGCTTATCCCTACTGATGTCATGCTGTCATGCTTATCCCTACTGATGTCATGCTTACATGCTTATCCCTACGGATGTCATGCTTACAGGCTTATCCCTTCTGATCGCATGCTGTCATGCTTATCCCTACTGATGTCATGCTTACATGGCAGCGAGCACACTCCAGAGGGCAGCAGAGTAACCAAGCTGGACCAAATACTGCTCAACGGAAACAACATCGCCATTGTGAGACGCAATGTCTCTCGATTCCTTCGCGTGATTCCTTTGCTTGCTGCTTCTGTTTGCTTCACTGCTTTACATGTTCTTCAGCAACCCCACATAGACTCCTTGCACCCAGCCCGGACTCCCCCCACCCCCAACCCCCCCCACCCCCCTCCTCCTCCCTTCTTCCCATCTTCCCCCCTCTTGCTTCCCCCAGTTTCTTTTCTCCCTTCACACTCACAATCAAAGCATGTGAACGTACAGGGTCAAATCCCCATGTGCTTCTTCACCCACCTAAGAGCCCAAATTCACATGAATGTCGTAGGTGCAAAAGGCAGCACACACATTTTGTATTAGCAGTTTCATTACGGAAACTCATGAAACTCGCACGTCTTGTTTTTGCACATAAAAACCAAACACTCACTTGTAAGCACCTGAAAACTGCATTCCTGTTCTCCTCACGTTTCTCTCTCTCTCCATTTCTTTGCATCCTTACTCTGTTTCCCTCTGGCAGCTGGTCCCTGGTGGAAGTCCAGAAGGGTCGTAAATGTCCAATGATTTGTGGCTCATTCGTTCGAGGCGACTCAAAAGCCGACTTTTGAGGCACTTCAAAAGACGACTTATAAGGCGCCTCAAAAGCACTCTGGAAGATGGTCCCTGGTGGAAGTCCAGAAGGGTCCTAAAAGTCCAGTGATTTGTGGCTTATCCTTTCCTACTGAAGCAAGCTTTGTTCCAGCAGGCTTCGGTGCGGCTGTGGAGCCTCCAAAGCTGGCTGTCTGCATTAGGTCCGTGGGAGGCTTACCGCAGGGAGGACACATACTGGTATGTCAAATGTTGAACATTGATATGATAGGCTGTAGTGAGTTGCACTCTAGGGGGTACAGTTTCTAGGGTTGCTTATTTGTACCCCATTCGTTTCTATTCCAACCATTCCGTTGCATTCCTATTCTGAGATGGTATCATGAGTAGGTTAGATCCTCGTTCGTTTTTAGCTAGCCTCCGCGCCCTACGCGCCCTCCGTGCTCTCGCGCCCTCCGCGCCCTCCGCGCCCTCCGCGCCCTCCGCGCCCTCCGCGCCCTCCTCGCGCCTAGCCCGCGCCCTCCCGCGCTGTCCAGCCTGTCGCGCGCCCTCCTTAGACCTCCGCGCGCCCTCCCCCACCGTTGCGCGCCCTCCAAAACCGTCGTGCGCCCTCCTTAGACCGTCGCGCGCCCTCCTCAACCGTCGCGCGCCCTCCTCTACCGTCGCGCGCCCTCCTTAGACCGTCGCGTGCCCTCCCTCCGCCTGTCGCGCGCCCTCCTCCGTCAACGCTTCCCGCACACCAGCGTGCGCTTACCGCACACCTGCGTGCACTTACCGCACACCTGCGTGCGCTTACCGCACACCTACGTGCACTTACCGCATCACTCTGTGTGCGCTTCCCGCACACCTGCGTGCGCTTCCCGCACACATGCGAACACTTACCGCACACCTGCGTGCGCTTACCACACACCTGCGTACACTTACCGCATCACTCTGTGCGCTTACTGCATCTCTCTTCCCTTCACCTGTGCACCGGTCCCACGCCATTCATACTGCACTTGGCTCCCGGCTCAGCGGCTGGCAGCCGCTCTTCCCTCCGGTAGCGCCACCTAGGTTCGGTTAGAGCCCCGCCCCACGACTATTTTCTCGCCGACTGTCTCTCGTCGGTTTCCCCGCTGGCGTCCCTAGCCCTCCGTAGTTTTCCTCCTCGTTCTTAGCTCCGCCTCCGCCGTGCTCCAGTCGCCTCTAGCATGGGCTCCGCTATGGAGGCCCGTCGCCTCCGTTTCGATGCTGAGGGACGCCCGATCGAGTTCGGTACCTGGCAGCGCCAGACCACACGTTTCCTCACCAGCCAGCGTCAGGACGGCGCCACTCTGTGGGCTCACGCGTCTGGTGCCCTACAGGCCCCCCCGTCCCCCGCCGCCCTGCCGACCGCCCCGGAGCCGACCCCTACGGCCCAGGCGGACTACGACCGTCGGGTCCTGGCCAGGGACGTGTGGCTCTCGCGTGACGCAGTCGCCGCTCTCACTCTGTCGGAGCTTCTCCCCCCGACTGAGGCCGCCCACTTTGGCCAGTTGGAGACTGCACAGGGGGTTTGGGAGGCTATTGTTGCTCGCTACTCCACCCCCTCCTCTGCCTCCCTCAGTCGCCTCCTCATGCCGTTTGTGTTTCCCGACCTAGGCTCGTTTGCGACTGTTTCCGACCTAGTGACTCACCTCCGCTCGCTTGACGCCGGTTTCAGCGCTGCCTGTACCGACACACAGCTTATTGTTGCTCCCCCCCCCATGTGGCTCACTGTTCACTGGTTAGTCACCCGCCTCCCTGACCGCCTTGCCACTGCCCGCGACGCGCTTCTTCAGAAGCACCCCACTGAGCTCACTATCGACCTCCTAGCGACTGCTCTAGGGACCATCGAGAGCAGTCTCCTCACCGTTGCCTCCGCCACTGATGCGGTGGCCCCCCGTCTCTTTGCGGGGTGTGCCGCCCCTCAGCTTCCCACTTTCACCGCTACCCGCGCTTCTGCTGCTGTGTCGGCCTCTGAGGACACTGCTGCCGTTTCTGCCGCAGACTGGCAGAAACGGGGCAAGAGTGGCAAGAAGGGCGGGAAGGGGGGAGGTGGGGGCGGTGGAGGCGGCGGTGGAGGTGGCGGTGGAGGTGGGAGCGGCGGTGGTGGCGGAGGCGGCGGCGGCGGCGGCGGTGGTGCACCAGGGGGAGGGGGCCTTGGAGGAGGTGCAGGACAGACAGGCCCACCCACAGGTGGTGGCCCGACCGGTGGGGGCGTTGCCCCCCAGCAGCAGCAGCCACAGCAGGGACAGCAGCAGCAGCAGCAGGCACCGCAGCAGTTCCAGCAGTGGGGGCCCCCGCTGCAGTGGGGTCCGCAGCAGCACTGGGGTCCCCCGCCGCAGTGGGGTCCGGGAGGCCCTGGGAGCACCGGCCGCAGCAGCAGCTCTTCCAGCTGGGCCCCTCGCCCCCCTCGCCGTGACGCTGGCCCCTGCACCCACTGGTGCGTCACCGGGCCGGGCAGCCCCCGTCTCTGTGGTCGCGACGACCACTCTGCCGCGCGGTGCTTCCGCCGCCTCGACGACCTCTACCGGGCTCGTTGGGGCCCTCTGGCGGTCACGCCTCGCTGGTCTCGTCTGTTAACCCGTAAGATTGATGTCTTTGATCTGTCCATGGACGATGCGCGTCAGCATGCTTTGTATGTTGATGCTGACTTTAGTGCTGATGGATCTGTGTGCTCGCGTGTTCGTAGGTTAGCCTACTTGCCTCCTGCTAGTGTAGCCGTGTGCCTGTCTAGCTTAGGTGCTTGTGTTGCTGCTCTAGGTGCTTGTGTAGCGACTGGGTCTGGTGACCCTCCGGCTGAGGCCTCTCTGTCGTTCACGCTGGACTCGGGCGCGTCTCAGTGTTTCTTCCGCGACCACACGACCCTTACGCCACTCCTCACACCTGTGTCGGTGGCTCTGGCTGATCCTACCTCTGGACCAGCCATTGCGCGTAGCTCCACCACCCTCCCGTGCCCTGTGGTCCCCTCTGGTGTCCTGCGCGGCCTCCACATCCCCTCGTTCACTCGGAACTTGGTGGGTGTTGGATACCTCCAGGACAGGGGGATCACGGTTACCTTCGTGGGGGGTGGGGGGACTGCAGTCTGTACAGACGCTACCACAGGTGCTGTTCTGGCCACGTTCATCAGGGAGCCCCGCTCCGGTCTCTACGTCCTCCACACCGAGCGCTCCCCGGTCGTGTCCTCCCCTCAGGTCGTTGCGTCCCCTCCGGCCCAGGTCCCCAGTCCGGTTGCTGTGTCTAGCCAGGTAGTAGTGTCCGGTCCGGTCGCTGTGTCCAGTCCAGTCGCTGCGTCTTGCTCCTGTCGCTCTCTCACCCACCGCACCGTCCTGTGGCACCACCGCCTTGGCCACCCGTCGCTCCCTCGCCTACGTGGCATGCTCAGTCAGGGACTTGTCTCAGGTCTCCCACGCACCTTCCCGTCGCTCCCTCTCTCGCCTGCCCCTCCTTGCTCTCCGTGCGTCGCCGGTCGCTTACGCGCCACTCCCCACTCCTCCTCCCTTCGTCCGGCCACCGCTCCCTTCGAGACTCTCCACTTGGACGTCTGGGGCCCTGCCCCGACGCAGGGGTCTGGGAGGGAGCGTTACTTTCTGGTGGTCGTCGACGACTTCTCCAGGTACACCACAGTGTTCCCTCTTGCGAAGAAGTCCGAGGTGACTGCTACGCTGATCAGGTGGCTTCTAGCCACTGAGAGCACTCGTGGTCGTCGAGTCAGTTGTCTCCACTCCGACCGTGGGGGCGAGTTTCGCTCCGGCATTCTCGGCGGATTCTGCGGCGAACAGGGCATCACCCAGTCCTGGACGCTGCCAGAGTCCCCACAGCAGAATGGGGTTGCTGAGCGCCGCATAGGCTTGGTCATGGACATCGCCCGCACGTCCATGATCCATGCCCGTGCGCCCCATTTTCTGTGGCCCCACGCGGTTCGCTACGCCGCACACCAGCTGAACCTCCAGCCGCGTGTCTCGCGGCCCGAGGTTTCACCGACCAGTCTTTGGACCGGTTCCCCTGGTGTCGGGTCGGCCTTTCGAGTCTGGGGCTGCCTTGCACTTGTTCGCGACACCTCCGCGGACAAGCTCTCGGCACGCGCCGTCCCCTGTGTCTTCCTTGGTTTCCCAGTGGACTCTGCCGACTGGTCCTTTTACCACCCTCCCCTCCACCAGTTCCTCGACTCCCGTGACGTCCGGTTTGACGAGTCAGTGTCCTACTACACCCGGTACCCCTGTCGAGGTCTCCCGGTACCCCCTCCCCCTCTTTTCCTCGCACCCTCTCCTCCTCCTGCTCCCGCTCCTCCGGTACCCCCGCCCCCCCCTGGTCCTGCCCCGTCTGGTGTGTCCCACGTTACCCCTCTACCCTCGGTCGCGCGTCAGGTAGCGTCTCCCTCCCCGCAGTCCTCCTCACAGTCCCCTCAGCAGCCTTCGGCACTTCCGCGACAGGTTACTGTGGACTCGGTTGGTGTTGGAGCTGGAGGTGCAGCCACTGGCGGTGCTCGGTCTGGGGGTACTCGGTCGCGGGGTGCTGTAGCTGGAGGTGCTGGCGCAGGTGGCGCTAGCTCTGGGGGTGCTGGAGCTGGAGGTGCTGGCACTGGTGGTGCTAGTTCTGGGGGTGCAGGAGCTGGAGGTGCTGGCACTGGCGGTGCTAGTTCTGGGGGTGCTGGAGTTGGAGGTCCGGGCACTGGAGGTGCTGGTTCTGGGGGTGCTGAGTCTGAGGAGTCTGACCCTGGTTCTGCGGAGTCCACTCCGCCTCCCCACCGCCACGACACACGACTCCAGGCTGCCCGCCGGCGTGAGCGTGAGGAGCAGGAGCGGTTGGAGAAGGAGCGGCAGGAGCTGCGGGTGCTGGACCTTCTGGAGCAGCAGCAGCAGCAGCAGCAGCAGCAGCAGCCGCAGCAGCAGCCGCAGCAGCAGCCGTAGCAGCAGCAGCCGCAGCCGCAGCCCCCGCCGCAGCAGCAGCCGCCGCAGCCGCCACCGCAGCTTCCTCTGGAGCGGCGGTTGTTCCCACCTGTGAGTGGCCTGCGGGCCCTTGGTTTTTCCTCCTCTCCTCCTGTCCGCTCCCAGTCTCCTCCTGTGTTTGTTCCTCCGTTGCCTCCTCCTGACGACCGTCCGGCGGTCTGGTCTTCTCCTCCTCCCCAGTCTCCTCCTCCTTCGGTCCGTCGCGACTTGGTCACTCGTTGTCCTCCGCGTGCTCGTCACTCGTCCCCTGTTACTGACCTCCACACTGCCCTCCTTTGTACGTCTCGTCGTCGTTCTCCTTCTCCTGTGTCCGTTCTCCCGTCTCCTCCTCCGTCCTCTCTCCCAGCCCTCCCCACTCCTATCACTGACTACTACCGCACTGTTCGTCCTGTTGCCGCACGTGTCCTCGCCACTCTTGTCACCGACTCTCGTTTCCCTCCGTCGTCTGCCTCCGCTCTTACTGCCGCTGTCGCTGAGTTTGCTGCCGCCAGCCGCCTTGACTACGCCACCCGCGTGGTGCCAGCTCCTCCCTACCGTCCTCTGTCCGTCGAGGGTGGGTTTGCCCTTGGCTGTGACGTCCTAGAGGACAGAGAGTCTGAGCTGGAGTACTGGGCAGCCGCTTCTCCCTCTGTGTGTGCCATGCTGCTCTCCCCTGAGGGAGACCCCGACGCCCTTGACATACCGACTCCTCGCACTTACCGCGAGGCAGTGTCAGGGGCGTGGGCCTCTCAGTGGAAAGCGGCTATGGACTCAGAGTTGGCGTCTTGGAGATCCACAGGCACCTACGTCGACGCAGTTCCCCCTCCCAGGGCGAACGTAGTCGATGGCATGTGGCTCTTCAAGGTGAAGTGGCCGCCTGGAGCACCGCCGGTGTTCAAGGCGCGCTACGTGGCTAGGGGCTTCAGTCAGCGTGAGGGAGTTGACTTCTTCTAGACCTTCGCCCCGACCCCGAAGATGACTATTCTTCGGGTGTTACTCCACATAGCAGCGCAGCGAGACTACGAGCTGCACTTCCTCGACTTCTCCACTGCGTTCCTCCAGGGCCGACTGCACGAGGAGATCTGGCTGCGCCGTCCTCCTGGCTTCACTGACACCTTCCCACCTGGGACCCAGTGGAGCCTGAGGCGACCAGTCTACGGTCTCCGCCAGTCGCCCCGTGAGTGGCACGACACTCTTCGCTCCACGCTTCGTGACCTTGGGTTCAGCCCGTCCTCCGCCGACCCGTCGCTGTTTGTTCGAGTGGGTTCTACTCCTTTCTTTATCCTTGTCTACGTCGACGACTTGGTGTTTGCTACAGCAGACAGGGCAGCCCTGGCTCAGGTGAAGTCCGAACTGCAGAAGAGACACAAGTGCACTGACCTGGGTGAGCTGCGGCGTTACCTTGGCTTGCAGATCACCCGGGACAGAGCCGCTCGCACCATCACACTGACGCAGTCACACATGGTGCAGCAGGTCCTTCGGCGGTTCGACTTCCAGTTCTCCACCACTCAGCCCACTCCTCTTGCTGTTGACCACAGACTCACGGGCCCCTTTCCTGACGAGCCCTTTGAGTCCAGTGGACCCTACGCAGAGCTGGTGGGCTGCCTCATGTACCTGATGACTTGTACTCGACCGGACCTCGCCTTTCCCCTCAGCATCCTTTCTCGTTTTGTTGCGACTGGGAGACACCGCCCTGTCCACTGGACAGCTGCTGTGAGGGTGGCGAAGTACCTGGCGACTACATCAGGCATGGGGCTTGTGCTTGGAGGGACTCGGCCAGTGACGTTGACTGGTCACTGCGACTCTTCCTACGCTGACGACGTGGAGACTCAGCGCTCGACTCAGGGTTACTACTTCAGTCTGGGAGCTGGTGCTGTGTCGTGGAGGTCTACACGGTCGTCGTCTGTGGCTACTTCCAGTGCAGAGGCAGAGATCTATGCTGGTGCCATGGCGGCACAGGAGCTTCGCTGGTTGACCTTCTTGCTCACCGACCTTGGTGAGCGGCCTCGCTCTGCACCGACCTTGTACGCTGACAACAAGGCCATGATCCTCCTCTGTCGAGAGCCTCGACTGGAGAGCAGAGTGAAGCATATTGACGTGAGGTACTTCCTTCTGCGAGAGCTGCAGCGACGCGGCCAGGCACGCCTGGACTTTGTGGCCTCAGAGGCCAACACTGCAGACGTCTTCACCAAGGCCTTGGCGCTTGGTGACCACCACAGGTTCTGTGTGCAGTTGGGGCTAGTTGAGGTAGGCCCTCGGTTGCTGTAGTCCTGTTGCTTGCTCTGCTTGTTGTGCCTTGTATTTATATCCTAGTGAACTCTTGAACTGGCCTTGTGGCCGCTTGCTTGCGCTCGGAATTTGTGTGGTGTCCTTGAGATCCACCCTGAGCTTGTCTTGGTTCTTGCTTTGACTGGTCTTGTGACCGTTTGTTCACCTTGCTTGCTTTGATGCCCCTCACTTAGCCTATGGGGGTGTGTCAAATGTTGAACATTGATATGATAGGCTGTAGTGAGTTGCACTCTAGGGGGTACAGTTTCTAGGGTTGCTTATTTGTACCCGATTCGTTTCTATTCCAACCATTCCGTTGCATTCCTATTCTGAGATGGTACCTAGAAATAGAGGCACCCTGGGGAGGATATGCCTGGGTGAAAATTAGAGGGGTTCTTGAATAAATATTGTTTCGACATCTGCAATCGCCTCTGCTTGTTCCTTATGTGACAACAATAGGCAGGCTGGAACTACAGCTCCTCAGCCCAGGCCCTTCTGGGCAACTCAGGCTGGTGATCGAGCTGAGATAAAGCAGCAGCCCATCAGATCTCTTTATTGTATGCAGTTATTTACACTTCCACGTGTTGGACAATCGCGTGTGGAAACAATTCACCATCCTCCAAAATTGACGGCCATGAAGCCAGCCAGCAACCGGCCGTTGGAACGACTCGACCATGAGGCGACTCCAGTTGGATGACTCTTGAGACGTCTCGTCTCTCAAACCCTGTGGTGCGGTGAGACCCTGTGCTGCGGTGACACTACCACTCTCCAAAATTGACGGCCACGAATCCGGCAAGCAATCGACCATTGGTGGAGCGAAGCTCGTTCATGAGGCGGCTCCAGTTGGAGCCGAGGCTGCCGACGAAGTAGTCGCACTGTGCAGCGATCAGCACGCTTGCAAAGCTCACTGCTACTGATTGATCGCGCTCGTACTGCCGCAGCGACCCTGCTGCTGCCTGCTGCCGCGCATTGGATGAGTAGAAGAAACTCCAGGAGGGTTGATCCGCTGCTCGGTCCACGTTGGCCTGTGTGGTGTAGGGAGAAGAAGCATACCAGGAAAAAGGCAAAAAAAAAAAAAAAAAAAAAAAAAAAAAGGACCAGTCACTGGCACAGCGACCCCGCTGCTGCCTGCTGCTATGCATTGGACGAGTAGAAGAAACTCCATGAGGGTTGATCTGCTGCTCGGTCCACATAAGCCTGTGTGGTGTGAGGAGAAAAGGCGATGGCGGGGAGGAAACACACAGTCTGGCAGGATCAGTCACTGCTTCATCCCCCTTGCCATGCCCTGCTGCCGTGCATTGGACGAGTAGAAGAAAGTCCACGAGGGTTGATCTGCTGCTCGGTCCACATTGGCCTGTGTGGTGCAACGAGAAGAGGGAGATGGGGGGAAAGGAAGCACACAGTCTAACAGGACCAGCAGCAGAAAGAAAGACCAAACTGAAAATCAGGACGGAATGGGAAACAGGCACGAAGAGATTTGGCAAGCAAATCACCTGGGTCTCGGTGTTGAGCCAGACGTGGGAGAGGTCGAGCGCGTGGTGGCGGAGGCGGTTCATATGGAAGATGTGGGAGTCCAGAGAGGTCAGCCCCATCTCTGCAAACTTGTCCGTACCCCTTACATGCAGACTCACTATAGGCCGCGGCATGTACGGCTCCTGCACTCCCAGCAACCAGCTGGCACCCGAGCCGTTGACACCGCTCCCTGTGGCACTGCCTGTGGCGTCTTCTGCGTGGAAGGACAAAGCGGAACCTGCAAGAGCCGCCAATCTGTCGGCTGCTCTTCTTTTCCTTGCCTCCCAGTCACTTGCATTCTCTGGGGCGTTGAGAGCAGTAGGTCCAGCAGAAGCGGCACCGGCAGAAGCGGCCGCAGCGGTGGCGGAGGCAGCAGGGGCGGTGCTGCGAGAGAGGGAGGAGAGGCCTTCTGATTGGGTAAGAAGGAAGCGAGCAACGTGATTGGCTGCGAGTGTGCCGAAGGCGCGGTGCCTCTCCTGGTTGGTGACGTGGCAGAGATGGGCTGACGGCCACCGCATGATGAATCGCACCGCCTGCGCCCGCCACCAATGCACCTGGCGAGGGCAATGGGGGGCAAAGGGCGGCGAGACAATACGCGTTACCCAAGGAGCAATGCAACGCACCGCCTGCGCCCGCCACCAATGCACCTGGCGAGGGGGAGGGGCAATACAATAGGCTTCACTGAGGGAGCAATGAATCGCACCGCCTGCGTGTCATGAGACACTTTAGAACACCACCTTCTGATTTTTCCTCACACCCCCCCTAATGAACATCCCGGGCACATCCCGAAAAGTCGCCTTTCCCAGCTGAGCCTCAGGTGTGTTTTGAATCGACTTATAATTACTCCAGGCATACCCCTTACAGTCAGTCCCGTGATAAAAGAGAGCTTTTTGAAACGTCTAAAAAAATCTATTTCTCAGGTGTGTTTTGAATCGACTTATGAACACTCCAGGCAGCATACCCCTTATAGGGAGTCACCTTACGGAGTTCAGGGTCAAGAGGCATGAGTCGCCCCTCTGCCTCCACCGTGCATGTGCTGTTCAGATACGCATCGCCCCACAGACTGATACAGGATGGGGGGGGTACAGGGGGGCAACAAGCGGGAGTGCGGGGTAACAGTGTGGGGAAGGGAGAAACAATAAGGGGTCCCTCTGCCTCCACCGTGCATGTGCTGTTGAGATATGCGTCGCCCCACAGGCTGCCACATGATGGGGGTTCCAGGGGGGTAAGTATGGGAAGAAGGGGGTACCGTGGAGGTGAAGAGGGGGGGGACCATGAGATGAGACGCCCCCTTGCCTCCACCGCTCATGCTGTGCTCAGACATGCGTCGCCTCACAGGCTGCCACAGGATGGGGGTGCGGGGGAGGGAGGTAAGTATGGGAAGAGAGGGGGGTACCGTGGAGGGGAACAATGAGTCGCCCCTTTGCCTCCACCGCTCATGCTGTGCTCAGATATGCGTCGCCTCACAGGCTGCCACAGGATGGGGGGATGGGCGGGTAAGAGCGGGGGAAGAGGTGGGGGGAACAGTGGGTGCGGAGGAGGGGGAAGGAACAATGAGCCTCCCCTGCCGACCCACCCGGCAGTCAATGACCTCCAAGCAGCCCCTATCGATCCACCTGGCAGGAAATATGTTTTTTGAGAATTGTATGCTGAATCTGTTTTTTGAAAATTGTATGCTGAATCTGATTTTTGACCCCCCCCCCCAAAAAAAAAAAAAAAAAAAAAAAACTCTAAACAGCACCTGTGGATCCACCTGGCAGGAAATAAGCTTTAAGCAGTTGGGTCACCCCACATGGCGGGGAGGAAACCTACACGCACCTTCCAGCATCGGCCTTCGGGAAGTTCCCTATGTTTTCCCCGTTGATTCGAATTCTGAAGTTGTGTTTTCCCGCTTTTGATGCACCATAGATACCATTTGGGATTGTCCCGAAGGTTGTCAAACCTTCCACCCTCTGGCTCAACTTGTGGCGGGGCTCTTACTCCGCCAATGTGGAGAACCACGCTGGCCATTTGAGGAATGTGTACATTTCCATCCCTCTTTTGTCATCTCGTCGAGGCTGCAGCCCTCCTCCTCCCCCTCCTTCCCCTCCCACTCCTCCACCTGGCAGCGAATGACTCCATGGAGTTGGCCATGCCGATGCACACGAAACGGTCGGGAGAGGCAGCGGCGGCCTCAAAGCCCATGCCGGCGCAGTCGGGGAGCGTGTTGGTGACTAGCTGCTGCATGGCCACGCAAGGCACCTACCCTTCCGCACACCTTAGCAATAAACCTCTGAAAAATCGTATCAATTCTCCCCCTTCCCCATTCCCCCCTTCCGTACCCACCTAGCAGCAGAGGACTCCATAGAATTCGCCATGCCGATGCACACAAAGCGATCGGGCGAGGCAGCAGCGGCCTCAAAGCCCATCCCGGCGCAGTCGGGGAGCGTGTTGGTGACGAGCTGCTGCATGGCCACGCGGCGACACTCCACTGACGTGATGGGGAAGAAGTAGCAGTCCCACCTGCTGTTGTGCCCCACGGCTGGTGTGACGGTGAAGGGTGGGGAGGGGTGGGAAGGGGTGGGGAGGGGAATATGGGGGATAGGGATGATAGAGGAGCAGTTAGCGACACTCCACTGAGGTGACGGGGAAGAAGTAGCAGTCCCACCGGCTGTCGATAACAGTGGAGGGGGCAGCGGGATATGGTGAGGGCGGTATGGTGAGGGCGGTATGGTGAGGAGGGTATGGTGAGGAGGGTATGGTGAGGAGGGTATGGTGAGGAGGGTATGGTGAGGAGGGTATGGTGAGGAGGGTATAAGGAAGGGGGTAGGGGGAGGGGGGTATGGAGAGGGGGTTACGCGGAGGGGGTTATGGGGAGGCGGGGGAGGTTATGGAAAGGGGGGCATGGGGAGGGGGCATGAGGGTGCGTGAGGGAAAAAGACACACCTTCGCAGTCAGGGGTGCGGGCGCGCAGGTAGGTGTCGGGATCCTCCACCAGCACTCTGTTGTTGAGCATGGCCAGGCTCAGCATGGCCGACATCACATGCACCTGGTGAGTTGGTGAGTTGGTGGGGTGGTGGGGTGGTGGGTTGATGCCATGGTGGGTTGATATGTGGGTATGGGCACGTGAATGGGAAGCACCCCACACTACATGTCGGTAGAGCGCAGGTAGGTGTCGGGGTCCCCAACCAGCTATCTGTTGTTGAGCATGACGAGGCTCAGCATGGCCGACATCACATGCACCTGGTGGGTTGGGGTGGGATGTATGGATACATGCAGTCGACTGACAAGTGCAACACGTGTCAGCATCAAACAGGTAGGCGTCAGGGTCCGCCACGAGGAAAATGCTGTTGAGCATGGCTAGACTGAGAAGATTCACCTGAAAAGCCATTGAATTCACCTGAGAGCCCATCTATGCTTTACCCAATAACCCATCAAATGCCATCAGATTCACCTGAGAGCCCATCAGAATCACCTGAGAGCCCATCAAATTCACCTGAGAGCCCATCAAATTCACCTGAGAGCCAATCAAATTCACCTGAGAGCCAGCCCCGTGGCCACCAGGTTTGGGCCACTTGGCAATGAGCAGACGCTTGTCCGTGCAATCCCCAGGTGGGAACTGATGGCGCCAGATGTCCCTCTGCACGACACGTGTCAGCGGCAGATTGGCTTCATCCGACCCTCTGATCTGTGCGGAACATGGGTGGGAAAACAGACGGATTAAGAGTGTTTTTGGGTTGAGAAAGCTTGTACAATGGAGCGCAAAAGGCATGCGTTGAAACTTGAAACTTGACTCAAGGTTGAACCCCGACATTGACTTTGACATTGGAATTTACATGATAGCCATTGCTATTGCCATTGCCATTGATGTTGACACTGACATTCTCATTGACATTGCCATGGACGTTGCCAGTGACATTAACATTGACAGTTCCGTTGCCATTGACGTTGGTGTTGGCGTAGGCATTGACGTTGGTGTTGGCGTAGGTATTGACGTTGGCGTTGAATTAACCTTAACATTGACACTGACATTAAGAGTGAGAGTGACAGTGAGAGTGACAGTGACAGTAACAATGACATGGGCATTAGCCATCCTGAAAACCTCGTGCAACATCCCCACTGTCCTACACACCTACCGCAGCGCAGTAGGGTAAGCACTAAACCCCCTTACCCAAGGCGGCTGCGGCACCCCCTCCCCCTGCGCTTGCCCCGAGCACCCAGGGGAAGCATCACCGGCAGCAGCAGCATCCGCCTGCCTTGGGGCTCCGCGGGTCCAAGCGGGCTCCTCTCCCTGCGCTCCTCTTTTCTCCCACGCCTCCCGCTCCGCGCTCACTCGCGCGCAGTCCTCCAGGTGCGGGGCAGCGGGGACGCCTGGGGGAAGGGAGAAGGCGGAAGGGGGAAGCAAAGAGTCCCCGCCCAGACCGTACGCTTCCGACCACGCTTTAACTAACGCCTCCGCTTCCTGCGACGCGGCATCGCCTAGAAACTGCGACCCGGCTAGCGCTAGCGCGAGGAGCGGGCCAGAGCCGCGATTGTTGCCGGCGGGAAGGGAGGGAGGAGAGTGAAGCGTGCCGATGAGGAGGAGGAGGAAGGGGAGGGCGTAGAGTGAGTGTGGTAGGCGTTGGGATGGTGCGTCGCGGTATGCGCGGCAGCGGCGATGCATGATTCTGCTTGGGAACCTCAATAACAGCGTCGAAGCCGAAACGAAGTGGTACGCCTCGAAGTGACTCACGCCTCACGGATTTTCGGAGTTTTGGGAAATCTAAAAAATGATTTTCAGATATCTTTGGTGTACCGGAACGAGGCAAGATATAGAGGCTAGTGGACTTGATTCTTGATTCAACGCCGTGTGATGCTGAAATTTCTATGCTTGATGTTAGTATGTACACGAAAAAAGATAGTCGCGTGGTGTCGTAGTCCTTGTACAGGGCATTGCGACGCGCGACTCGCACTGGCTAGCGGCTATAATTAGTAACTTGTAGCGGATTCTCCGCAGGAGGTGATCATCAGCGCGCTACGAACTGGGGCCAACCGTATCATATCTACGTGTAGAATCGTATCGTTAAATTATGAGCGCCCCTCGCTTGCTTAGTAGACCGGACCAGCCAGACCATCCGACGGCAAAAAAATCTTAAAATGATCGAACCCAGCTTGTCGAGGACTTTTAAATTCTATTCAGTTGGTGCACATCGCATATGTCAACGTCAACGCCTGCCGAATCCCCCTGAATGTTCTCAATCAGATTGATATGAGGAAACGAATTATGAGAGTCAGTCACTACCAACCAACATCTAAACTCTCTTTGATTCAAATCAAACCAAGAAGTCAGTTACAACCTCCCTCCCAATGTTGCCGAGCCGATGCAGCAGGAAGAAGAGAGTTGCAGTGCAGTTGATGAGAAAACTGATGCGTGAAGCCCTATTTAGGTCGCTAGACCTTGTAACTGTCGCAACGAATCCGGGAGGTAACTGACGCGGTGATGAAATTCTTGCTGAGAAGTTGCACCATCTTACCGCGTTGAGAGAGCGGTCATCGTGACGCTGGAAATGCAACGAGCAGAAACAGAACGAAACGAGGTCGTTTGAAAATGTATTGAATACGTACCGAATGGATTGAAATACGGTCCAAGGTCGTTACTAGTTTTGCTGATTGACTTCCTTGGACTCAGATGCAGGTGCAGACCAGCCAGAACAACGCATGACTCACATCAAGGTCAACAGAATGCCAAAACGTGATGCGCCTTGATCCTTTATAGGGTGCATCGTACAGACGCATAAGCATCAGAATAGGTTTGGAGCACACTTTCTTACTTTCATGTGTTCAGAATTAAGTCTATGCACTTCCCATGGTAGGTTTTAGGCCTTGGAATCACAACAAAACGTAAGTGAAGAAACGCCTAATTGAAACTGATAACTGAAGACGATTGAGAAATCCCGTTGTAAATCAATGTGCCAGAGACTGGAACGAACTGCTTGGTAATAAGCTGCAAAAGAAAGGAGCACGAGATGGAACACGGCAAAAGGAAAACAATTAGGAATGATGGAATGTGGGGTGGGAGGGGGGGGGGGGGGGGGGGGGGGGGGAGAGCTGTGGGAGGCGAAGGAAGGTCCATGGTCTGACCAATCAACCAACAAAAAATTAATTGTATAATAAGAATATTCACTTAAAAAAACAAAAAACAAAACAGGTGGTTTACCTTGATTGCTTCTTGACTTGCCACACCTCCAATCACAGCAGCAACACAGTGGAGCTCACTGGCACCAAACCGACACATCTCAGCCGTCAGATCGTCCGGAATCGACGGTGACTGGCTGGGGCTGCCACCTCCACTGACAATAGCCCCTGCCAGGCTCTTGAGCCGCGCCACGTCATCGTCATCCACGTCACTGCAAGGGCACGTGGATGTGGGTAAAATGCGACAGAGAACAGTTTCTGATCCAGCCAGCAGCTGCGTGGCAGTAAAAAAAACATGATGCTGGAGCGGCAGACTTAAGAAGGTGATGAACGATACAAGGAACTATTATGACGTTGGGCACACAATCCAGAATAAAATGTCAGTAACAGCAAAGTACACGATCACATCAGACTTGAAAAAAAACTCTATGAACATTGAATCTTATGACCGATACATAACTCACACAAACTACCCATGGTTTCTGCCTCACCCGGGGAAAGAGCCGGGGTAGCGGTGGAACTGGGAATAGAAGTGGTCGGCAGCTCTCAGGAGCACATACAGAGCAGCATGGCTGGCAGGTGGTGTGTGGGGGGGGGGGGCGAGGGGGGAGACGGAAGGGACGAAGAGGGGAGAAAAGTGGAAAGAGATAGTACGTTAATCTTCAATTGCTATGCAAAATCTGCTGAAGATTGTTTTAACAGCTTCACGCATGAAGCTGCTTGTGCAAGCAATGTCAGAAACCTTTTGCTAGAAGGGCAGCAAACTACTGTACCTGCCATTGGGAAACGACCTAATACTGTACCTCAGATGACATGAAACTGTACCTGCCATCGGGAGATGACATGAGCCGCTGCAGTGTTGGAATGCAAGCTGGCGCTCCTGCTCCCAACTCCTCACTCAAAGGCTTGAAGCGAACCGCCTTAAGGTGAGTATAAGTGAAGGTGGAGAACGAAGGGAGGGAATGTCATGGGGTTACGGGGAATGTCAAGGGGTTATGGGGAATCGCATGGGGTTACGGGGAATGGCATGGGTTTACGGGGAATGGCATGGGGTTATGGGGAATGGCATGGGGTTATGGGGAATGTCAAGGGGTTACGGGGAATGGCATGGGGTTACGGGGAATGACATGGGGTTACGGGGAATGACATGGGGTTACGGGGAATGACATCACTCAACCATGGTAATCACTCAGTTACACAGGGTGCCGTTGATGATTCAGGCACCTAAAGAACCAGCAGCACCCCAGTGGTGCACTCACACATGAATTTTCCCATCTCTGCTTTTGAGTCGACTCAAAAGCATTACACAGGGTGCCATTGATGTTTCAGGCACCCAAAGAACCAGCAGCACCCCACAGGTGCACCCACACATGTAATTTGATTAGCTTCACCCCATGTTGGAGTAAAGATCAGTCATTGATTGGGTTGTGTGCTGATTACCCTAAGGTTCCGTGCATTCTTGCAGAGGAGCTTGGCTGTAACCAGCAGCACACCACTGGTGTTTTGAGACGTCTCAAAACACTTCTTCATACACGTGGATTACCCTAAGGTTCCGTGCATTCTTGCAGAGGAGCTTGGCTGTAACCAGCAGCAAACCACTGGTGTTTTGAGATGTCTCAAAACACTTCTTCATACACGTGGATTACCCGAAGGTTCCGTGCATTCTTGCAGAGGAGCTTGGCTGTAACCAGCAGCACACCACTGGTGTTTTGAGACGTCTCAAAACACTTCTTCATACACGTGGATTACCCGAAGGTTCCGTGCATTCTTGCAGAGGAGCTTGGCTGTAACCAGCAGCACACCACCGGTGCACCCACACATGTGCTTTCCAAGGTTTGGGTAACGAAAAGAGTGGTTATTGGGGTTGTGTGCCGATTACCCTCAGGTTCCGCACGTTCTTGCAGAAGAGCTTGACTGTAGCGAGGGGAATGGAGGCGGGGTCCCTGCCTATGCTCCTCAGCAGGTCGCTGACGTGGCGCTGCACAGCCGCCACATCAGCATCCGCCTTGCTGAGGTAGATTCTCTGAAGCGCCACGTAGAAACTGGTGAGAGGGGGCGGAGGGTGAATGTTGGTGATGTGCGGGGATAAGGGGGATGGAGGGAGAACAGGGAGACGAGAGAGATGAGAGATTGAAGAGACAAGAGGCGAGAGAGGAGGGAGGAGAGAGGGGGAAATGGGTGGGATGGGACGTGCAGTCATCATGGGTGCTTCTCCAAGAGTGATGACACTGTGACTCAAATCGGGGAGATTTGCCAACATTGTGATTTAGGAAAGGCTGCTTGTACACTGGGGGTGGATCCATCAACAAAGCAATGACATGCATCTTCGCCACTGTCACACAACCCCCCCCCACTCACTCTGTGAGCGAGTGCATGTCTGGAATGGATCCATCGACAGGCAGGTCCCCTTCCCCCTCCTTCTCCACAAACAGCTGAACGCACATGCGAGGTGGAAGAAGAACAGTAGACAACGAGAGAGGTTAAGGAGACGGGAGTTGGAAGATAGAAACAACAAAGGGCTGCAAGAAGCGTGAGAAAGAGGTTGGAAGAGGTGAGCAGAGAGCAGGTGAGCGGAAGGACCGCAGAAGCAGATGAGCTTGTAGTGCAAAAGCAGTGTCAGACGAACTATCCTAGCACACACCTTGAGCGCAGCGGCAAGCACCCAGAAGTCAGAGGAGGCATGCGAGAGCTGCATGGCTGCATCGGTGAATATGGCCTGTAGCTCTGAGCCTGGCGCACGCAGTGTCACAGGGCGAGGGGGGTGGGGAAGGGAGGGGAGAGGAGAAGAGGTGGGAATGGGCGCACAGAGCGGCATGGCTGAATCCGTGAATATGGCCTGCAGCTCCGAACCTGGCGGATGCAGCATGGCGGGGAGGAAGACGAGGAGGGAGGATGGAGAAGGGACGGGAATGGGTGCAGAGAGCTGCATGGCTGGATCGGTAAAGCTGGCCTGCAGCTCAGCGTGGGGGTTGGATAAAGGTAGGGGAGAGCGTTGCGTTTCGGGGAGGGCGAGGGGGAGGAGAATGAGCAGATTTACTACGTGATATACGAGGCAAATATGGATGCAGCTTGGAGCCCGGATGGTGCATCATTGGGAAATATGTGTTAGCCGAAGAAGGGGATGGAATGGAGCCGCACCTATGGAGAGCAAGAGTAGCACCCATGAGGGCCGAGGGCGGTACCTATGGGGGGTGGCGACCACACTTTGTACGCGGCAGCGAGGGCCTCCTTGAAGTTATCCTCGTCCATGTGCCTCTGGTGTGCTGCTATCAACGCCTGCGGGTGGGGGTGTGGTGGGGGTGTGGGGGTGTGAGGGTGTCACGCAGTGGGTGTGAGGGAGTGGGTGTGGGTGCGTAAGTGTGGGGGCGTGCTTTGAGTCAACCCAAAAACACTTGCGAGTGCAACTTTGAAGTTATCCTCGTCCATGTGCCTCTGGTGTGCTGCTATCAACGCCTGCGGGTGGGGGTGTGGTGGGGGTGTGGGGGTGTGAGGGTGTCACGCAGTGGGTGTGAGGGAGTGGGTGTGGGTGCGTAAGTGTGGGGGCGTGCTTTGAGTCAACCCAAAAACACTTGCGAGTGCAACTTTGAAGTTATCCTCGTCCATGTGCCTCTGGTGCGCTGCGATCAACGCCTACACATGGGGGTATAGCGTGGGGTGTGGGCGTGTGGTGAGCGTGCGTGGGGGAGTGGGAGTAGGGGAGTGCGGTTAAGTGGGTGTGGGGTAATTGAACAGAGTAGGAAACAAAAATCCGGAGGATAAAGTACCAGGAGGGGACGGAAAAGAAGCACAGAATTATTCAGCCTCATCCTTGTCTAACTCAGTGTCTGCATCGCACAGGCCACTGGACCTCGAGCCATGATGAATTCACTCACCCACCCCTCTTCCCTTGTCTTCTCACCCACGCTAACCCCTCTTCCCATGCCTTGACAAGCGGGACCCATTCCCCCCACCCTACCTTGGACGATGGCCGCTCTTGAGCTCTTTCGAACTGTGAAACAGCGCTCACAGCTCATCCCGCCCCACCCTGCCCCTCTGTTTCACATGCGCTCTTCCTTGAACTCTTCCTCTCTTTCATCCACCCCCCCCTACCTTGAATTGAACCCCCACCTCTCCTTGCCCTGCCCCTCTTCCCCTACCTTCTCCTCCTCCCCCCCACCCGTCCCCCACCTTGAACTCCGTCCGTTCTTTGGCGCTACGAGGCAGCGCTCGCGGCTCACTCGCCCCTCCCTGCCCCTCCCATTTATCTCTGTTCCTTACCACTCTCATTTCCTCCCCCCTGCCTACCTTGAACTCTGTCCGCTCTTTTGCGCTACGGGGCAGTGCTCGCGGCTCACTCGCCCCTCCCTGCCCCTCCCCATCCGCTTGCATCGAAACCGGCGCCGCCTCTCCTCCTCCTCCTGCTCCTCCTGCACCTGCTTCCCCGGCCTCCCCTCGCGCTCCCCCCTGCTGCCACTGCTGCGCTGCCTGCAGCAGGATGACGGCGTAGGGGATGTGGCTGTGCAGCATCGCGTCCTCCATGCCCAAGTCGAACCCGGTTGCGAATCTGCAGCGAGGGAAGAGGGGGAAGTGAGACAGTGTGTGTGCCGGCAGCAGGATAACGGCGTAGGGGATGTGCTTGTGCAGCATGGGGTTCTCCATTCCCAGATCATTCCCATTCGCGAACCTCAGAACACATATATGGAAGGGAAGAGGGTGGGAAGGCATGCCACGAATTCAAGCATGCCGAATCAGAGAGGTGCGCTTGAGAGAACTGCGACGCTCGGACTGGCACGCTCTGCACAGCCTGCGAGCGAAACGAGGACGAGAGATGGCGTAGGTCGCCGTGAAAGGCGCTGATGACGACCATGCACGCTGCCACCTGTTCATGGTGGCTACAAGGAGAAGAATTAAGCATGAGACGGAACGCCCACTCAGCTCAGTGCACCACACTAAACCGCACAGAAAAGCTGACATGTTCAAGGGAAGAGTTTGCATGCAGAGGGATAATGACCGCACACGGTGCATGCTTGTGCAGCACGGGTTCCTTTTGAGACGTCTCAAAATTCCTCCATACTCAAATAGAACTTTTTGAGACGTCTCAAAATTCCTCCATACTCAAATAAAACTTTTGAGACGTCTCAAAATTCCTCCATACTCAAATAAAACTTTTGAGATGCCTCAAAATTCCTCCATACTCAAATAAAACTTTTTGAGACGTCTCAAAATTCCTCCATACTCAAATAAAACTTTTGAGACATCTCAAAATTCCTCCATACTCAAATAAAACTTTTGAGACGTCTCAAAATTCCTCCATACTCAAATCAAAGTTCTCCGCAACCATGAGGTCATATGGAGGAGGAAGGAGAGGTATGGGGGGGGGTAGGAAGAGTACGCCTGCACTACACAAGGGGATGTATAATGCACACGGGAGTGCGCCTGCTTGTGCAGCACGGGTTTCATTAAGTCCCAGTGGGCATTATACCATGCTGCACAAGCAAGCACATCAGAAAGAGTGCGCACATGCACCCTTCAGAAGGATGAAGGACGTTGGGGACACATGCACTCGTCAGTGGGCACGTGGAGGGCGGAGGGGGAGTGGGGGGGCCGGAAAGAAGTGCGCTTGCAGCAGGATAACATCATTCTGGTGTGCAGCTGCCGCAGGGATCATCAATGACCAGCATGGGATTATTACGATCCGACCGTTGACATGTCTCAATCTCATGGGATTCTAATTCAATCTAACGAGCCGTCTCTCTCTGCCCGACAGCCCTCTTGCCCCACCTGAACTGCACTCCCCCCACACATCCTTCAACCCCCCAGCCATCGCCAGTCTCACTGTCGCACCCCCTTCCACAATTTTTGCAGCGGCCCCACACTTTCTGCACTCTCGCACCTCCTTCCACAATCTAATGAGCCGTTTCTGCTTCACAGCCCTATTCCTTCTCCAGCCCTCTTACCCCACCTGCAATGCATCCCCCACACACACCCGGCAACCCAAACCCCCCCCAGGCGCACTCTTTGAGCTCCTTCCAGGGCTTGTGCAGCCTCAGATCGTCCACTGTGTTGTCTGGCCTCTGCCCCGCCTGTAATGCACCGCCCACACACACCCTTTCAATCCTACCTAACTCCCAAGTCAGAGTCTCACTCTTTCAGCTCCTTCCACGGCTTGTGCAACCTCAGATCGTCCACCGTGTTGTCTGGCTTCGCCTCCACCACACAGTGCTCCTGGTAGGTGGGACGGACGGGGGAGGAAAGGGAGGGGAAAGGACGTGCATAAGGAAACATCAAGGAGCACTGCTATGACCAAGCGTAGGCAGAGGAAGGTCAAAAAAGGGCAAGGAGAACTGATTCAAATCTGTGACTTAGGCAAATATGAAACTCACCATAGCAGAGAAGAAACTCACAGGAGCAGAGATGAGACTCACCAGAGCAGAGATGAAACTCACCAGAGCAGAGATGAAACTCACCAGAGCAGAGATGAAACTCACCGTAGAGGAGATGCGGATGAGTCCCATGAGGCCGTAAGAGCGCGCCACTATGAGCTGACAGCCGTGCTGCCGACACACCGAGTCCAGCTGCAGTATCACTGACTCCGGTAGCTGAGAGGGGGAGGAGCGAGGCAGAGGAGTAGGACATAATAAGTGAGAGGTTTATGAAAATGGAGAAGCAGAATGGAGGATAGAGCAAGGGGTGGATGGACTCGAGCAGAGACTCAGAAGTCACTCTGGTTCAACGGGGTAGAGCAAGGAGGGGCACTAAGACGGAGGATTGAAGATCCTAAGGGAACGGACCCCTTTGGAGCATTCTGATCTGCAAGCACATCTCAGCAGCAGCACCCGCTTGAACCCGTGCAAGTGCATTGGTTCTGCCCCAAGAACTGGTAAACACAACACACTGTCCTACTCATGGCTTGAATCAATGCTTGAACGAGCATGGCTGGGTAGCAGAATACGCAAGCAGACCATCTGGACTGGATGCAAGATTTTCAGTGACTTCACGCTCGGCTCCACCCAGCATGACGTGGATGCTAGGTGGTGATAAGTCATGATGAGCGTGAAGTTGCTGGAAATCTTGCATTGCTTTTGAGGTTCTGAACGAGCGTTGAGTCGACTCAGATGCCACCTTCAGGAGAGACGAGCCAGGTGTGAACTCGCTCTCGGTGAAGCACACCTGCGTGGCGATGACGAGGGTGAACTCGCTGAAGAACTTGGCATTATCTTGAATGAGCGTGGCAGGGCTCTCCTCCACAAACCTCGCCGCCACACTCTCGTTCAGCTCCTGCAGCAGCGCTGTCACCGCCTGCGCTCGTGATGTGCCCAGGTGCGTGCGATCCACTGAGCAATAGGCACAACACAGAGAGTTGAAAGGGGTGGAGAGGGGAGGGCAGGGGGTAAGTGCTGCAGCTACTGCAGAAGCCCTATCACTGCCTGCGCTCGTGAAGTGCCCAGGTGGGTGCGATCCACTAAATAACAGGCACAACAAAGAAAGTAGCAAAGTGGGGGGGTGGAAAGGGGAGGTGAGGGGAAGTAAGGGTGGTAAGGGTTGTCAGCTCCTGCAGCAGCCCTGTCACCGCCTGCGCACGTGATGTGCCGTCACAACACGGAGAGCGGCAAGGGGAGGCAGGAGGGAAGGGGTACGAGTTGTCACCTCTGCAACAGCCCACCCGCTGACCACCCACCCACCACTACATCGATCGAACGAATGTGGGCATGCCCATGCTTAGTGCAACTCTCAGAAATAGTTGTTACCTAGGTCACACTCAAGCACGCTTGCACGCAAATCACACCAACACCGATGCCAACACATTTCTCTCTCGTACTGCCTTGAAGTTAGCATGTCACGCCACAGCACACCAGGTTTTCCGGTCTCTTCTCCATTTCAGCGTAATGCAGGTAATGCATGTAGAGCTGGTTGAAAATGCTTGCAAAGTGGTCTCCAAATGGCGGAATGCATGTAAATCTGGTTGAAGATGCTTGCAAAGTGGTCTCCAAATGGCGTAATGCACGTAAATCTGGTTGAAGATGCAAAGTGCTCTCCGAATGGCGTAATGCACGTAAATCTGGTTGAGGATGCTTGCAAATTGGTATCCGAATGGCGTAATGCGCGTAAATCTGGTTGAAGATGCTTGCAAAGTGGTTATAAATGGCGTAATGCACGTAGATCTGGATGAAATAGCTTGCAGAGCATGATGTCTCTCTAGATTCGCCTTGATTCACGATGTCGACCTGCCTTGGAGTTACTACGCTAGCACGCAAGCATGCTAGCACGCCACATCACACCAACACATTTTTCTCTCGTACTGTCTTTGAGAGGCATGGATTTGAGAGGCATGTAATGTGGCGTGCTAGCGTGCTTGCGTGCTAGCGTACTAACACCAAGGCAGGTCGACATCGTGAATCAATGCGAATCCAGAGATACATCATGCTTTACAAGCATTTTCACCCAGATCTACGTGCATTCCGCCATTTGGAGACCACTTTGCAAGCATTTTCAACCAGATCTACGCGCATTACGACATTCAGATACCAGTTTGCAAGCATCTTCAGCCAGATTTACGCGCATTACGTCATTCGGAGACCACTTTGCAAGCATCTTCAAGCAGATTTACATGCATTCCGCCATTTGGAGACCACTTTGCAAGCATTTTCAACCAGATTTACATGCATTCCGCCATTCGAAGCCACTTTGCAAGCATTTTCAACCAGATTTACGTGCATTACGTGCATTAGAACAAATGCCCCAAATCCCACGCTGGGCGCAACTCACAAAATAAATTGTTTCCCCGTCAGCGTGGGCCTCCACAGTGGCACTACACCACCCACCACACGCATCACGACTCCCGGAAGCAGTTATCTTATCTCCATGACCCACCACCCCACGCAGAGCAACCACTACATTAAATGCGCATTTACAGAAGTAATATCTCCACAGCCACTCACAACCCACCAAACACACTGAGCGCGATTCACGGAAGTAGTTGCTCCCCAGGTCATGAGCCTCCACAGTCGCGCCATCCACTGAATGCGCGCTCACAGTACCATCTCCACCACTCACCACCCATGCGAACCCCCATGCGAACCGCCAAGACTCACGGAAGTAGTTGTTCCCCAGGTCATGGGCCGCCACAGTGGCGCCATCCACTACATTGAATACGCGCTCACAATATTCATCGCCACCACTCACCACCCATGAGAACCGCCGCGACTCACAGAAGTAGTTGTTCCCCAGGTCATGCGCCTCCACAGTGGCGCCATCAACGGCTGTGAACGACCCTATCCCCCCGAGCACCAGGTTCTTCAGTGCATCTGTTCCTGTGGGGCCTGCTGTCAGCAGACACACGCGCTGTGATGCCTCGCTACCCACTGGGTCAAAACGAGGGTGTTATACACGCAATGAGCGCGCGACTCACAAAATTAATTGTTCCCCAGATCTTGGGTCTCCACACTGGCGCCATCCACGACATCAAATGTGCGCTCACAACCCCCATAACCCACCATCCACACTAAACGATACTCACAGAAGTAGTTATTCCCCAGGTCATGCGCCTCCACAGTGGCGCCATCCACTACCCACAGAAGTACTATCTCCACCACTCACCACCACTCACCACCCATACCGACCGTGAATCACAGAAGTAGTTGTTCCCCAGGTCATGCGCCTCGGCAGCAGCGCCATCCACGACGGTGAACGACCCTATCCCCCCCAAGCAACAGGTTCTTTAAAGCTTCCGTGCCCGTCGGCCCTGCTGTCAACACTCAGCACAGACACCTGCGATGAGTGCACGACTCACGAAAGTAGTTGTTCCCCAAGTCATGCACCTCACAGTGGCGCCATCAACGACGGTGAACGACCCTATCCCTCCCAGCACCAGGTTCTTGAGTGCCTCTGTGCCCGTGGGGCCTGCTGTCAGCAGGCACACGCGGCGTAACGCCTCGCTACCCACTGGGTCAAACGAGGGTGTTATACACGCAATGAGTGCACGACTCACGGAAGTAGTTGTTCCCCAAGTCATGGGCCTCCACAGCAGCGCCATCCACAACAGTGAACGAGCCTATCCCCCCCAGCACCAGGTTCTTCAGTGCCTCTGTGCCTGTCGGCCCTGCTGTCAGCAGACACACGCACTGTAACGCCTCGCTACCCACTGGGTCAAAACGAGGGTGTTATACACGCAATGAGCGCGCAACTCACGGAAGTAGTTATTCCCCAGGTCATGGGCCTCCACAGTGGCGCCATCCACAACGGTGAAGGAGCCTATCCCTCCCAGCACCAGGTTCTTTAAAGCTTCTGTGCCCGTCGGCCCTGCTGTCAACAGACACACCCGCGCCTGCTCCAACGCCCTCTGCCCGTGCTCGCCCCATATCCTGTAAATGAACAGTGAGGGTAGGTGCAGTCGAAACTTTGGTGAGATGGATCAACGGCACTTATTTTGTTGTCGACGACCTTCCATGTCTCGTGGAAACGAGCCACGGAGTTGTCTAGGAAGGTGATTAGTGAAGCCTTTGGCTGAGTATTCGAAGCGAGTCACACACGGCATACGGGTGATTACTCCGCGAATATCCTCGGAAAGCATTTGTCACGCAATGATGGCTGGACACCTCGGAAAGTGGTAACAAGCTACGCACGTAACCAATGTGACATTGCTTCGACCGTTCACATCCAGACCGTGCGATCTCGCCTCTCACCTCAGCTGTTGATCGTACGTCTGCGAGTTCAGGACTAACAACAACTAAGTCCTCGCTATGGACTGTTCCGTGCCCCCGATTTATTCACATTCTGGCGACCCTCGCTGCTCACCTCAGCTGCCGGTCGTACTTCTGCGAGTTTTGGATCGCCACCATTGCGACGCGCGATGCGGAGAGCTACCGAATCAGATGGAGAAATGTGACCGTTGCTCACTAGGATTCCTGGTGACGGGGAAATTGCTGTCAGAGGCCTGGAATTCAAGCACGTGGGCCAGGTCGAAAAGAGCTTGTCAGATTCGTCCGATATACTGCTGCTCTTCGTTGGCAACAATGGCTAATGTAAAAGTCAGTCACTTAATCATGTAGCATTGTAAGAGGCTCGCTTTTCTTTTACCGGAACAGAGCCACCCAAGTAACGAGAACAAAATGTTTGGTTTCCCCGAGCCTGCATGCATTTCGTGCTACTGTAGGGGGGGGTCCAGCGCGTACGTTTACAGGTACTATACAGTTCATTCGTCTAGGTTTGAGAAGATATCAGGCGGTGCACAACGGTTTTGAAACTGCACCGTCTTTAACCGTGACGCAGTACAGATTACCGCACTGGATGAACTGTAATGTACGGAAAACGTACGTGCTGGACCCGCCCTAGGAGAAATTTCTCATCCTCCTGTTTCCTCTTTCATTCCTCCAGGTCCAACCTTCGTAAGTTGAGAAATTTACGTTGCCATTCCACACCTCCTCTCTTTTCCTTCAGATATCATCAGCTTGAGAACGAAAGTCTCGAGACGCCGTCGCGACCGTCTTGTGCGCCATCACTCGCAAGTAGGATGCGGCATGGCCGCGGTCCCTACCGCCTCCCACCATGCCACCCATCGGAACGAACAAAACCTTGTCACTGTTCTTACCGAGTCGCTCCACGTCAGAGCCTCTCATACTTCACACCCACCCTCTCTCGCGCGTCGCTCCACGTCATCCTCCTCATCATCGGCACGCTTCTCTCTTCTCTCTCGCTTCCCGGCTCGCGCACTCGCGACGCCGCTGCTCCGCGCCTCGCGCTAGCGCAAGGAGGCGAGGCCGCGTCCCTAAAATCCGCGTTTCTCGTTGGCGCGTGGTCGGAGGCGTACGGGCTGGGCGGAGACTCTGTGCTCCCCCCTTCCGCCGTCTCCCTTCCCCCCGGCGTGCCTGCTGCGCCGCACCTGGAGGACTGCGCGCGAGTGAGCGCGGAGCGAGAGGCGTGGGAGCGGAGAGGCGCGCGGGGAGAGGAGCCCGCTTGGACCCGCGGGGGCCCAAGGCAGGCGGATGCTGCTGCTGCCAGTGGTGCTTCCCCTGGGTGCTCGGGGCAAGCGCAGGGGGAGGAGGTCCCGCAGCCGCCATGGGTAAGGGGGTACAGATATATTCCTCATATATTCCTCACTGATCTTCGAACTCCCCTCTCCTCCACGACAGTGGGGAATTCGAAGATGGTTGGTCGTTGCACACGTTTTTTAATCGACTCAAAAACTGGCCATGGGTAAGAGGATACAGATATATTCCTCACTGATCTTCAAACTCCCCTCTCCTCCACGACAGTGGCGGGTTCAAAGATGGTTGGTCGTTGCACACGTTTTCAGGATGGCTAATATCGATCCCCATGTCCATATCAATGTCATATTTCCAAAACATCGATGACAGGACATTCAGACATTCACAGGCTCGCCTCACTCCATCCTTCATCCCACCCTCATCCCCACCCAGATCAGAGGGCCCGATGCAGCCAATCTGCCACTGACACGTGTCGTGCAGAGAGACATCTGGCGCAACCAGTTCCCACCTGGGGATTGCACTGATAGGCGCCTCCTCGTAGCCCACTGGGCCAAATCCACGTCGCACGGCGTTGGCTCCCAGGTGAGCGCTCTTGCACGCGTTGGTTGGTGTGTGGCTGTACTCTTGCGCATTTGAGTCAACCCAAAAGTCATCTCAAAGATTCCGTCGACGACAGGCGCCTCCTTGTTGTCCTCTGGGCCAACCAAAGGTACACGAGGGGTGTGCGTGTGCATGTCCTGTCATGAGCACTACATGTGCTTTAAAGCCTTACACTCTGCGCTATACACCGCACATCCCACTACCACGCCCAGCACCCAGATTCACTACATACATGAGCGCATTGCTGAGCATGGCCATGCGTCACAACTGCATCGCCGTGGGTATGTGTCGCATGGCCACGCTCTGTACAGTGTGTGTCTCCTATCAGGTGCAATGCTGTGCACTGTTATGTGTGTTAATCCTCCCCCCCTGCACCGTACACTACACCCTGTATCCCACGCCCCCACGCACCAGATCCATTACCTGAGCGCGCTGCTGAGCGTGGCCATGCGTCACAACTGGACCCTTGTGGCTATGCGTGTGCGTGCTGTGTCTCGTGCACCACATCCACACGTGCATTGAGGCCTTACACTCTGCACCATACTCCGTGCATCCCACGCCCCCTCGCACCAGATCCACTATCTGAGCGCGCTGCTGAGCGTGGCGATGCGCCACAACCGCACCCTCGTGGCTCAACCTGATGCCTTTGACCGCGCTCGCACCCCCTCCTGTGAAGGTCCGTGCATGCGATGATGCATCATGGAAGAGTACTGCACGCATCCCGTGGCATCTCGTGGCATCCCATGGCATCTCGTGGCATCTCATGGTAGCTCACAAGCACACATGCCACCAGAGGTCAGATGGGAAGGTTGGCGTAGGGTTGCCTTGCACACTTGAGACGACTAAAAAATGCTCTGCCTGACCAGTGCTCTGCCTGACCAGTGCTCTGCCTGACCAGTGCTCTGCAACAGCCAACGAGTTGTTTCTTCCTTCCTACTTTGCCACTTCTGCCTCCTCTAAAACTTACCCTCTCTTTTCTTCCCCCCACCCCCACCCCAATCCATTCCTCCCTCCCCGCCCCACCTTCCCCCTCCCTACCCCAATCCCGTCCCCTACGCCCTTCCCCCTTCCCTTCCTATCCTCCCCCCACACGGGTCTGTTCCCTGCAATCCAAGCTGCGGGTCACAACAGCCAATGGGAGTGCTTCTTCTTCCCCCCCGCCTCGTCAGCGTGCCGCCACGTCATCCAACACGCGCTGATGCAGAACCTTGAGAACATCCCCTGGGCCAAGGACGACCCTGCTGACGTGGCAGCACTGGACGATCCAATCGTAATCGTTGGTTACACCAACCCAACGATGCTTTTCATGGAATCTGGAGCGGCAGAGTGCGTTCTGAACTGTACGACTGATCGGGATTCTATTGCATGCAAGTATACATTTTTGAGACGTCTCAAAATCCTTCTCCGCGGACTCCCTCCTGACCTCGCCCTGCACTTTGCAGCTTTTGAGAATTCTCAAAAGTGATTTTAACTATGCAGCTGGGCAACAAATTTTATTCCCTCCATTTCCCCTTTTCCCCTCCTCCTCCACGCTTCCTTCCTCCCTGCCCCTCCCCTTCAGCCTCTGGGGTGACGCCTTTCTGGCCTCGCCCTGCACTGTTCAGATGGACGGCAAACTCACTCCCCTCTTGTCGCCGTTTTTGTTTTACCTCCGTTCTTCCTCCCCCCCACTTGCCTTGACCCCTCGCCTTCAGCCTCTGGGGTGACGCCTACCTGGCCTCGCCCTGCACTGTGCAGCTGAACGGCAAACTCGCAGCTCTTTCTGGACCTCAACGCAAGGTAGTAAGCTGCCTATTGCACTGCAACCAGATTGATGGAACACTGGCAAGATAAAGGTAGTAAGTTGCCTTTTGCACTGCAACCAGATTGATGGAACAGGTCAATCATGAAACACACTGGGTGCGCCCGCCACCAGCCACTCACTGCTGTCACACTACCAACCTCACACGCGCACATGTCCCCATGCCAACACAACCACCATTTCGTCCTATAGAGTGCAGGAGAGAGACGTGTTGCGCTGCATGCTGCAGTCGTATCACGCGGAGGAGCAGGTGGTGGCGCACTTTCTTTAACCACTTGCTCCTCAATGGTGGCAGGTGCACTGGTGGCGGGCATAGGCGGTGCAATTCATCATGCAGAGGAGCAGGTGGTGCGAGAGTGCGCCACCACATGCTCCTCCGCGTGATGCGACTGTAGCATGCAGCGCAGCAAGTTCCTCTCCTGCACACCATGGGGACGAAATGGTGGCCGTGTTGGCATAGGGGCATGTGCGCGTGTGGGGTTGAGAGTGTGACAGCTGTGAGTGGCTGGTGGCGGACACACCCAGTGAGTTTCACATATGCCTTGTTGCCATGCCTTCCTCTCTATCCTCTCCCCTTCCCCCTTCTCCATGCCCCAAGGTGCACTGGTGGTGGATGCAGGCGATGCACTTCAGCCTGATTTGTTCTCGTGAGCTTTCCCCTTTATCTTTCCCCCTGTTTCTTCCACCCCTCATGCCTCCAGGTGCATTGGTGGCGGGCGCAGGCGGTGCGATTCATCATGCGATGGCCGTCGTTTCATCTCTGCCACGTCACCAACCAGGAGAGGCACCGCGCCTTCGGCATGCTCGCAGCCAATCACGTCGTTCGCTTCCTGCACACCCAATCAGAAACCCTCTCCTCCTTCTCTCACAGCACCGCCCCTGCTGCTGCCGCCTTTGCCGCTGCCGCTTCTGCCGCACCTATTGCTCTCAGCGTCCCAGCCAATGCTACTGACTGGGAGGCAAGGAGGAGAAGAGCGGCAGATCGGTTGGCGGCTCTAGCTAGTTCCTCCTCCTCCTTCCTCTCAGACGCCACTGGCAGAGCCACAGGGGGCGGTGAGAGTGCCAACGGCTCGGATGCCAGCTGGTTGCTGGGAGTGCAGGAGCCGTACATGCCGCGGCCTATAGTGAGTCTGCATGTAAGGGGTACGGACAAGTTTGCAGAGATGGGGCTGACCTCTCTGGACTCCCACATCTTCCACATCAACCGCCTCCGCCACCATGGGCTCGACCTCTCCCACGTCTGGCTCAACACCGAGACTCAGGTGATTTTCTTGCCTAGTGCCGTCCTGCCCGTTTCCCATTCCCGTTTTCCATCTTTCTCATCCGCTTTCAATCCTTCCTGCTGCCGTTCCTGCCAGACATTCTGCGTCCCCCCCCCCCCCCCGTCTCCCTCTTCTCCCTACACCACACAGGCCAACGTGGACCGAGCGGTGGCGGATCACCTCTCCTGGAGTTTCTTCTACTCGTCCAATGCGCGGCAGCAGGAAGCGGTGGGGGGACTGCGGGAGTATGAGTGGGCGCAGTCGGTGGCGGTGAGCTTGGCGAGCGTGCTGATCGCTGCGCAGTGCGATTACTTCGTCGGCAGCCTCGGCTCCAACTGGAGTCGCCTCATGAACGAGCTTCGCTCCACCAATGGCCGGCTGGGTGCTGGATTCATTGCTGACAATGTTGAGGAATGGTGACATACACGACATTGTGTTTGATCGATACGTAAGGGTGACTGGTGATGGGGGAGTAAAGGATGTCTTCATGGCATATCTTTCTGGAGTGGTTGGGTTGGTGGTTAAGTCTTTGATGAGCATTCAATTTGTTCGTTCATGTAGTTCTCACCTGGTGCATCATCTTGTGTATAGCGCATGACACGCTTGTTGCTTCCACTGAGAATTATATGATTTTTTCCAGCTATCTTGGCGTCTACTTACACTGCACGAGTGATGAAATTGTTCTCAGTTGCATACACTGCGCGAGTGATGAAATTGTTCTCAGTTGCAAATCTCGACGTAAGGTGTCGGAACTCACTATAGTGGAGCACACTGGAGGATTTGGATTGATGATCTGTATCTTCTTGAGCTCTCCTTTCGTTATGCTCCATCCTTCTTCCCATCAAACCACCTCGAGCTCCCCACTCCCGCATGCGTTGCGGACATAACAGCAATTTGTACCACATAGTCAGTGCAAAGCTTTGACATGAGGCAACTAGGAACACATTCTTCTAACAAGGCAACAAGAAGTACATTCTTCTAAGCTTTAACAATCTGTAGAGGTCATGGCTAGCGACATGGATGACAGTCACGTAGTCGTTGCTCTCATTGAGAACCGTGCGCGAGAGGTATGAGCCGTTCGCTGTTCCACTCGCTCCGTCGCATTATTAAACTGAAATGCTCCTTGCACGCGTAGGTCGGACTCACCGCCTTGGACCTGAGATCCGCAACTCTGCACTTGAATCAGTATATTGAGAGCAGCAAGTCGTACCAGAACACGCTGACCTTGCTACAGTATTTCAAACCATCTGAGATTATCGTTCCAGCACGAATGGCCGATTTAGTGGAAGGCATTGGCGGAGCCATGGCCCTTGCTTCTCATTCTGCCTTCGCTGCCGCTCGCAAGGTAGGAATTATAGCGAATTGGCCGATGCTGGTGTTTTTGGCTCGCAGTGATTCACTGGCGTTTCCAACAGGTGACACTGGCACGTGGCTGTTTCGACGACGTCAAGGTCAGCGGCGGAACCTTCGTCATAATTCCTTCACAAAGGAAACGCTTATGACGTCAACTTTTTTGTTCTTCCCGTTCAGGGTGCGTTACTTGTTCAATCTTACACCAATGGAAAAGCCAATGGGACGAACGTTGATAGGCACTACAAGGAGTATTATCTTTGCCTTGGTGCTGCATCTGCACTTCTAAAGTGGTGAGTATGCAGAGAGGCTATATCCATGAAGGCATTTTCTAATCAAAACACTTCTTGTCAAGCAGGGTTGAAAGCGAGAAGTCAGCGGCAGTTATGCAGAAGTCCCTTCAGGTCACTTTCAACGGCTCCCTCAACCACTTGTCAATAGATGCTACCAGGTACAGTAGATGCGTTAGCACACACACAGTTCTAAGATATCTCGACTGCTGACCATTTTCCCTGTGCGCAGCATACAGAATCTGGAGGTGATAGAACCACTGCCAGGAAATTCAGAAAGGGATGGTAAGAGAAAAGCCAGCCTCTTTGGTGTCCTCAATTCAACAAAGACAGTGGGCGGGTGAGCACTAGCTGCATGTGCATCTTGTCCAGATAAAGCACAAAGAACTCTCACGTGTGCTCTCTGTGCCAACTAGCAGGGCGCGTCTTCTTAAAGCAAATCTTCTCCAGCCGTTGAAGGACAAGGAAACTATCAAATTACGACTGGATTGCTTGGTAATACGCATTGAGAGTACTCAAGTTCTTTAAGCTCCTTCAACAAAACGCCCAAACTGAAGTGGATCACATTTGCAGGAGGAAATCATTAACGACGAGTCCTTGTACTCAGCACTGTCAAACATCCTACAGCAATTCCCAAAAGATCTTGGTATGCTGCAAGGGGGGATGTTTGTAGATTGGTAAAAGACCTGGTTTATACAATATTGATTGTGCAGATCGTATTGTGACAAGCTTCGCATTTCGTCCACACAAGGCTGCTGATGATTGCACAGGGAGTGCAACCACTCGGAGAAACATGGTGATTCTTTCAAGCATCATCCTCTTGCGAGAGACTCTTCTTCTTGTACCCCGACTTGCTGAGGTAGATAATTGTTTTTGTCTGACTTGTATTCGTGATCGTTTCATGAACCTAACGCAATGTTTTCTTGCCGTACTCTCAAGGCTTTGAGTGATGCTAAGTGTAGCCTGCTAACAAGCATACGGGATATTGTTTGCAAGCAGCAAAGCTTTCCAGATTTGTTGAAGGAGTAAGGCGTTTTGCGCAGTTTCTATTTTTCCTATCCATCCAGGATTGACTTACATGGAGGAACTGATGCAGGATTGAGAGCATTCTTGATGAGGATGTCATTCATTCAAGGTCCCCGTTTATTGCTAGAACACAGCAGTGTTTTGCAATCAAGGCTGGCATTGATGGTTTCTTGGATGTTGCCAGGCGCACATTTTGTGCCACTAGTGAAGGTGAGGAGACAGGTTCCTTTCAACAGTGTGATCCTTTTTAGACACTGAAGTTATTAACTGTTTTAATCATGTCTTGGCAGCTATTCACTCCCTAGGGAAATCCTACCGTGAACAGTATTCTCTTCCGAATCTTCGACTTCCATTCAACAACAGACGAGGATTTTACATCACAGTTCCAGTTAAAGATGTAAAAGGGAAGAAGCTCCCACCTGTCTTTCTCCAGGTATAGTGTTTTCCACTTGAAGGGTTTCGTTAGTTATAGCCTTTAGGCCGTGTCCATAACTCTTGCATGACAGGTCAGCAAGAATGGAAAGAATTTTCAGTGCACAACGCAAGAGCTGGTGTCGGTAAGTATTGATTCCATGCACTCGGCTCGACCACTTGTTACAAGCTCTCGTCACGAGAAAATTTGAACCTTTTATTGCAGCTTAACATTCGGAACAAGGAAGCTTCAGCTGAGTGCTTTCTTCGGGAAGAGCGTTGCCTTGAAGGTGTGTACATTTCGTAAAACGCTATGGACAACTGTCGAACTTGTCAGCAATTCTGCAGGTTGACGTGTTCGATGAATCTGCTGAAGCTACTGTATTCTAATGGCAGGTTTATGTCAACGAATTAGGGAAGAATTGACTGTGTTCTCTTCACTTCTGGAGAGCATCTTTCTCCTCGATATGATCACAAATAGCTTTGCATACATTGTGACAACAAACCCAGTGGACAGCTATGTCCGCCCTGAGTTCACAGGTACATTATGGTTTTTCACTACTTTTATGTTTACTGCGATACTTATCCCGTTTTTGCTCTGACTCAGATTTTGGACCTTTGGCCATTGATGGTGGTCGACATCCGATTGCTGAGGGCCTTCTCCAAGATGCCTTTGTGGTGAGCCTTCTTTGCTATTAAAATCTGTTACTCGTATCACGTGCTTGTTAATATTTCCCTCCATCTTACCTTGCAGGCAAACAACACGTTTATGTCAGAGGCCTCAAACGCAATGATCATCACTGGCCCTAACATGTATGCATACTGCAACTCAATTGTTGGTCAAGTACACTAATACTATGCTGAGCTCTGGTTCTCCTATGCCAGGAGTGGAAAGAGCACCTACCTTCGCCAGGTGGCTTTGCTAACAATCATGGCTCACATCGGCTGCTACGTTCCTGCACGGTTCGCATCTTTTCGAGTGGTTGATCGTATATTCACAAGAATCGGCACTGGAGAAAGCATTGAAGAGAATTCGAGCACGGTACATATCCGTGTATTTGCTAACTTTACCGAGTGCATGGTCGTCCCTCCCACTTATAATCCTTGTTTGCTTGCAGTTCCTCACAGAAATGCGTGAAACTGCTTTCTTGATGGACCATCTGACTCCAAGGTTTGTGTGTTTATCTTGTTTATTGCATAGTCAACCGCCGAGCATAACCATCATCACTTTTTTTTTTACTTTTTTTCAGGAGCCTTGTGGTAGTTGACGAGTTGGGATGTGCAACATCAACACTTGATGGTCTTGCGATTGCGTGGAGCTGCTGTGAGCACCTTCTCACGTTTCCTTCGTACGTGAATTGACTTACTTGCACTGAATTCAAAGTATTGTATACTACTTGTTTTGGTTCTCTGTAACCCCCAACATGCTGTGCGTATTTGCAGGTACATAATATTCGCAACTCACATGAAACAGCTTGGTGAGCTGGCCTCCATTTACCCCAATTGCAAAGTGTGCTATTTCTCAGTTGGAGTCAGCAACGAGAGACTTGCCTACAAGGTATGGCCTGCAGCCCAGCATATGCAACGTTCTCTTGCTTTCGAGGCTAATGTCGGGATCATCTGGCAGTACGTGCTGAAGGAGGGATACACTGACGTGCCTCACTATGGCTTGCGGCTTGCTGAAGCGATGGGTTTCCCAGCAGCAGTCATGTCTGAAGCTCAGCGGATTGCTGACATCTTGGAGAAGCAGGTACGAACTAGGCTGTCCCTTTTGTGACTCTCCAATGTTTGCACATCTGTATGAAACTTTGGTTGGTGCGCCAGGAATCGAGGCGATTGGAGATAGGCTACAGCAAGTTTACGGCACTCCGCCGGGATTATGTTGTGGCGCAACGTCTTTTATGCCTGCAGCAGTCCAATCTCAGTGACTCAGAGCTCAAAGATTATCTGCTGAAGCTTAAAGCAAGCTACCTGGATGGTACTCTTGTGTGAGCTTGATGGGTAGGGATCATTGCAGGTGTGATGCATTGTGAATGCAACACCATTAGAGGACGTCCTCAACAACTCTACTGTACAGCTACAATGCATAATAATTTCACCAGAGCTACTATAGTCTTGACTGAGCGATAGCTCAGAGGATTGGTGCACCGCCACAAATAATTGAGAGCATTGAATCAGCTATTCAGCACCATCAACCAAGCTGGGCTTGCAGCAGACATCCAGAACAACATGCCGAATGTGTGGCGCATACCATTTCACCCTCTCCAAATGCACTGCCTTGACTTCCCAGCTTCTCCCCTCCTCCCTTGCCAACTTCTCAAACTCCCCCACAACATAGTCAGTCCACTGCTGCTCCTCCACGTCAACAACATTCCCATGCACATGAGCAACACCCCCTTCCCTTGGCTTCAAGCAGCGAATCGCAGTCCTCCAGCTGGCCTCACTCGAAGGGATCAAGCCCAACAGCACCCGATTAGCAACCCCCACTGGGGCAACCACCCTGTTATCCCCCTCCAGCACAGTGTAGCGATCTGGAGAAACCTGATTGGCTGCGAGACTGGACCGGAGGCCATGGACAGCCGCAGGGTTCCACTCGCAGGCAAACACGTGGCGGGCGCGGGCATGCACGAGCAGCGGGATTGTGAAATACCCGATCCCAGCAAAAAGATCTACCACCACTTCCCGGTCATGAAGCTTGAGTGCGGCCATGCGCTGCTTCTCAGTGCCGTTCCCTGATGAGAACATGCACTTTCCTGCATCGAAGGTGTATGTGATGCCATTCTCCCGGTGCTCCACCCAAGACGAGGACCCTAGCAGCAGCTGCAGCCGGCTGTCTCTAGTCAATGTGGGTGCCACAGGAGCCTGCGTCGACTCAATGGAAGACAGAAAGGGGCAGCAGAGAAAGAGAACGAGAAAGAGAGACAGATGCTGATTTACACAAGAGCAGTGACGATTGCTCCAAGCTCTCCCCTCCCAATCTTTACCCAAAACTTCAGCTATGGGAGATGTGTGCAAGTCTCACCTGCCGGGCCACTCTTGTCACCCCAAGAGCCTCAGCAACAACCTGCCAGAGCTCAGGTCCGAGCCTGTCCCAAGCCTCCCCTAGCATGGCATCAGCTGGCAACACCACCATGTCTCCGAGCCGCTCCCAGCGGACCGGCAGCTGAGAGATAAGAGATGAGTAGTTGTCACTGGGTTGATTGTCCTCTGAAGAATTTAGTTGCTTCGCCTTGAGGTGAAGGAGATCCTGGATGGCGTGGTGGAGGCGCTGAAAGGGAGTGAGAGGGCGAGCGGGTGAAGGGGATAGGCACAGCTTTGTGAGCACGGCTGCTGCTGTCGCTATCATCCCGACTGCATCTGCTGCTGCAGCCTCAACTGCCGTTGGCTCCTGCTCTTGTGCTGGTCCAGATACAGTTGTTGGCACTGGTGCTGCTGGCACTGGTGCTGCAGTCACAGGTGCTGTTTGCACTGGTGCTGTTGTCCCCAGCACGGCTGATGGTGCCATGCGCACACCATCCATGGCAGCAACTGTGCTCACAGCAGACTCGCACACAGGCAGCGCCAGCAGCAACTCACCACCGTCACCAGCAGCACCTGAGCTACAAGCACTGACATATGATACCTCGGGATTGACATCTGGGTTCACTGTGGCTGGCTTGCGGGACTTGTCTAGAACGCCACATGTCTGTAGCACATCCTTCCACCGCTTCCCCTCCCTCCGTGGAACAAGCAGCACCCATCCCAATCCTCCCTGCCAGTGGCCCCCTTGCTCCGGATCCTGCTTCAGTTGCTCCTGCTCTTCCTCCTCCTTCTGCTGCTGCTGCCCCTGCTGCTGTTGGTTAGAATGTCCAATCTTTCCTTGATGAATCCCTTTCAGAGGGATCGCAAAAGGGGGGCTAAAGACCGATCCGAAGGCAAAGCAGGCAGCACCACCCCCCAGCACCAGCAGCCTGTCCCCCACAATAGATCCCCCCACTGCAGCCCCCCCTGCCACCAAGCCCCCACTCAACACACTGGCAGTGTGGCGCACGGGCAGAGCAGCAGGAGGCAGAGCGACGGGGATTCGAGACACCTCATTGGATGCGGTGTTCACCAGAACAATTTCCGGGCCTGCCCGGGAATGTGGGCAGCCCCCGAAAATCAGAAGGTGCTGCCCGTATGTGGTGAGGGAGTGTGAGAACCGTTCAGGGATCGCGACTGGAGCAGAATCCCAAACCTTGGTCCACCGAACATGTAGTCTGCTGCCTTCCGTACCATTGCTGTTGCTGCTTCTGGTGATACTGTTGTCGACGTCTTGAGCACTGTTTGGAGTCACGTTCTGAGTGTTGCTTCCCACACTAAGATCCTCTTGAGAGTTTTGAGACACCTCACATTCCCCAACAGCCGAACCGCGGCCCACAACCTCAAAAAAGAAGAGATTGGAAAATACCCTTCGGGTGTCTTGACCACCGAAAAGATACACCCGGTTGCCGACCGCAGCCATGGCGTGCGAGTGGCGAGGGGCAGGCATCTGCCCGGAAACAACAGGGTCAGGCAGCCAGGAAAAAGACCAGGCGGAAAAGACCTGAAGGGAGGTGAGGGGCGGGGCGTGGGGATGGGACGTGCCTCCAAAGACAAAGACAGATGACCCCAGTGCTGCTGCTGCATGGCGATACCTTGCCAGGGGTGCACCTGTAGCAGCTGTAGCATCTGCAGCAGCAGTGGCAGCTGTAGCAGATGTAGCAGCAGTAGCATCTGTAGCAGATATAGCAGCAGTTGCTTCTGGTACAGCAGGGGTAATAGCTGTAGTTTCATGTGCTGCTGTACCCTCTCCAGACGGTGCTGCTGGTGCTGCCACGTGGCGCCACGTCATGGAGCGCAGATTGAGGGAGAAGACATCAGCGAGGGCAGCATTGGGGCCGTGCCTGCCTCCTATCACCACCATCTCCTCCTCCCCCTCCTCTTCCTCCTCCTCACCCTCCTCCCCTTCGCCCTCCTCCTCCTCTTTCTCTCCCGTCTCACTCGCCTCACTACTCTCTGCCCCCTTGGCCTCCGTTCCACTCCCTCTCCCCACTCCCCTCCCTCGACCCACTCTAACCACAGTGGCAGAGTGCCACATGCGAGCACTCGGCCGGCTCCCTCTTGTCTCCACCACACTCCCTTCCACCACCACATCCTCCTCCTTCTCCCCTTCACTTCCACGCCCTCCCTCCTCCCCTCTCCCTCTCATTGTTACCACGAACACGTCACCTCGCCTACTGTGCACCCCACTCCCCCCAAATCCCCCAAACACCACTACTGCTGTCCCTGCTGCCTCTCCTCTTGCTTTCCCTGCTTCTGACGTCCCTGCACCTGTTGACCCTGCAGCTGTTGCACCTGCTCCTGCTTTTTCCTTTTCCGCTTTCCCCCCTGCGCTCACAGTTCCCACCATCGCCCGTGAAGCAGCAACCGTCACAGCCGAGTGGCCCCACCGCAAAAGGGTGCCCTCGGGCAGCCCCAGGACCTTTACCACCTGCCCGTGCAGCTGCCCGTCCTGTGCCTTGCTTCCATGAGCTAATTCTTCTGATGCTTGTGATCCTCTGGGCAGATCCCATGCGCTGCTGCAGCAACCACCTGCCACGTCCTGCAATGGGTATGGCGCCATGCCTGCACCTGCGCCTGCCAGTTCGGGATGTCCAGAGGCCCCTGTGGAAGCAGGTTCAGGTGCTGTCAGTGCGGTGCAAAGCGGTGCCTCCCCAACTACACCACCTCGTAGCAGCTCCAGCACCCGCCTCTCAACCTCCCCTACTCTCCGCAGCACTGCCACCTGGCGTTGTGCCACCTGGCTGCCCTGCTGCTGCGCCAGCTGGCCATTCGTCGCCTCTTGCTGGCCTTTTGAGCTGCGCCTTGCTGCTTTTCTAGGATGAGACTTGGGCGTCGCGTGTGGGCTGTGTGTTGGGTTGAGTGGTGTGGGTTGCGGTTGGGATGGTTGGGGTGGAGGATGGGAGAGGAGGGAGCAGCTGCACTGCAGCAAGGGAGGGGAGAAGGGAGGAAAGCGGTGGAAAAAGGGTAAGGAAAGTGAGAAGTGGGAAAGCGAAGGTAAGCGGGGTAAGGAAGTGGAAAACAAGAAAAGAAGGGTGGAGAGGATTGGCTGTCCCCTTGCCCGTCAGCTCGTCCCCACCTGATCCCACTCGCCCCTACCTACCTACCCACCCCGTCCCCCCTCACCCCTCACCTCCTCCTTGAACCGCGCTCGGAACCGCTCGGTGCGTTCATGGTTGGTTGAGAGCTATCTTGCCATTGGTTGGCCACCGCCACCTCAAGCACCATCACCCTACCCAGCTGGGTTGACCCTCTCCCACCCACCCCCACCCACTCCCACCCACCCCCACCCACTCCCACCCACTCCCACCCACTCCCACCCACTCCCACTCACAGTCACCCACCCCCACCCTTCCTCCTACCCGCCCTCACCTCCTCCTTAAACCGCGCTCGGAACCGCTCCGTCCGCTCGTGGTTGAGCGTTCTGATTCCCCCACCCGCTCCCACCGGCTCCCACTCACCGTCACCCACTCCCACCGGTCCCCACCCCCTCACCTCCTCCTTGAACCGCGCTCGGAACCGCTCCGTGCGGTCGCGGTTGAGCGTCATCTTGCCATTGGCCACCGCCGCCAGCTGGCGCACGTACGCGTCGCCCACCAACGGCACGCCGCCAGCTGTCAGCGGCGCCTCGAGGCGGATGGAGCAACGGACGGCCGCGATGATGCGCTTTGCGCTCACACTGGTGATGCCTGGGGGGAGGAAGGGGTGGAAGGGAAGGGAAGGGAGGGAATGGGGGAAATTGGGGAGGAGGGGAAAGGGGAGAGGAGGGGGAGGTGGGGAAGGGGACATGAAGTGGCCGGAACGGAAGGAACATCTCACAAAAGCTGTATGCACTTGGCGAAGTGAGATGGAGCAATGCACGGCCGCAATGATGCGCCTGGGACTCACACTGGCGAGGTAATGCCTGCCTGGAGAGGTTGGGGGGGAGAAGAAGATAAGTTGTGTGGGGGGGGAGGGGAGGGGAGGGGGGGGGGATGGGGTGTTGGTGGGGAACTGGGAGGGAGGGAATGTGGCGGCCCCAGGCGCCTTGAGTGCAAGAGAGCAGTGGAGGCTGCGATGATTGATGCACCTTGGGCTCACACTAGTGGCGCCTGGAGCGCGGGGAAGGGGAGGATGAGCGGCGCAAAGAGTTATGAAAGCATCACCCGAAGACTTACAACCTAAGCCCGAAATCCTGAAACCCCTCGCTCCCAAATCCCTTATCTGATTCCCTGAAGCCCGCGCAGATGGCGCAGGCGACTAGGGTCCGCGCAGCACCACCAGAGCGGCGATCAAACGCCAAAACCCGAAACCTCAAAACCCTCAGCTCCCAACTTCCCCATGCCCTCACCTGATTCTCTAAAACCCGCGCAGATGGCGCAGGATACGCGGGCTTGCGCAGCAGCGAGGGCGATGTTGAGCGGCTCGAAGCAAGAGCCATGAGAGAGTCACCACCAGCCCCGAAAACCCTAACCTTGAACCCTCATTCTCGAAGCTCACCTGACTCCCTGAAACCCGCGCGGATGGCGCAGGACACGAGGGCCTGCGCGGCGGCGAGGGAGCGGCATTCGAGGGCGAGGATGAGCGGCTCAAAGCGGAACACCAGCTCGCCGGGGAGAGCGGGCGGAGATGCGAAGGTGGCGGGAGTGATAATGCTGCTGCTAGCGCTGTTGCTGACGTCGGCATCCGCGTGCGCAGTGCTTGTACTGAAGACGGCTGTAACGAGGTCGGCAGGATCGATGGGGTCATGGCTGACCAACAGCCACTCGCCGCCCTGCTTGTGGCGCGGGTAGGGGAGAGTAAAGGGGGAATTATGATGGTATTAGGGGAAGTGTGGAGGGCTGTATTGTTAGGGAGAGGATGTTTTGAGACGTCTCACAGCATCACTTTTTATCATTGCGTGCATGCAATGCCTCCATATACGCGAAAGCTTGCTTGCACGCGCTGCATCTCCCTCTGCTGATCTCAGAGATTTGTGATTTTTTTCGAGAGATTTTTAGGAAGTGCATGTGCGGCGGCGAGCCTACTCGCCCCCATGCGACCCACCCTCGCTTTCTTCTTCACTCGCTTCCCCGCGCCCGCGCTATCCGCCGCAACTCCTTCCCCTCCTCTTTCTATTTCAGCAGTAGCAGCACCGGCGGTGCCGGCGCCAGCACCACCAGAAGCAGTAGGAGCGGCTGCGGCAGTGGCGGTGGCGGCGGCGGCGGCGGCGGCGGCGGTGTCATGCGGTTCGAGGAGCAGCGAGATGCGGCCGGAGCACGAGCTGGTGGTGAAGAGATCATCGTGGCCGTTGATTTCCGCCACCAGATCCGCGATCGGCGCATCCAAGCCGCCCTTGAGCGACTTGTCGCGCTCCACCGACGCCAGCGCCGCCAGCACCGCCGCCTTCCGCGCGTCGAAGCCCTCGTCGGCCATCGCGGGGAGAGATGCTCGCGATGCTCGCGACGCTTGCGACGCTCGCGATGCTCGCAATGCTTGCGACAGTCGAAATAGACGTCTACTTGAGAGCAAATTTCAAGTGACAAGAATCCCTCACTGCTTCGTATGCTAATCAACCAGCCGCCCTGAGCGCATTGCCTATCAAGCATAGATGTGGGAGATCGGACGGCGGTGACAGGAGGACGGGAATGTCGGTGAGATACAAGAAACTGGGCACGGCGGTTCGGGGTTTTAGAAATGGTTGGTTTCGTTCCCAATCTGCAATTTCAAGGGACCAAGACTTTTTGTGACCTCCTCCCCTCCCTCGAAAACACACCATTCTGGAACGCCTGTAAACGTAACGAACCGTACAAAAATGTGATCGACTCTGTTCGCTTCAGTCACTTGTAACCCATTCCTGCCATACTCACCACTCTGCGCCGTAGCAAACCAGCTAGCACCCTCTTGTACCACCACGGGTGACAAGTGCCTGCTTACTACCTGGCACTTTTCCGCCGCTGCCATCCGTTGCGGCTGTCCTTCCGCCTTCCGCGCGGACTCGGCGTTTTCAGGCGACGCAATAGTCCTTCCGCCTTCGCTATGGCCTCCGCGCCCCCCGCGCGCGCGGAATCATGGACTCCGCCGCTCCCCGCCAAACCCGCATTCCCCCCTTCCGCACCTCCCCCTTCCGCGCCTCCCCCTTCCGCGCCTCCCCCTTCCACCCAACCCCTCCGCGTGCGCTCCGCGTTTTCCGCCGCGTTCGGCGCGCGGAAGCAGTGGGACGCCGCCTCGGCGGACGGGCTGCGCGCGGCGACAGCTGTCGTGAACCGATTGGTGCAGCTGAAGTGAGTCCAGGCGTCGCGGTGTTTTTAGCGAATGTAACCATATCGAGTACAGACTATGATCGATGAATTATGTAGCACAGGTTACGGCGCTTATGTAAATAGGTGCTGAACATACCCGGGATCCGCTCCACTTTCCCTCCACGCTCCTCCACTCCTCGTCACTCCTCTTCACTCCTCTCCACTCCTCTCCACTCCTCTTCACTCCTCTCTGACTGCGCGCAGGCAGCTACCCGGCAAGGACATGGGGGCCTTGGGGAGCATAGAGGGCATCGTGGGCAGGGCTGCGATGAAAGCATGCCCTGAGATTCACTCCTCTCCACTCCTCTCCACCCCTGACCACTCTTCTGCATTCATCTCCACTCCGCGCGCAGGCAGCTGCCCGGCAAGGACCTCGGGGCGTTGGGGGTCATGGAGGGCATGGTGGGCATGGTGGGCAGGGCAGCAGAGAAGATCCGACGCCTCATGGTGCTCATGCTCCCAGGACTCGTTCTAGTGGGACTCGTTTTATTGTGACTCGTTGTAGTGGTAAATCTCGGCTGTACAATGGAAACAGCGTGTGTCTTCCCCACGCACTCCCTTGGCTTTTCTCACTCGACCATTCGCAACTTTCTTCCTCCCTTTCCTCCCCACCCCTCCCATCTCCCTCTCCTCCTCTTGCCGAACCCTCTATCCTACTTCCTCACTCACATCACATCCCTCTCCTTCTCATTCTCCTCCGAACCTGCTCTTTTCACGTCCCCTCTCCCCTCTTTGCTCATTATGCTCGTGCCCTCCTCTGCTCTTGCCAATACCATCCTCTGCTGCACGGCATGGCATGGCACGGCATGGCATGGCACGGCATGGCATGGCATGGCATTGCATGGCACATGATGCAATGCCACTATGACCCATCAGGAGGAGGATCTATGCACGCTGCGCCGCTGCTTGAAAGACCTTGTGAGTAGATGGAGGGGGTGTGAGGCGAAAGCAAAGAAGTGGGAAGAGCACTCACATTGTGAGTTTGCAGCAGGTCTGAAGATGCTGATTTTTGAGACGTCTCAAAAAGGGATGAAGAAGTAGGAAGGGAAACAGAGTTGAGTTGAGCCTTGTGAATTTGCAGCAAGTCTGAAAAATCATCCCGCGCTCTTGTTTCGAGACGTCTCATGCGTCTGCTTTGGGGCATTGGTGGCGCAACCAGCGCCTCCCAGCAATAAGCTAGTGAGCCGGGCCAAGTCGTTGGTAGGATGACCGGGGGGCCTTGAGAGCGATTGGGGGCGTTGGGAGCGCTGGGAGGCGTTGGTCAGTGCGCCCCTCCTTATACTCCTATCACCTTTCCTTCCCTCCTGATTTGCCATCCTCCCATGCATTCCCCCCACTCGCATCGTCCCCACCATCGTCTCTCCTTTCCCTCTGCTTCCCCACCTTCTCCTCATCCCCCACAGGCTGCAGCTGTCGACGCCCTCGTCCCTGCCCTGCTGCCCCTCTGCCCAACCCCCCACATACCACCTCCCCTGCATGCACCTGCAGCAATGGCCCTCCCCACAGCAGCACCTGAATCGACAGTTGCGCCCTTCACTTTTGCCGCACCACTGGCAGCGCCAGTGCCAGTGTCAACAGTGTCAACACCAGCAGCAGCACCATCACGATCGCAATCCGGATGTCAAGTAGCATTGGCAGCTTCAGTGTCCCCCTCCCCCTCAGCAGCAGTGTGGGATGCAAATGAGGCATGGCAGGAGGCGTGGCAGGAGAGAGACATGTATCCCGAAGAACCCATCTTCACCGCTCTCCATCACTCGGTTTTTGGTTCGTTGCCTTTCCCAATCCTCCCATCGACTTGTCTCCTATGCATGTACTCACCTACCCTTCCCCATCTCCCCTCCCTGTGCTCATCTCGTCCCCCCTTGCATCCTGTCAGCTTTATGCTTTCTCCCCTCCCTGTGCTCATCTCGTCCCCCCTTGCATCCTGTCAGCTTTATGCTTTCTCCCCTCCCTGTGCTCATCTCGTCCCCCCTTGCATCCTGTCAGCTTTATGCTTTCTCCCCTCCCTGTGCTCATCTCGTCCCCACATGCATCAGAGAGGTGGGCTGTGGATGTGGCAAACATGTTTCACAAGGAGCTGATGGTCAAGGTGAGATGGATGGAAACACTTTGCCGAACAATTGCTGGTCAAGGTGAGATGGATGGAAAACACTTAGCCAAACGATTGCTGATTAAGGTGAGATGGATGGAAACACTTAGCCAAACAATTGCCTGTGAAGGTAGAAACCAAAGGAATACATCAGGCATGTCCTGATGACGCTCACACATCTCTGCAAAATATGTCTTTCTTGGCCTCTTTGCATCAATTTCCTTCAACTTTGTTCCTTCCTCATTTCTCAAGCAATTTCTGTGCATTTTTTTTATCTGTGTGACTGCACCACCACCATCTCCCAATCCATCCCGTCCGATTTTTTAGGCGCCTCAAAAGTGCGCCTCAAGAGGCGCCTAGAATAACATTTTTTTATATATATGTGTGACTGCAGCACCACCATCTCACAGTCCCTCCCGTCCATTTTTCCTCCTTGTGCATCCCGTTCCGCCCCACCAGCGCCTCATAGTCTCTTCACTCAACGCAGCAGTCACCCTTGAAGCCACCACTGCACGCACCACCACCACCAACAGCACCACCGCTCCAAGCACCACCACTCCAATCACCCCCTCCCATAGCCGGATCGAACTCCCCCTCAACATCCCTCCATTGCACCTGCCATACATTCGCCAGCCACCTGCCACTGCGCCTGCTCCCAGAGATGTTGCTGCTGAGTGTCTGGCTGCTGCTGCACTTGATGCAAGTGCTGCTGCCACGGAACAAGGAGCGAGCACGGGTGGAAGGACAGAAGAAGGAGGGGGCAGGCTGGGAGCAGCAGGAGCAGCAGGAGCAGGGGGCGATGCACCCACATCACGTCACGAGGACGACCGTGAGGCACCAGCGGCAAGAGAAGAAGAGGCAGAGAGCGACGCAGCAGGGTGCTTGCAAGGAGAGGGGATGGGGACTAGTAGTGGAGATACAGAGGCAGTGGTTGGTGGAGAGAGTGATGAGGGACGTGTTCAGGGAGGGGCTGCCTTGTTGCAAGGACAGAATGGATGGAAGGGACAGGCGTGGGCACAGGGGTTTGGTGCAGCAGAGGGAGGCGAGTGGGTGGTGGTGAAGCAGCAGTTGGAGCAGTCGGGGCTGCTTGGCCGCCCGCCCACACCACAACAGCTACAGGTATGCTCTCATGAATCCTCAATAATATCTCATCTCTTTTCCCATAATTCGCGCAACCCTTACTCACAACCACTGCAGGACAGGCAACCTCTAGATTGTCAGTTGTTTTGTATTATTCTGCTCGCCACATTTGCCTCTGTGCCTCTGTGGCAGGTATGTCTGGTGGCATGGCTGGTGGAAATGCACATTGATTCTCGCTGCGTCTCCTCCATCTGTCATTGGTCTACAATTATCTTGCACGCAATGCTCTCCTCTGCACTTGGCTTCCCCCCGGCAGGTGTGTCTGGTGGCATGGCTGGTGGAGATGCACATTGACTCTCGGCACCTCTCCTTCATCTTTGCTGCTGTAGACGAGGAAGTGAAAAGTGCAGCAGCGTAACTGACTGCAGACTGGCTCTTCATGATTCTCTGTTGATTGAGTGATCGCACCCACCCTGCCAAAGAGGCTTGGGGTTGTCGTGCTGATTAAAAGGCAACGCTAGTTGCAGGCTCAACTTTGTAATAAGCATGTAGAAAGTGTGATTTTCTACTCGTTATCTGCATGCACGTAGAAAGTGTTTCACATGTTCAAATGGGTGAAAGTCATTTCCTGAAGGTTGCTGTAGTGTTCTCGTGATTTGTAATGAGAATGTAGCTCACGCTCATGCGGATTATCCTGAAAACCTCATCGCACGTGTTACCCTAAATCGCCTCGGCGAAGAGTGCCTCACTTCATCGATTTCGCCGACTGACTGACGGTTGTCACTTTTTCTCACTTCCAGTGAAGCAACTACTTCCCACGTGCTCACTTCCACCCCCAGACACGCCTCACCACACCAAACCTGCCAGTAGCCATTCCTGTAGTGGTAGCTATTATCCCCCCAATCTCGAGTCCTCCCGAGTCCCGCCGAGTCCCGACCCGACCGCCTTGTCGGACCCCAAAATCTCAATCCCTCGCGTATCAATCACGTTTCAAGCGTAATCCCTACGCTAGTCATTCGTCATGGCGGCTCAAGCAAGTCGCGAACCACCTTCACGTCGGAGTCCGACTCCAAGTCCAAACTATGTCAAGGTTTATAAACTACACGCTTCGTCTTTTGATGAACCACAATATTCACAGCTTCTACCTTCACTTCGCTCCCTCCCTTCTACCTTCGATCTAGGATACCAAGCACCTCGCGGCTCACATACTTGAGTTCTCCTGTGGTTCTTACTCGCTTTGGCGTGCAAGATGAGTCCGGCATCGCTGATTTTTACTCTCTCACAAATCTTACTACGACTGACATCTGACCATCTACTAGTAATAGGTTTCTCAATGGCCAACGCTTGGTTGCTTCCTCTCGCTCTTTACCTCCTGCTCCTCCTCGCCGTCACCCGTGCCAACGTCGCGCGGCCCCCCATCCTGCACGCGTTCCCCCCCACCACCAGCGCAACCCGCAGCGTCGCAACCTGCTGTGCGCTCGCCCGCGCGGATTCCGCGCTATTCCCGCACAAGGTGGAGAGGAAGCTGTTCAGTTAGGACGGGGTGACCGTTTATCATATCATTGCCGGAAGCTTGGGCACGACGGTCCAAATGACGACTCTGAATATCGTGTAAATATTCATGAACACGGGGTACAACGTGATGGTCATTCAGAGGGACCACTCCGTGGAGGGAGACCCGGAGTCCGCGCAAGTGGAGGTGTATTACAAGCAGGGCCCGTTCTCTGTGGCAATGGCGGATACGAGAAGTGGGCATTCGGAAGCATCTAAGAGCTCTACAGCGTTGATGAGAAGGACGTCTTGTTCTCCTGATTTAGTTTTCCAGAGAGCCTTGGCGTTCATTGATATGATGAGGTCACCTCATCATAACAACACAGTGTTTGATGTTGAATCAGCATTATTGTAGCCTTTTTTTTGGGAGCCTTATTTATGCTGCTCCGCAGAATTCACTGATCCTCTGTGCAATTTCACCTGTACCTTCACAGCACAATTGTAAAGCTGAAGGTACTGCTCCGGATGTGCTTCAATGGGATTTATTCATAGGGTGCGATACATACATCCAGAGCAAGCCTGCAGTAATTATGGTGCCATGGTCCCAAAAAAACCATACTTGACTTGACAGCCTGGTTAACACACCGTAAAACTGTTCTCTACAACCATATGCAACTGTGATGGTTAGAAATGCATAGTGAGAGGCCGACACGTAGCCATGTTGAGCCTGCTGCTGACGTGTACTAACTGCACCGCTACCGTTATAGGTACCGTACACTCAACAAGGGTGGCTATGGTTGCGTTGTCAAAGCATATTTGTATGTTCTTAGTTCTGCTAGGCTACAGTGAGGTGCTCAGTATAGAGTACAACCCCAGTTAGGGTTTCATACTTGTATCTCTCTGTTGCTAGTCATTCATCATTCCTGCACAAATACTTCTGACATGGTTTCAGAGCAGGATACCTGTTAGGTTTTTTTTTAGGGCTCACCGATAATTCCGCTCGTTCCTGCCCGAAGCGCCCTTGCGCTGTCCTGCCTTGCCCGAAAAGCGCCGCGCTGCCCTGCTGCCACGCGCGCTGCCTGCCCTAGCGCGCTGCCTGCCTTAGCGCGCTGCCTGCTGCACGCTGTCAAATTGTATTTGTTCTCTGTAGGCTGTAGTGGGGCACACCCTAAAGGGTACAACACTTTAGGGTTAGGTAGTACTTTTACTCACTCTTCCTACCTAGTCCATCATTCGTACGTTCCTATTCTGACATGGTATTCAGAGCGAGTCCATCCTCCGTAGGACCGCTCCGTTAGGGCCCACCACTATTTTCGACCCGCCCGAACTGCCCGAACTTCCCGAACTGCCCGTACTGCCCTGCCCGAACAGCGTTCCTCACGCTGCCCTGCCTGCGCGGCCCCACGTGCTCTGCCCTGCCCGTTGCGCTGCCCGCTTGCTGCCTAACGCGCGACCCGCACGCTGCCCTGCTCGCGCTCTGCCCTGCCCTGCCCTGCAGCCCGCGCGCCGCTCTGCCCTGCAGCCCGCGCGCCGCCCTGCCCTGCAGCCCGCGCGTCGCCCTGCCCTGCAGCCAGCGCGCCGCCCTGCCCTGCAGCCCGCACGTCGCCCTGCCCTGGAGCTAGCGCGCCGCCCTGCCCTGCAGCCCGCGCGCCGCCCTGCCCTGCAGCTCGCGCGCCGCCCTGCCCTGTAGCCCGCGCGTCGCCCTGCCCTGCAGCTTGCGCGCCACCCTGCCCTGCAGCCCGCGAGCCGTCCTTCCCTGCAGCCCGCGCGCCGCCCTGCCCTGCAGCCCGCGCGTCGCCCTGCCCTGCAGCTCGCGCGCCGCCCTGCCCTGCAGCCCGCGCGCAGCCCTGCCCTGCAGCCCGTTCGCCGCCCTGCCCTGCAGCCCGCGCGCCGCCCTGCCCTGCAACCCGCGCGCCGCCCTGCCTGCGCACTGCCTTAGCTGCCAGCACGCTGCTCTAGTTGCCCACGCTGTGCCCTCGCCACTACACTGCCCGTCATGGCAACGCCACCGGTCTTAGCGTTTGACGCCGACGGACTCCTGTACCGGTTCGACTTCTGGCTTATGTGCCTGCGCTTGCATCTCCGGTGTTACATCAGAGATGGCGTCTCCCTATTCGGGCACATGTCGGGGTCACTTCCGGCCCCCACGACTCCCACTGAGCCTGCTGCTGACGCTGACGAGGACGTGCAGAGGCGGTACCGGGCGGACAGCCTCGCCTGCAGACAGTGGACGGAGCGCGACGCTGTTGCCCAGCGTGCCGTCCGATCTCTCCTGCCGGTTGACCAGAGGGACCACTTTCGACAGGTGACGTCGGCCCAGGCTTTGTTCGACGCTGTTGTTAGACACTACTCCTCCCTCTCTCCTGCCACCCAGCCTCTACAGCAGCGGCAGCAGAGTTAGCCGGAGACCCCCTCGCCGCAGCAGCTTAGGGAGTGTTTTTCTCAGCGACGCATCCCTGGTGGTGTAGAGGCTTCTAGTCTAGGTGCCTGTGAGCCTGGTAGCACTGTTACAGCACATGTGGAGGCTTTACACACCTTCACGCTTGACTCAGGCGCGACTCGCTGCTTCTTCCGCGACTGCACCACAGTCACACCGCTCACTGCACCTGTCCCGGCCAGTCTCGCTGACCCCTCTGGGGGCCCAGTCGTGGCACGTGCCTCCACCGTTCTCCCTTGTTCGGCAGCCCCCTCAGGTTCCCTCACAGGTTTCCACCTCCCCTCGTTCTCTAAGAACTTGGTGAGTAACGCTGTCCTCCAGGACCAGTTTTTCACTGTAACTACTCTTGGGGGTGAGCTTGTGGTGATCTGTACGGACTCACGCACTGGCGAGCACCTCGCAACTTTCACTCGGAGCCCTGGGTCTGGCCTGTACACACTGACCACTGAGTCTGCACAGGTAGCTGCGTCGGGTCAGTTAGCTGCGTCTTGTTCGTGCCGGCTACTCTCGCACCAGACTCTCCTCTGGCACCACCGTCTTGGTCACCCCTCCCTGCCGCGCTTGCGAGGCATGCACTATCGTCTCCTTGTCTCTGGCCTCCCCAGGTCCCTGCCCCCGCTCCCGCGCTCGCTTGCACCGCCGTGCCTTCCCTGTGTCGAGGGGCGGCAGCGCGCCGCTCCTCACTCCTCCTCGTTTCCGCCGACCACTGCTCCTCTGCAGACTCTCCACATGGACGTGTGGAGCCCAGCCCGCGTCCGTGGACAGGACCAAGAGCGCTACTTTCTGCTGGTTGTTGACGACCACACGCGCTACACCACGATCTTCCCCTTGCGGAGCAAGGCGGATGTCCGAGGTGTTTTGATTTACTGGATCATCGCTGTTCGTTGCCAGCTGAGCGCTCGGTTTGAGCAAGACCTCCAGGTCCTGCGACTGCACTCTGCGCGGCCTCCTTCGGGACTTTTGTCGTGCGGAGGGCATCCGCCAGACGTTCACGCTTCTGGCCTCTCCACAGCAGAATGGGATTGCTGAGCGCCACATTGGCTTAGTCATGGACGTTGCTCGCACCTCCATGATCCATGCAGCTGCTCCCCATTTTCTGTGGCCGTTTGCGGTCCGATACGCCGCGCATCAGCTCAACCTCTGGCCCCGTGTCTCTGTGCCATAGACCTCGCCTACACTTCGTTGGACGGGGGAGGTTGGCGATGCGTCAGCGTTTCGGGTCTGGGGCGCGCTCTCCCTTGTTCGCGATACCACCGCTAGCAAGCTCTCTCCTCGCACTCTCCGCTGCGTCTTCCTTGGCTTCCCCACGGACGCCCCGCCCTGGCAGTTTTACCACCCTGTCTCGCGACGGGTCCTGACCTCACAGGACGTCACTTTTGACGAGTCGGTCTGCTTCTACCGTCTCCACCCACACATGTCTTCCCTGCTCTCCCCGCCGCCTCTCTTCCTGGTCCCAGGTCCCCCCCCCGGTAGACCCCCTCCCCCTGAGG